GAGACGCTGTTCCAAAAGATAAAAGAGAAACCATTATTGCGTATGGTTTGTAGCAACAAGGATACTTTACGCCAAGTACTGGAGGGGTGGGAGGAGAAACAAAGGGCGCACTCAATTATGAGAGGGGTATATGAAGTATATGGGAGTCTGTAACTTCAAGCAGGATACTTTGGGATAATGTAAGAAGGAAAAGAATGAGCCCTGTTTAATAATAATAATAATAATAATAAAAATAATAATAATAATGCCCCGCCCATCTGGCTGAGTTTCTGGGCACCTTCCAGTACAAATAAAAACATAATGTCAAACATTAAAAACTTCCCAATATGGGGCTGCCTTCAGATGTCTTCTAAAAGTTTTGTAGTTCTTTACCTCCTTAAAATATATTGGAGATGACTGCTAGTGCTAACCCTTTTCCAGTTTTGTAAAGCCTGTAATTCACCAGAACTTACACTGGTTCCTGTTTTTATTTTGCACTGATATGTGTTTTACCCCAGACAATTCCCCCCCCCTTTACTAATTTTATCAGAAGTATACACTTACACCTACAACCGTGTGCGTGTGTGTGTGTGTACATGCGCACATAAAAACATAAGAACTTAAGAAGAGCCTGCAGGATCAGGCCAATGGCCCATCTAGCCCAGCATCCTGTTCTCACTGCAGCCAGCCAGATGCAGAGGGCAACTGCAGAGGGCGCAACATGGCTATCATAGCTAGTAATCACTGTTAGCCATCTCTTCCACGAATTTATCCAATCCTCTTTTAAAGCCATCCCAGTTGGTGGCCCTGACTTGCCTCCTGGGGGAGCAAGTTCCATATACAGTGGTACCTCGGGTTACGTACGCTTCAGGTTACAGACACTTCAGGTTACAGACTCCGCTAACCCAGAAATAGTACCTCGGGTTAAGAACTTTACCTCAGGATGAGAACAGAAATCACGTGGTGGCAGCGGGAGGCCCCATTAGCTAAAGTGGTGCTTCAGGTTAAGAACAGTTTCAGGTTAAGAACGGACCTCCAGAACGAATTAAGTTCTTAACCCGAGGTACCACTTTATACGTAAATATATTTGTTAACTTATTTGTTAACTTCATTTGAAAGCAATAAAAAACGAAGTGCTCCTCTTTCCACCTGCCTTCTTCCATCTCAGTTCCTCTCTGTGTTTATGCTCCAGGTTAGGGGTCAGCAAACTTTTTCAGCAGGGGGCCAGTCCACTGTCCCTCAGACCTTGTGGGGGGCTGGACTATATTTTGGGGAAATAAATGAACGAATTCCTATGCCCCACAAATAACCCAGAGATGCATTTTAAATAAAAGGACACATTCTACTCATGTAAAAACACGCTGATTCCCGGACTGTTCGCGAGCCGGATTTAGAAGGCGATTGGGCCGGATCCGGCCCCCGGGCCTTAGTTTGCCTACTCATGCTACAGGTGTTTCTGCCCCCACCCCCCATGCAAATCCCCTTGTTCTCTTTATGGCCCATTGGAAAAACCAGTCTGGACAAAAAGTTTTCCGAGACTGTTGAGGGAATTCCCCTATGATGCAAATGAAGCTGGCGAAGAGGAGATTAAAGAGCCCTTTTCCAGAGGTGCAGCCCTGTCCTAAAGAGGGCACGCCCATAATTATTTCTCATTCCGTTCCCAGATCTCAGGCCAGAACCTGGGCACATTTCTGTCCCCAGCTCAGCCGCCTCCATCGTACTCTGCTTCTTGCTCACGTTTTCCAGAGGCTCAGCTCTCCAGTCACAGAATCATAGAACTTGAAGAGACCCCAAGGATCACTGCCCCTTTCACCTTACTTAGAATTCCATAAGCTCTGAATATAAGAGGAAAGGAGGATATTATTCGTGGCTGCATGCCCACCAGACTGTGGAAGAGCATTCAATGCATAGCCGCCGCCACCCCCCCCGCAAAAAAAATTACAGTGGTACCTCGGGTTAAGTACTTAATTCATTCCGGAGGTCTGTACTTAACCTGAAACTGTTCTTAACCTGAAGCACCACTTTAGCTAATGGGGCCTCCTGCTGCTGCCATGCCGCCAGAGCACAATTTCTGTTCTCATCCTGAAGCAAAGTTCTTAACCCGAGGTAATATTACTGGGTTAGCAGAGTCTGTAACCTGAAGCATATGTAACCTGAGGTACCACTGTAGTTTATTCTTCACAGACCTATAATTCCCAGCACCCTTAACAAACTACAGTCCCCAAGTTTCTTTGTAGGGGACAAAGATATGTTTTAAAGGTCAGCCTCAGACCCTGGAAAAATGCCACATATAAAAAGCTTCCTGTCTTTTCCAGCCCCACATTCCATAATCTCTAGCTTTTTAGCGACGTAAACATTCCCAGCAATGTTCAAGGTGCTGTAAAAGGGGGGAAAAAAACTTGAATGATTCAGCCTGAATTTTTCGGTTCCTTGGACCAGTTACATCTGGCTTTGACTTCTGCCTGCTCTCTCCTCCTTCAGTAGCTCAGGCCGGGCTATAATTAACCTCACCAGTTTCCACGTGGGCCAAATTCCCCAGAGGTCAACACTCCAGCTACGGGTTCTTCATTAGGCTAAGGAAAGCCCCCCCCCCCTGCCTGGACAGGCCCAACAGGTGAGAGACTTGAGTTTGGGACCCCCCGGACGGTACTGAGCAGCTCAGCAATGCCGGGAGTATTTAGGAAGAGCTTTATTGTGGGGTGAGGGGGAGGGTTAGCTGTGGGGGGTGGGCTGTCCTATGGGGTTTGGATATATGCACACTACCTTTTCCCCAATTAAGCTCTCAAGAAAGGCAGGTGTCTTAACCGCATCTCAACTTAAGCGCCTACGGCAGTTTTCTAAGAATGTACCAGGTGCGCAAGCACAACACAAACGGACATCCAGCCCTCCTCCTCGCAAACTGAGTCATACAACACACACTCATGCATGTGAAACACATTACAGCAACACAGGTATGTCCCTGAGGAGACACCACAAAAATGCTGCACTGGCTAGAACATTGTGATCACTCTGGCTTCCAAGAAATTTGCACACAGCTTCACCGCATGTTCTCCGATTCGGATCACAAGCGCACATCACACAAAAGCAACATGCACACTCTTTGCAGCTGTAATTAAAGCACACTTGCTTTTTATGCACCATCTGCATAACACCCACCCACCCACACCGACAAAGGTTTTCCAATGTTTGCTGCAGGGAAAATGAGGGTGCTAAAAGGCAGGCTGGCAGCAGGGCTAGTTTCCCCTTCCCCTCCCTTTCTCCTCTTCCAGCCATTCTTCTCATTTTGGAGAGAGAGCTTTGTGTTTCACGCATGGTGATGGAGAGAAGTGGACGATCCTGCCCTGTTCCCAGTGTCAAAATAGTACCTCGGGTTAAGAACTTTGCTTCAGGATGAGAACAGAAATCATGCTCTGGCGGCGCGGCGGCAGCAGGAGGCCCCATTAGCTAATGTGGTGCTTCAAGTTAAGAACAGTTTCAGGTTAAGAACGGACCTCCGGAACATATTAAGTACTTAACCCGAGGTACAACTGCACAGGGGCCGTGGGTCCCCTGCCAATATTTTCAAGAAGCAGGCCTGGTCCGTCCCCCCCAAATCCCGTGGAAATCCTCAAAAGAACATGCCAGGATGAAGATGTTTGGCCCTGTCATGTCCTTTTGAGAATCGTCAAAGGGACGCATGGGGCTAAGCATCTATTTTCCGCACGTTCCTTTCACAAAGCTAAGGCAGCTGGTGGTGGGTCGGTGAGGGATGGCGGGCTGAGTCGACCTGGCCAGGTTGGGGAGTGCCGCACGTGTGATGTCATGCATGTGCAACGGACCCCCACAATGTTGAGCGCACCTCGACGCCTATGATATAAAGCACAACGGCATCATTTTAGACAGTCATGGCTTCCCTGTTGTCCCCCCCACAGAATCCTGGGAGATGTGGCTTGTTAAGTGTGTTGAGAGTTTGTTAGGAGACCCCTATACGCTTCCCAGAGCCACAATTTCCAGAGTGCTTTAACAATCAGTACAGGGAACTATGGAGCCTGCCGGCTGATTTTCCTGCAGAGCCCAGAGCCTCCATGGAGGCAGGGAAGGGCTTGAAGAAGCCAAGTGGGGAGATGGAACCAGAGATGAGAGTGACTGAATGGGAGGGTTCGGTTTTGCTACCTAAAAACCAGGCGCTGCCTTTGCAAATGGGATCCGACTCACCCACCCGGAGTGTGCGTTTGCAACCCTGACCTTGCCGCAACATGAACGAGTCTCGCAAGTGAGCATGCTGCACCTCTTCTTTAAAAGCTTAGTGGGTGGAGTGTGGAGAATAGTTTTCATCCATTTCTGAACTTCTTGCTTGCTCTTGAACCCCTGAACCATGACTCCCGAGTCTAGTGTCTGCTGCTATTATTTCTCTGAACTTACGGACAAGTAAGAGCCTCTGTTTGGGGGACCCAGGACAGTTAAGGGCACTGCAAACTGTAGCTCCGTGAGGGGGTAAACTACAATTCCCAGGATTCTTTGCGATGAATGTGCTTTTAATGCATGGTGTGTGTGCCGCCTTAGCCAACAATTTTAGAATATTTTACAGTCGAAATCTTTTTTATTCTTTGGTGTGAAATATTATCATGGTCGCAGCTGTCAGGAAAAGAAGCTCTGTCACCACACAAGCAATGTGCGGTGTGGACTGTGGTAGTGTTTTAAATTTGGGTTACTTAAGAGCGTGTTTTGGGATGTAGCTGTGCATCTCCGTCTCCAGTTCTACGGCATTCCTTCACCTTCAGAAAGTTCTTCCTGGTGTTTAGTCGGAATCTCCTTTCTTGCAACACAAAGCCCAAGGTTTGGGTCGGACTCCTTCAGAAGGTGGTGTGGTGGACTCTCCTTCATTGGAGGTTGGACGGCCACCCACCATGGATACTCTAGCTGAGATCCCTGCATTGCAGGGGGCTGGACTGGATGACCCTCGAGGGTCCCTTCCCCTCTCCAGTTCTATGATTCCCCAGTGCTGCATTGCCTTATGATTTCCATTCCTTCTCTTCCCACAGGTCAGTCTTCTTTTCAAGAGGCGATGTCATGCACCGACAGCCCCTCAGAGGGCGCTGTGGGGCAGCAGCTGGAGCTGCGGAATGAGGGCCACGCCGATGGGTTCTTTGCTGTGGCTCAGCAGCTGAGAGAACAGCGCCATCTCGTGGACGTGGTTGTCACCCTGGGCCTAAGGGACTACGACGCCCACAGCGCTGTCCTTGCTGCAGTGAGCTCGGTCTTCCGGCAGCGCTTGGAATGTGGGGAGCATGGCAAGGTGGAGCTGGATGGCGTGACCACACCATGCGGCTGGGAGGCCATCTTGAATTTTGCCTACACTGGGGAGCTGGAGGCCACACCAGAGAAGGCTGGGGAGATCTTGGATGCTGCGGAGGCCCTGGGCGTCCCTCGCGTGGCCGAGATTTGCAAGGCGGTGTTGATTGGGTTGGAGGCAGAGGACAGGCTGAGTCCAGAGGATGAGAAATGGGAGACACTGCGGGGCCTGGAGGAGCTTTATGAGAAAGGCATCGGCTGGGACCTGGAGCTTAAAGCTGAGGAAGATATCTATCAAGGTGAACAAGGCAGAGCTTGAGGGGAAGCCCCACATACTGATAGGAAAGGGATCTGTGAGGTGGGATGGAATGGGAAGGCTAGATGTTTTGGGTTGGGGACTATAGGTTCCTAACTGAGATATGGCTGTTGGGTCCCCTGATCTCATCTTCCCTCCTTCCAGTTCACCGACTAGCCTTGGCCTGCGGCTGCGAGTTCTTCCACGGCATGTTCACCAGCGGCATGAAGGAATCCCGCCAGGCGGACGCCCCTCTCTGCACCCGCTTCACCTCAACTGATCTGGGCCTGGTCATCTCCTTCGTGTACTCGGGAACACTGGCAGGTGGATGGGACAACCTCTTTGATGCTGCCCAGGCTGCCCTCCAGTATCAGGTCTCCGGCATCTTGGAACTCTGCCTGGATTTCTTCCGCCACAAGCTGACTCCCGAATCCAGCTTGGATGTCCTCTCTTTCGCACGTGCCTATGGCCTTCATGATCTGGAAAGCGCCGCAGAGAACTTTGTGCTGAGGAACTTTGCTCACGTCACGAGGACGCCCAAGTTCCTGGACCTTCCAGCCAGCCAGCTAGTGCACTTCCTCAGCTCTGATGCCCTCTATATCCTCAATGAATTGGAGGCCTTCCAAGGAGCCATCCGATGGCTGGAAGCTGACCGGGAAGGACGGATGGACTGTGCTGAGCAAGTCTTGCGTTGCATCAGGTTCCCTCTGATGTCTACCCGGGAGCTCAAACAGGTTCGCGCAGTAGAAATGATGGCCTCCCCAGGCCGGCTCTATAGCCTCATGGTCGAGTCCTTAGCTAGCATCCCACCAGGCCCTTCCAAGCTGGAGCAACTCCCTTGCCGGGTGAGGTACCCAGAGAAGGTGATTGCCATCAGCGGAGGAGATACGCTGGCAAAGAATATGGCCACTCGCAGCCCTAGCCGGGACTTATGGTTCACCCACCGGTTCATTAGCAGCATCGGATTGGTCAAGCAGGTTGAGTGGCGTCGTCTTGGGGAGCTCCCAGAGGGGGCACGCTTCCGGCATGCTGTGGCAGTCAAGGACAACGTGATGTACATCTTTGGTGGAAAGGACTACTATGGGACCCGGGACACCATGTGCTCAGTGTTCAAGTGAGAGGAGGATTCTTGCCTTTGGAATTAGAGTGGGTGAGAGGGAAAGAACCAGGTTGCAAGTTCCGCGATGTGAGAAGAGTTGTGGGTGGGGCATGGGAAGGATAAACAGGTCTTCAGAATCAGTATTTCAGCTGGGAGATCATCAGTACAGTTGCGTAGGCCAGAGTGGAGGTGGATGTTTGGAGAAGTAGTCTATTGAACAGGGTGATAAGGGGGCAAAAGAGGGGTGGGGGGCAAAAGCAGGTGTCAGAGAAGACGTGCAGCAGTCAGAATGTCCATAACTGGTGCTGGCCTGACCTGCAGAGTTTTATAGGGCTCTCCAGCCAATCAGAAGACTGGGCTGGGAGCCAATCAAAGCCTGGTACACAGGCAGTGAGAAAGATTAGAAGACCCCCTCACATCTTATTCCTGATTGGCTGCAGCTTCCACCAGGAGCAGCAGCCCCAATAGGTTTTGGCCCATCCCTGGGTTCCAGTAACATATGCCCTGGATGTTAGTGATTGACTGGCTCAATAGAATGAAAAATAGATCGTTGGTGTGCTGCCCTTCTAGCAATACATAGCTCTCTGATCAGGTTCCTCAAACAGGAAGGGACACGTTGCCTTTGGCAGCATTTGGCTGTCCAGAAATTTGACATGGATGTTCTAAAGCCACTGTGGAAAAGGTGGAAAGATGTGAAGGACAGACAACATAATGAGGGATGCTTCTGAACCTTTAATTTTAGGAACAGATTCAGAGTTGCGGGGATGTGGGGTTGCTTCCAAGCGCCATCTTTGTTCCCTGACACTCCCCTCTTGCAGGTTCGACCCTCTCTGTGGGAGTTGGGAGCGGTTGGCCGACATGACAAGTCACCGGAGCTACTTCCAGGTGCTCTACCAGGATGGCTTTTTCTATGCCTTAGGGGGCAGCTCCAACGATGCCTACTGCCTGGATACAGTGGAGTGCTATGACCCCCAGACCAATGCCTGGAGGTGAGGAATTGTGTGTTGGGGGGGGGGGCTTTGTCAAACCTCACCTGGCGTCCAGTATCGGGCACAGCGTTTTCATCTGCATATAGACACATGGAACGGGTTCAGAGGAGGGTAACCATCAGGAAAACAAGTCCAAGAGCGAAGGAACTGGATAAATTTTAACCTGGGGAGTAAAAGACTGAGGTGGGACCCAGGTAACAAATGATTTTGGGGGTTGTGTGAGAGAGTGACAAAGTAAAATATTGAAATGAGGAGCACAAGTTTCTCAGGAGCACAAAAAACGACAATAGTGCCTGTACATTTTGCCTTAAATTTCAGGTTGTACAGATGCTAGAAACTTTTAAAGTGGCATCAAATCACTTTACACAGTTGTGGCTTACCCTAAGAAACCTTGGGAATTGTAGTTTCCTAGAGAAGTTAGACTGGCTAGACCTCCTTGTGTTCTTCCGCCAGCCGATGAAGACCTTTATATTCCAACACGCTTTGGGGAACTGACTGTTTCTGAGGAAAGGGCTGGCACTGTGATGCCCCTATTGTTGCTGGTGTTGAGGGACCACCACCACCTCTTGCCATTATGAATGGTTTAACTGTGTTGTGTGACTAATATACATTTCCTCCTTGTTCCTTCCCACTAGGCCATGTGAACCTCTGCCCGCTCCGCTCTGTGGCCACGCAGCCTGCATCCTGGACGGAGTCATCTACGTCTCCGGGGGCAGCGACGGCTCATGCCGCTGCCAGTCTTCCCTGATCCAGTACCGCCCGGGCGCAGCGCCCATCCCGCTGGCCATGATGCGAGAGGAGCGCGCAGGCCACAACATGGAAGCCATGGGTGGGCACATCTACGTGGCGGGAGGCCTGCGATGGCGGGATGGACACGGGGGCTACGCCGACCAGCTGGCCTGCGAAGTGTACAGCCCGGGCCTGGACGTGTGGGCCGCCCTTGCCCCTCTGCCACAGGCCCACGTCATCGCCGCCTCCACCGTCTTGGACGGAGAGCTCTACATCATGGGAGGCTACAGCCACAACACCTATCGCGACACCCACTTGATCCACTGCTACAACCCGACCCATGACCGCTGGGTCAGCGTCGGGACGCTGCCTCAGGCTTACGCAGACCTCAGGGCCTGCATCTTAGAAGTTCCTCCTTCTCTGAGGAGGAAACAGCCCTCGCCCTTAGATACGGCTAGTGTGGAGATCCCTGCTGATTCTTTGACAGAGTTGCCGTATCAGTACTCCTGAGACACCTCCCCAGTTTTATGTGGAATCACCTGCACAGCTTTAATAGGGGCAGAAACTCTAGGAATGGTTTGAACATGCATGTGTGATTTCTCTGTGATTGTGCTGCAGAGGCAGGGGGAGCTGGCAGTCCTTTGCACATTAACTGGACTCCAGCTCCCATTAACCGTAGCCAGCATGGCCGGCTGTTGAGGATTATAAGAGCCTAGCCTAAAAGGACCGCTAATGGGTGCCAGGGTACCCACCTTCTATGGGTGGGTCCCAGTGATTATCCCCTCAAAAAAAAAAACCCCAACAAGGCACAACAGAAAGTTCTGTCTCTCTGCTCAACTTGTGGCTGAGCTTCTCCTACATTGAACGCACCCCTTAAATGTGCTCACATTTCATTGGATGATGACTTGACACCCAACCTCTGTTCTGAACTGAGCAGTGCAAAGAGCTTCCCTCTCAGAGTGACTGTGACGGTGGCTGGTGTAGGTGATGTGGCAGCCATTTTGGGTCATCTCACCTGCCTCATGGCCCCAAAGAGGTTGGCAATGCCTCGTTTCCACACCCCTGCTGTATACTTCAGGGACTAGAGGACCCTCAAGGTCCCTTCCAACTCTACTGTCCTATGATACACATGACTCACTTGAAAAAAACTTTGCAAGGGAGGTAATGTGAAAATTCTGCCTGAGGTGTTAATACCGTTTGATGCTGCAGTTACCAAGAAATAACCATGACTTGTGTGAACCAGCCTGGTGTTTCTAATGGAACCACACCAAGCAAAAAACAAAGGGCAGCAGTGTTGTTTTTAAACCACCGCTGTATTTCCACTACGCTTTGTTAAAGCTGCATCTGTTGAATTTCTGCCTGTTGTGCAGCTGTTAAAAAGGCAAGCACTTCTGTGAGGAACAAGCAGAGAGGCAAAATGCTGTGGGTGAGGGTGGGGTATCCCCCACTTCCTTCAATGTGATGAAGTTATCAGAAGGAAGAGTTGAATTCTTCAGTCTTGATTGGGGTGGAATATTTTTGACTGGCAGGCCTTGAACTCTGTTAACACCCCTTGCTTGACTGCCTGGAGGAGAAAGAGGGTAATATTTAGATTCAATGCTGCACCCATTTAGGCCCTGCCTACTGTTGCCCCCTCAGAAGAGAAAGCAGCCCACCCTCGGAGAAAAGTTCATCACCCCCTGTGCTAGATAGGGTTCCATGCAAGAGCTTCTCTATTAAGCGATGAGTTGCAAAATGATGTGTATACAACAATTAAGCTGCCCACTATTTAGCTTATAACACATGTTATCGTAGGTGGTGTTTTGCTTGTTTTAAAAAATATGGCTGTGATTATTCCTGCTCTTAAGGCACATTACTTCACTTTCCCATTGGGGTTGCCAGCTTTTCTTCCTGGATTTTTAATGCTATTGCACGGCCCTTGCCAGATTTTCAAACGGGCCACTGCAGCTTTAAAGGCAGTCTGCAGACAATGCTTGTGTTCCTGCTGGTGGAAACCTTAACCTGCTGATTCATGCATATCAAACATCTGCTAAAGGGCCACCCTCTGCTATACATTTAAAGCAATATCTTACCACTTTAAACGGGTCAGGGTTTCCCCCAAAGAATCTTCAAGCACATTGCCTATTCTTCTACAGTCCTTCATTGCATATTTGTTGCGAGCAGGGATTTTCAATTCTGATAAATATGAAAGATCAGAAAAGAGAAAGGCTTCTTTGTGTTGACGAGATGAGAGTTTGTTTCAGATTAGACCTCTCATTGAGTCTGTATAGATACTTAAGGCACATATGTAAGAGGCTTGTTTATATTTTGGCAATGTTTTCGCCAAACGTAGCTGCATTGTTGCATACTTTATGGATGTCCCACAATCATTTTATAAAGTAGCTGTTTTCTGTGCTACAAATCAAGCACTGCCAGGAGTTTTTTCTTTCTTTTTGTTTTCTAATGCATTACTTATCAATAAAAAATTCGGTGTGGTGTGAGCAATTTTTTATTCTGAAAGTGTGGCCCAGAGAAAAAGTGTGGGGAACTGCATACTATAATACGTTTGAGAGGGGGGCTCTCAAGTAAAACTTCATGCCTCTGATACCTCACCCCCTCACCCCACCCAATTCTTTAATTATGGGCTCAATTTTGCAGGGCTCTCTTCCAATCAAGGTCTGATTATGTCCCTTTCCTACTGGCCTCTCCACACTTAACAAATACTTTAAAAAAATAGTTGGGGAAGAGGGGTTATTGGGCTGTTTTTGTTTTTATTATGTATTCTGTGTTTTTATATGGTGATTTTCTGTCGTAACCACCCTGAGACATGTGGGTACAAGACAGTATACATATTATTATTATTATTAATTATTATTATTAATACAGCAACCCATGAGATATTTTAATTGGCATTTGATTTTATAGTCACAACTGATTCATTTTATAAAATTATTTTTTGTATCCCATCTTTGTGAACTGCATGGACGCTCTTGCAGTCGAGTGATTTATAAACAAAACGACTAAGTCGAAGCTGGAGCCAGGACTGCCGCTTCCTCCCTTTCCAACTCCTTGAACGGTGAGTGCGCTCTCCGGATTCAAGAGCCAGGACTCCTGGGTTCTTCTCGTGCAACCTGAGCTCTAACGGGTTAAAAACCGTGGCGGACCAGAGAGGTCAGGCTTCCCGGGTTTCCTCGCTCAAAGCCTTTTTCTGAAACTTGACGCCTTATAAGCCACCAGCCGGGACTGCCTTCTTTCTCCGGGGGCTCTAGCGCGGACGAAATCCGGTGACTTGGACACCTGAGTCTCTCCGGAGGTGCGTGGGATTTTGCTGCCGGGAGGGAGGCAGGGAGGGAGACGCTTCTTGGGCGCAGTCCAGGCTCCGCCTAGGCGGTGCTTGCGCCGGCTGTGGTTTCTCCGCTTGAGCTTCCGCGTCCGGGAAGGGCTGGCTGGAGGCGTGCAGGCGACTCGGTTTTCTGGGGTGGGTGAGCACCGACCTCTCCAAGAAAACCGATAAAACAGGGTCTGTTGGTGGGGCTGACCTCCCACCCCGTACCTCTCCAAAGGCGGTTAGGGGGTGGCGCCGGCTAATATTTCAAGGAAAGAGGCTGTAGGTTGCAGCAGAGGCGGACCTCGCCTTGAGAGTCCTTTTGCAAATTTCGCAGAAGGGGGGGGGGGAAATCCCTGATAGGAGGAAAGAGAAAGAGAAAGATTGTGGAATGCGAGAAAGAGAAAGATTGTGATCAGCTCAGGTGGGTGGTATATAATAATAATAAATCTAAATGGAGGGAGGAAGCAGCTTATAGAGGTGACTCTTTGGCCAACCTGTAGCGAATTTGCAAGCCTGAATGAATTCGGGTGGAATTGGTTTCCTGCATCGCGCGCAAACCATGGTTTCTGGTTGCCGACTGGCAAGCGGCGATAAGGGGCTGCTGGGTGTGTGTGTGGCTCCTGTGCCTTTAACATTCATTAACTTAAAGCTTCTGCGAGCGATGGGTGTGGCTCAGTGGTAGAGTTTGGCATGTATAGGTTGCCAGGTTCAGTTGCACGTACCGTATATCTGCTTTGGGGCTGGGAGAGAGAGAGAGATCACTGCATGAAACCCGGAAGAGTCGCTGCAGGTCAGTGTATGCATTACTGAGCCAGATGGACCCAGTGGTCTGGCTTTGGTATATATGGCAGTTCCCTATGGATGTTTGCCCAACGCGTTTGTTGGTTGAATGTGCAGAATAGGAGATAAGGGAGGGAGTTTCATTGCGGCGGGCGCCAACGCTGCAGGGAAATACAGGAACTGAAAGCAGGAACCGAGAGACAGTGGCTTCAGATAAACAAGGGAATTAATTGAATTAACCAGGAGGCAGGAAGAGCCTGGGGGTTGTGGCTGGGGGTGGTTGTGCAAGGCCTTGTGACTCAGTGAACATTTAGATACGGTGGAATGCTGTGGCTGCAGCTATGAGTGGCAGGGTGGGTGGGCCCTGCCTGGGCCTTTGGACTTCTAGGGAATCTTCCAACTTCATTCCCTCAAATTTTCTGCTTTTCCAAAATAAATAAATAAATAATTCTAGTTATTTTCACCATGCTATGGTGCCACAAGGGGGTGCTGTGCTAAAAGGATGCATAACCCTAAACCTGGGGTCTTTTACACCCCAAGTGTTGAAAGGATACCGCCCCACAACTGCAATATTTCTCACTGAGAGCCTGTGTGAAGCGTTTCCTCAGATCTATTGAGACGCGACAACATTGGGAGAGCCATAGGTTTCTCGTTCCCGGTTGAAACCCAGCAACGTTCGCTTAAAGAAGAGGCAGTATGGGGGTCTAAGAAATGCTTCATTAAAACACCAGCATGTTAAATTCACACTAACGGATGCCTAGTTTGTTCATTAACTTGTGCAGCTGATTTGCAGAAAGCTTTCTAGGTGAGCTCCCGTTGCTCGGTCCCTGCTCCTGCCAACCTAGCAGTTTGAAAGCACATCAAAATGCAAGTAGATAAATAGGTACTGCTCCGGCGGGAAGGTAAACGGCGTTTCTGTGTGCTGCTCTGGTATTCTGCTAAGAAGCGGCTTAGTCATGCTGCCCACGTGACCTGGAAGCTGTACGCCGGCTCCCTTGGCCAATGAAGCGAGATGAGTGCCACAACTCCAGAGTCAGTCATGACTGGACCTAATGGTCAGGGGTCCCTTTACCTTTTTTCTACATGCTATGTGCAACTTAAAAGTACAAAGGTAGAAACACAGGAATTGGGAAAGGACCTCAGTGGTCATCTTAGCCCATGCAGGTATTCCACTGCTACAGCAGCCTTGATAAGGTGACCAGCCAGCCTTTTAATAAAAACTTTTGAGCAGCCACTACAAATCTTGCCACTCTTATCTGACACAAATCTGTTGAAGTGTTGCAGAGCAAATACAGTGGTACCTCTGGTTACATACTTCATTTGTTCCAGAGGTCTGTTCTTAACCTGAAACCATTCTTAACCTGAAGCACCACTTTAACTAATGGGGCTGCCGTGCCGCCGCAGCGCAATTTCTGTTCTTATCATGAAGCAAAGTTCTTAATCTGAAGTACTATTTCTGGGTTAGCAATCTTGGTAACCTGAAGCGTATGTAACCCGAGGTACCACTGTATATGATTTTGCTTGATCGCCATTGGGTATCCTGCTTAACAAATTCAGAATAAACGTTCCCTTGGTTCAGAATGCCAAGAACAGTGTAATAAACAATGATAATGATCTTCCACTTATTGAGCACCAGAGATGCAGTTCTGCAAGAATTTTACGCCCCTCTAAGTATTCTGAAGGCATCGTCCGGAATTGCAAAGCCACGAAAACAATTACAAATCCAATACGGGTACTGAGTGGGCTGAAGATCTCCACTTAAGACAGCTGGTTAGAAAAGAAATTATTTTAAATACAATAAAGTTCCTGTCTAATAAATAATGGTGGGGTGGTGGTGGTTTTCCAACAAGTAGGTGCCACTACACCAAAGGCCCGATTATGACATAGTGTGGAGTTGATCCTCCTGAGGTCGTTGCATGTAGCACAGCCTTCTCCTGCAGAAAAATAATAATAATAATTTATTATTTAAACCCCGCCCATCTGGCTGGGTTTCCCCAACCACTCTGGGCGGCTTCCAACAAAAGATTAAAAATGCATTAAGAGTGTAGCATTCAGCTGGTTTTATAAGGGATGAGAGGCTCTTTCAGGTATCCTGGTCTCAAATCTGCATAGGGCTTGTTCGCATTGAGTTCCAAAGTCTATTCTTTCTCTTTGCAGACGTCCAAGCACCCAGCGGCCTTCCCAGTGAAGTCCATGGATTCCTCTGCCTCCCTCTTTGGGGAGAAGCCCTTGCTTCATGCTTGCGCCCCTGCTTCTCTCACCCTTCCAAAGCTGGAGGAAGTCCAGGCCCGACTCTTGCAGCCCATTACCCCGTCTGCTTCATGGCTAGCCTCGCTGAAGCCCCTCAGTGCCCAGAGCCAGGTCGTGGCAGGCTCCTTGACAACGCCAAATGCTCTGGATTTCAAATGGCTCGACTCGGTCCTTGAGCAGACACAGGTAAGCATGGCTGTGGTAATGCTAGTAGCAATAACACCACCAACAATAACTATTTCACAAGAGATGGTTTATTTGGATGCACATCTGATCCATGATGGGGTTAATGGTCAAAGCCCTCCCCACCCAAAGAATCCTGGGGAAGACACTTTTGTGACCATGCTAGAAAGGCAGTTTTTTCACAAAACAATAATTCTTAGGTGTGCTCAGAAACGGAAGCCACAAGGCGTCATCACTAGGAGTTGATTCAAACAGAGCTGGGGTTTCTTTTCCTTTTCCCCCTTTGGGTGCTCCCAGATGGGTGGGTGTTGTGGGATCAGTTCTGTTCCTGCACATCCCTACTGTAGGCGGGGAGATTTTGATGCAGGAAAAAGGTTTCAACATTTCAGAAGTAGCATAGTACCAGGAAATAGGCCCTGTGTGATACACCTGAATGTGTAGATCTGCGCTGCAGGCCGGTGTGCCACTGCTGCTATACCTGCCCCCCCCCCCCGCCCAGTGTACTGTTGCCAGCCAAGGGAAGTCAGAGTTGTATGGCAGATGTAAAGGCGAATGGGATTCTACTTGGCGTTAAGCTTTTTCATGTGTTACGCTGAGCACAGGTGCAGGCTGTCTATATAGGTACATGTGTTTGTGCGAAAGCGTGTACGCTTGCTGATTTGTACAGTGGTACCTCAGTTTAAGTACTTAATTCGTTCCGGAGGTCCGTACTTAACCTGAAACTGTTCTTAACCTGAAGCAGCACTTTAGCTAATGGGGCCTCCCGCTGCTGCCGTGCCGCCGGAGCACGATTTCTGTTCTCATCCTGAAGGAAAGTTCTTAACCTGAAGCACTATTTCTGGGTTAGCGGAGTCTGTAACCTGAAGCGTATGTAACCCGAGGTACCACTGTACAGCCAAGTGTATTCCACACACTGTGTATACACTTGTGGGTGATATTGCATGAACAGCCTCATTCCTGCCACTAATTGTTCCTTTATCGTTCCCTACTCCAGGCAAGGCAGCCTGCAGCATCCGAGGTGAAGAAACTTGTGTCGTATTCTGCCTTCTCTGAACCAAGGCTGCTCTGGTTGGAGAATTCCCTTCTGAAGCAGCCTGCCCACTTGGCTGTTCAGGGGCTGGAGGAATCCAAGGCTCGCCTGCTGCGTCCTATTTCCACCTGTGTTGCTTTATCAAAGCCTTTGGATGTGCAGGTCTCTCCCCTATTGGATCCTCAGGAAAGAATCTGTGCCTCAACATCCTTGGGGTTGCCACCAGGTTACACAGCCCAGGATGAGACTTTTGGACCAAGCACCAAACTGGAAGAACCACAGTTGCAAGTAAGACTTCAGTTGGACAAGGACCTATACAGGCCAGGCCCAGTTGCTGGAGTATTGTCATGGCAACAGGATATTGCATGAGAGAGGTTTCAGCAGCAGTAACTTTGGCCTGCTGGAGAAGGTTGGGTTGGATGGCAAAGGGAATGGAGGAAAGTTTTATAGCCGGGAAAAAACAACCATCTAGGCAGTTAGGAAAACCTGGGTTTTAAGAGTTTTCCTTCCATAAATTCGGGCCAGCAGCCAAAGCAGTGGCCCTCCACTGGACTACAAATCCCATCATCACTGATCGTTTGCTGGGGTTGATGGGATTTGAAGTCCGAAAACATCTGCAGGGTCACAGGTTCCCCATCCCTGAGCTTGAGGGGGAATCCTCAGTCATAATCTACACATGTTCATTGCTATTTTTACTTGGGTGAAGGGTTCTTGGTAGTGGCGCCCGCCCTGTGGAACACCCTCCCACCAGATGTCAAAGGAAAAAAACAACTACCAGACTTTTAGGAGACATCTGAAGGCAGCCCTGTTTAGGGAAGCTTTTAATAGGAAGGACTATTGTATTTTAATATTTTGTTGGAAGCCGCCCAGAGTGGCTGGGGAAACCCAGCCAGATGGGCAGGGTATAAATAAAAAAATATTATTATTATTATTTACAAACTACATCTGAGGAGTGTAGCCAGATGTGGCCACAATTAATACACACTTTAACATTCCTGGTTGTGGACGCTTTTTTTTGTTTTCAGGGGTTTCAGATGAAGCATTTGCACGGGTCTTGTGCCTGAGAACTTTGCTGGTGTTTCTATACTCACTGGTAAAAGACACCTGGAAAATGAATATTGGATAATGCTTGTAGAGTGGTTGCAACTTTGACTAAGGGACAGTGGGGTTTCTTCCCCTGCAGGAGGAAAGGGATGAGGTGGAAGCTGCTGGCGCCATCCCAGAGTATGTTCTCACTTTGCCCGAAGATGACCTGAAAGTGCAGTCGGAAGAGGACGATTCTTTGGCTGATGAGCTGCCTGTGGAGAGCAAAGAGCAGCAAGTGAAAGATCAAAAGGTGAGAGGTGTTGTGCTGGTAGGAACTAGGGGTTGGGGAGACTTTGGATGCACCTTGCAATTAAAAACAAATTGCCTATTTTGCAATTTCCAAAGTGTTATGTGAACTGGAATACTGTATTTTTCCTTCTAAGTTCACTTTGCTCCAAATTTTGCAGTACAGTTCTCCAGCCAAATAACAGATTGTTATGGGTTGGGGGTCAGTCTGGATGACCATACACCCTTCCAAACCTGTGATTCTGTGCATCAGAACAAGTCAGACTAGCTCCTTTGTGGCAGCTTAGCTAATTTTACCCATCACTTGTTTCTTAGAGTGAGTTCTATTGCTGTAGAGACAAATGGATGGGTCTTCTTCCACCACGCTTGGCTGGATACTGGGTCATTCTGGGATGGAGAAGAATAGGCTAAACATGTACGTGTGTGTGTGTGTGTGTGTGTGTGTGTGTGTGTGTGTGTGAATGAATGAATGAATGTGAAAGTGTGTGTGTGAGAGAGAGACAGAAGGTGTTATGCTGACCCTGGAGAGATGGAGACATGTTTTGTTCTGTGTTGGAGCCAAAACTGAGCTTGCAACTTCCTTGGAAACGTAACGGGAAAGAAAGATCTGCTGGGATAATGCTGTGTTGATCCCCTCCATCCTATGCTCGGGTTGTGTTGATAAAACCAAAATATCCCAAAGACACTGCAGTTTCCATTGACCTTCATTTCAAGGGATCTAAACCCCAGGAAAGCAGAGGCCACCCCTGGAGTCTCTCACCGTGAAGAGATTGGAGTGCACACAACAGTATATGAAAAAAGCATATAATAGGGTCAAGTTGCATAAAACTGCATATGTTTGTGAAATTAACACGGAATGCATTTTTGCGTATGGAAGTAATTGCTTTGCAAAATAAAAATAAAAATGTGTATGGTAGGTGAAACGGCAAACAAGCAGGTGTACATTAGGAGAAATTCGCACTGAAATGTATATGAACTTTCTTGAGGGTTTTTTCTTAACTTGAAAACTGATGTTGGGAGCCGAGTTTGGAGAAACAAGAGAAACTGAAATGGACAAATTGGCTTGTGCCTAGTAGGAACACAGTGGTTCTGGTTTGTTGTTTTTGGATGGGCACTGAAAAATAGTGCACACAATACAAGATGGGCCATGCAGCTGAGTGTTCCTAGATATAGAGGCGAAGATTTGCTGTTAGTATTAGGTTTCCGTTTCAACTGCTGAGTTGATAGGGGCTTCTTGTAATGGGCAAACTGGAACCAGCACCCACCCACCAAGCCCAAGGCAGTCACCTGCCCCTAAATCTAAGTGAATCCAGAGCTTCCAGCTTTTCATCCAGTTCCAGTGGTGGATTCTTAGAAGCTTAAGAGTGGTTGGTGTCCACTGGACTAGAACCTTGAAATTTGAAAGAAACTCTCACGAGAGGCTTCCAAAGGCTTTCTCCTCTAACCCCTTCCCCCTTTTTTAGTTGATGTTGTTGAGCCTGGCCTGCTGTTCGCTGGTGGAAGGCCCAAAGTTTGGAAATCCTCCTGGTGAGCTTCAGCAGGCATTGATGCAAGTGTGTGAGAGCCTAGCAGAGCACGATCCTGAATTCATTCTCAAGGTACGAGGGGGCAGTTAACCGGGAGCCTGGATTTGTGGGGGTTGCACCCAAAATGTCACAAGGGTGTGTGTGTGTGAGGCATTGCGGTGCAATCATTGGACCAGGAAGAAACGCTTGCCTGTTCTCAATGTGTGTTTAATATTTACCTAGATTGGGACGCGGGTGGCGCTGTGGGTTAAACCACAGAGCCTAGGACTTTCTGATCAGAATGTCGGCGGTTCGAATCCCCACGACGGGGTGAGCTCCCGTTGCTCAGTCCCTGCTCCTGCCAACCTAGCAGTTTGAAAGCATGTCAAAGTGCAAGTAGATAAATAGGTACCACTCCAGCGGGAAGGTAAACGGCGTTTCCGTGTGCTGCTCTGGTTTGCCAGAAGTGGCTTAGTCATGCTGGCCACATGACCTGGAAGCTGTACGCTGGTTCCCTCTGCCAATAAAGCGAGATAAGCGCTGAAACCCCAGAGTCGGCCACGACTGGACCTAATGGTCAGGGTTCCCTTTACCCTTTACCTAGATTGTTTTCATGAATGCCATTGAATTTCCCAAGTGCTGACGGCACTCTTGTTGCAAAATGTCATTATAATAATTCTTTCTCTTAAAAACAAACAAAACAAAACTGAGAATATTGTCAATTATATAGTGGACTGGCCGTTATTTTGTTGGCGGCAATGTGACTGAGTGCCAATTGTTGAGAATCGCAAGTGGGAGAATTTCTTCCAATAAAGTACCTAAATTATTGCATTAGGATAAATGCAAATAAAGTGCAGAAGAACATGGCTCTTTTTATCTGTACGCTAGTCTCTTTTGTTGACTTTTTATTTTATTTTTTGTTTTTATGTCCCATACAGTCCCCCTAGGCTCAGAGTGGCATGCAGCAGTTTTTCTAAATGTCGTTAGGCCACATCTATGCCTCACATTTAAAGCACCACCTCACCACTGTAAACAGCAGTGGCTTCCCCCAAGGAATCTTGAGAACTCTGGTTTGTTAAGTGTGCTGAAAGTTGATTGGAAACTTCTCTTGCCTTCGCAGAGCTACAATTCCCAGAGCAGTTAAACAATCTTTCCCCCAGGGAACTCTGGGAGTGTTAAAAGAAATTTTGCAGAGTTCATTTCATTTCTCTAGAGCTCTTCCCTGGAGGGAGGTAGATCTTCTTTCCTAGGCTCTGGGATGCTGTTCCTTTCCAGAAGCTGCCATTGTCCTTGGCAAATTATCTGGTTGTAACAAATTAAAATAGACTGGTTCTGAAACTGTCTCCAGGTGGGAACTGGTATTTGAAAGATCTTGAGCTGCAGAAGGAATGTGGAAATTAAAGGACAACAAAAAAAGAATCCTCATATCAAATTGTGTCATTTTTGCTTTTGTTCCTTCTATTGTGTGATCACAGAGGGCTAGAAACTTGCATCTCCAAAAGCATGGAATCTGTGCTAAGAGCATTATCTGCGTTGGAGCTTTCAGTGCTAACCTGGAATTGCTGGGTGCAGTTGCTAGCCCAACAAAAATGATGGTGTTCTATGTCAGGTTTGGCACAGTAGTTGTGCCGTTGTCCTTCTTGTGTCGGAATCCGAGAGGTGTGACAAACACATGATACGAATGAGGTCCACCTTTCTAGGAAAATGTCCAGACTAGCTGCCTCATCTTTGTGTAGTGGTGTCCTCATACTCACTTCAACATCTCTAGAAACCTCTCTGGGTTCTCCTTGACATACTTTTCTGTGCACTTTCTCTCTCCCTCAATGACAGGTTGCCCTGTACACTCGCCAGGAACTGAATATCCGCAGTACGGCCAATTTTCTCCTGGCGCTGTCTGCTCGCCTTTTGCCCTGCCGCCCACATCTGCGACGGTATTTCTGCCACACTGTGCAGCTTCCCTCTGACTGGAAGGAGGTGGCCAAACTCTATCAGGTAAGGAGAGAATGACCGCACAAAATCCTTTAGCAGGGAGTTCCACTGGTAATCCAGGATGCAGCACTGTTTCTCGTCCTGGTTAACACATGGTGCTATTATTTTTCTCTTGCATGCAGAGCCTAGCAGGGGAAGGAAAAGCTCTGGCTCCAATGCCTTGCTGCCTTCGTGCTGCAATGGCTGATAAGTTCCGGCAGTTTGACATGTACCAGTTGGCCAAATACAATAACCGCAAGAGCCAGGGGAAGAGAAGCCGTCGGCCGAAACCCAGGAAGGTGGGTGCTTTGATTTCAGAGTTCCTGATCATCTTTGTACTTTCTGATATAGGCTAAACATGAGCTGACTTGCTGTGATACCACGGAGTGTTCAGAAACATTCCAATGGCTTGGAGGAAGGTTTCTGCAGCAGGGAATACGCTTAGTGTGAGGGAAGCGAGCTGCAATTTTGATGGTTGGGTGGGGACAGAGCCTGCATCACTGGGCTTGGATGAGTTGGGAGGTTTTGAGCCTGGGGCCAGGAAGTGGCTATAGGGCTAAATATGTTTTTTGCTTTTTTTGTTTGGAAAAAACTAATCTATAGCTACTCCTGTGTGAGATGCAGGAATCGCTCGTTGAAAAAATCTTCATGTGGAATGTGACAAACTCTTGTGCTGGAAAAATGTACAGAAATGTCTTGTTCCCTTGTATCTAACCCTGTACCTCTTTCTTCCTTCCTTCCTTCCTTCCTTCCTTCCTTCCTTCCTTCCTTCCTTTTTTTGGTGGAGGCGCCAATTGGGTATTTATCTTCTGCTTTGTGAGCTTTGAGCGCCAGAAACTGTAAAATGCAGACACCAGGCTTATAGAAGCTTATCCATATTGGGGCATATCTGTAGTACCAGGAGTATTTGTGATGTGTAGTTGGCCCAGGGACCCTGCACTGCTTGTTTGTGGCTAATGCTTGTTCATTTTGTTTCCTCAGCAAGAGCCAAGAGCTTCTAACTGGGAAGAGCATTGGCCTGGTCGGAACACAGTTTTTGCAACAAAAGCCAGATTGCTCCAGAGGAAGGTAAGACATACCTGGGGGAGCAGAGGAAAGTGTTGTCCTGGGTACCACATTCCCTTCCTGACACTAAAGTCTCTAATTGTGTATAGCTCAGGGCTAGGAAACTTTGAAGTGTTGTGTCGAGGTCTCCTGTCTTCAAGGAAAGGGCTCTGGGAGCCCCTTTCAAAACTTCTCTGAAGACGCAAAGTGGTTTTTGAGATTTCTTAGTCCTCTTGTCAATTGCTTCCCACCAGTTTGAAGAGGAGTTGAAAAAGGAAAAGGTGTGTCCAGTGGCCACCAAGGACCTCTTCTCCCTAAAGGCTTTGATCCAGCGCCTTCACATCTCTGAGCCGGCCCAGCTTGTAATGAGTGTCCTGGGACGCAGGTGAGGCTTCCTGGGTAGCATTGAATCCCCCTCCTCCTGGCCAATGGTAGCCTTTCGGTTTCTGAAGTGTGAGCAGGTAAGGCCTATGTATTCTCTACTCTGACTGGCAGTGGCTCTTGGAAGCTTTCGGGCAGGAGTTTCTTTCTACCTGATTTAAACGGCCTCGGCTCAGTATACCTGAAGGAGCGTCTCCACCTCCATCGTTCTGCCCGGACACTGAGGTCCAGTGCTGAGGGCCTTTTGGCGGTTCCCTCGTTGTGAGAAGTCAAGTTACAGGAACCAGGCAGAGGGCCTTCTCGGTAGTGGCACCCGCCCTGTGGAACGCCCTCCCACCAGATGTCAAAGAGAAAAACAACTACCAGACTTTTAGAATACATCTGAAGGCAGCCCTGTTTAGGGAAGCTTTTAATGTTTAATAGGTTATTGTATTTTAGTGTTCTGTTGGAAGCCGCCCAGAGTGGCTGGGGAAACCCAGCCAGATGGGCGGGGTATAAATAATAAATTATTATTATTATTATTACTTCATTTAGAGATGCCAGGGATTGAACCTGTGGACCTTCCGAATGTTAAAAGGGATGCTCTGCTACTTAACTCACTCCTTCCGAAAGGAAGCATGTGGCTTGGACTGAACAGCAGGTTCCGAGGATAGGGCTTTTATAGGACCTGGTGGGCAGGGATTGGCCCTCGGAAGGGGTCAGCTGACGGAATGCTTCAGCTGGTTGTTGAACTGCATCCTAGATGGCGCTCTTGAGCTCCAGAGCTGTGTCAGGCTTGCAGTGGAAGCAGAGGCATGCATGACAAATAAATAAACCTTGATTTGACAAACCCACCTACCCTGTTAAATTTCACGGTTGAGCTAATAAATCATTTTGCAAGAATTCCAGCAATCAGCATGTATTAAGTGATCTGCATGGGCCATGATTCACCAGTGAGCTTCAAATCAGCCTTCAGCCATCCCACCTTCGCCCTAAATCTCCTCCTCTTGCTTGAACTCTCCAGGTACCCCTCGGATTTAAGTGCCTTCTCTCGAAGTCGCCTCCCTGGGCCCTGGGACTCCAGCCTTGCTGGCACTCGTATGAGGCTGCCGAAGCCTCAAACCTGGGAGCGGGACCTCAGCCAATTGGGGAACAAGGCCAAGGCCTGGGAAGAGCTGATTGGTAGGTGTGAGAGAGAAGTTGAGTTTTGTTGTGGTGGTTTCCCCATCTGCTGAAAAGTGGTGCCCCAATATCCCAGTTCACACCTGTGGCAAGTGAAGGAAACAGTTATTTTGTTCGCTGACATACGTTTTTGTGGGAGAAGCGGGACTCGGTTCAGTTGGGTCTGCTGAGGAGACCAGCTCCATCCGGCTTCCCCCAGACCCTCAGTTGCTTCTGTTCCAGCCAGTTATGAAACAGAAATACCATTTAACTTTCAAGAATCAGCAGCTGTTTTCTCCCCCCCTTGTCTGCTTCCCCCCCTTTTGCTCATTCTTAAATGCTGTTCTGGGAACCATTTTGGTTGAACAGTGAGGTACAAATGCTCTAAATAAGTATGTTGCGTTTCTCCTTACCACCAGACCACTAGGATTCTGCCTGTAGAAGGAGCATGCCTTCCGCGATGTGAAAACTTTGGCCTGGTTGCAAAATTGGGGAACCCTCCAAATCTCGAACGTTAACTAGGCTCTAGGTTGCAGAAAATCCCTAGCTTCAGCAGGAGGGGGAGAGGATGTGCTGCATGCAGGCCATTCTCGTGTTGGTGCAGAGTTCTGACTTTGGCCCAACGTTTGAGTCCCTCCCAAGCTTCTGTTGTTGGCCTTTTGCAGATGCAGACAAGCTGCCTTTCATGGCCATGCTGCGGAATCTGCGTAACATCTTGCGGACCGGGGTCAGCGATCGACACCACATGCGACTGTTGAAGCGCCTGGAGGACAAGGTGAGGCCCTCGTACAGATTTTATTTTTTAACAGCAGTTTAGGAAGGTGCTCAGGGGATTTGTCTTTCTAACCTGGGATTATGGGGTTAAACTCTCCAGGTTCTTTCCTAAAGAAAGGTCACTTGCTACCTGAATCTCAAGCTTCTCATCCCTTTTCTGCCACGTTTCTAGGCATAGGTATGTGCTTTAGAGCTCCGTGTCTGAGTGCTGTTTTGTTTTTTTTTGCCTTGGCACTTTGACCATTCTTGTGTTGCAACAAGAGTATGGATTCCATTTGCACCTATGGAAGAAATGTTGAAGTATTTTTTGGGGGGGGAGGAACTATTGGCACAACAGCAAAATCTGCCCCTGATGAAGGACAGCCATAATTTTCAGTACTTCGGTTGTAATAGCAACTTTAATGCGCAGTGCATTGATTTAACCCCCGTTACCCTTGCTTCTCCTGTTGACGTTTTTCTGCCCCTCCCAGGAATCCGTCATTCGCAGCAGGCAGCTCCCTTTCCGGTTCCTTTCAGCCTTCAAGGTCCTGAAAGATCTGGAAAATGAACTCAGAGAGGCGGGTAAGGCCTGCATACCACCCAAGTTGCACTAGAGGGCATTTTTGAAAGGCACCAGTGAGAATTGGTTAGAAAACAGGGGTGAGGATCCTTGGGCCTGGAACTACATGTGGCCCTCCAGGCCTCTCTGTATGGCCCTCAGGGACTCTCTCCAGGCCACACCCACCAGCAGCTCTGTCCCACACTCGCCTTGAGTGCATTTGCCTGACTGGAATGTGACCTTAGGCTATGCTGGTACCTCTTGCCTTGCCCAGGAGTGTATGTGTTTGTGTGCGTAAACCTGACTTCTGCATTGCTGTCATGTTGCCTACAGTACAAAAGTAATGGTCCTTTCCATTGCTCCTCCCACTTCTGCCTCTGCCACCAGGGGCCACTGGCATGTAGGCCCTGTAACAGGGCAGTCCAGCTTTGCATACCAAGCTGTCCACAACAGTACTTTGGCACGGAACCCATGGCCTACACAATGCCTTGTTGCACTTGTGGGGTGGGTGGGAGAAAGCGAGCCCAAAAGCCAGCTATTGTGCTGGCTTCCCAGAGCTGGATAAGTGAGGCACCGGACTCTGCTAGGACCCTGTCAGAGCCCTCACGCCTCCTTCCCAAAGCCTAGCGGCTTGCTTACCTAGCTTCGGGAAGGCAGTGCAAGGGTTGGGTGTGTGTGAAATGTTGCTGAGGGCCGCCAATGAAGTACTCAAGGCTGCATGTGGCCCTTGGGCTGTGTATTGGACTGTCCCTAAGCCTGAATAAGGCTTCCCCAATGGACTGCAAGAAGATCAAACCTCTCCATTCTGAAGGAAATCAGCCCTGAGTGCTCACTGGAAGGACAGATCGTGAAGCTGAGGCTCCAATACTTTGGCCACCTCATGAGAAGAGAAGACTCCCTGGAAAAGACCCTGATGTTGGGAAAGATGGAGGGCACAAGGAGAAGGGGATGACAGAGGACGAGATGGTTGGATAGTGATCTTGAAGCTACCAGCATGAGTTTGACCAAACTGCGGGAGGCAGTGGCGTGCTCTGGTCCATGGGGTCACGAAGAGTCGGACACGACTAAACGACTAAACAACAACACCCTAGATATGAAATGCATTCTATCACTGATGGCCTCAGGTGTCGGTGATCTGACTGCGGCACAAGGAAAATAGCAGAGAGGGAAGGTTGATGGTGAGGGGGACTTCTATGAAAGTGAGAACAGCAGAAGGGATTGATGAAGGAGTTTGGCTGAGTGACTTTCAAGGCACCTGTGTGGGGTGGGTGAGTTAGTATGACAGCAAGGGCAGCTAGGTTTTCTGTAGGTTGTACAAATTTGCAGCAGCCTTTGAAGGGAGTGGGTGGGCTGGAAGTTGCTGGCTGGGATAAACACCTTACCAGCCCTCTCTCTTTCCCTACAGAGACCCCCTTCCCTAGCAACAAAGACATCATCCTCAAGATCATACAGCGACATGGGCTGAACATCTCCTATGGGAGGTCATCGCTATCTTGGACACGGCGAAGCCTGCGTGGGTGTCTGGAGATCCCCGTTATCTTCAGTATGGTGAAGCGCGAGAAGAGGAAACTCCTGAAGGCCAGGTAGCGATGGGGCTGGCTGTGTGGTGAGAAGTGAGAGGCGGACTGTTCACGTCAGAAGTGCAGGGAAGTAAGAGGGGAAGTATGTGCTTCCACAAGGAGGCTAAAAGTCACTCTTGCCCTGCATCCTGTTCGGCCAACAGCAGCCAATCAAATGCTTCTGAGATGCTTGGAGGCGGGGCCTTCTGTCTCCAGCCTCTTTGACCCAGAGATGCATTGCAATGGAATATGGGAGTTTCATTTTTAGCTAGGAACAGGATTAGACAAATCCTGGAGGGGGATAATGCTATGTTAGTCCCTTCACTGTTGGAGGAAGTATACCTCTGGATAGCAGTTGCTGGGAATTACAGGAGGGGAGAGTGGTTTTGTGTGTGGGTGGCACAGTGGTCTAAACCACTGAGCTTCTTGGGCTTGCTGATCGGAAGGTCGGCGGTTCAAATCCCCGTGATGGGGTGAGCTCCCATTGCTCTGTCCCAGCTCCTGCCAACCTAGCAGTTCGAAAGCACACCAGTGCAAGTAGGTAAATAGGTACTGCTGCGGCAGGAAGGTAAACAGCATTTCTGTGCCCTCTGGTTTCCGTCATGGTGTTCTGTTGTGCCAGAAGCGGTTTAGTCATGCTGGCCACATGACCTGGAAAGCTGCCTGTGGACAAATGTCGGCTCCCTTGGCCTGAAAGTGAGATGAGCGCCGCAACCCCATAGTCGCCTTTGACTGGACTTAACCATCCAGTGGGCATCTGGTCAGCCACAGTGAGAACAGGATGCTGGAATAGATGTGGATGTGAGGTCTGATATAGCGGGGTACTTGGAGTGAAGAGCACTGTGGCATAGCTATTGTCTTTTTTTTGTTAATAGACACATTCAAGGTTGTTTATATAGTTCACTTACTTGTTTAAATAGAAGAAACACTACATCTCACTTTGCTGCAAAACACTACAGGGGAAGCTTCCATCATTGCAGCGGTGGCTCAGGTGTTGACTGGCATGTGTGTGTTCATTTGTTTATCTGTCTTCCTTTACAGGGAGATTCGCTGCAGCCACGCTCTCCTGCAACGCTACCAGGAGGCTCTGGAGAAAGCAATCCACATTGCCGTTCGGCACAATCTGCCCCCCATCCCTGGCCGCACCCTCATCCTGATAAGAAACTCAGACATGTCTCAGCCCTACGTGAAGGCCCAGGGTCTCTGCTGTCCCAGCACCAATGGGCAGGATGACATTGGACGGGCCTCCCTCCCCCTTACGGTTTGTTCATCTTAAAAGCAACCTTTCTGTTTTCCCTTTCCTGTTGACTTGTTCCATAATAGGAACTGCATTAGGGCAACTGGGACACTTCCTTCCCAACCTTGCTTGGCCCCCACCTGCCTATTTCCTTTCTTAAAACCAGCCCAGAGGGTGTCCCTGGCTGCCATCTTCCTCCTGAGTTCTCTGTATTGCCCTCGTAGAACTCAGGAGGGGAGGGAAAACCTTTAACTAGTTGATTCTGCTTGTCATTGGCTTCGGATCCACTGATTATTATTAATTCATTTGTATGCTGCTTTCATACCAAATGGCTTCTAAAGCAGTTTACAAATGTAAAATCAATCCTACAACCCATACCTGATTCAAATGCATAATACCAATTCATCAGAGCATTAAAACATCTTTAGTTTAAAATGTGTAAATGAACTAGTTTAAAAGCATGACAAATTGGGTAAAACAATAAGAAATCCTAAGTTCGGGCAACTGCTTGGCTGAACAGGTGTCTCTTCAGGAGCCTGCGGGATGCCAATACTGATGGGGCTTCTCGTACTTCAGCTTCTTTCCCTATTAATATGACAACAGCCCTGCCCTGCCAACCCCCCCCCCCCCCGGTACTACCAGCTTTCCAGCAAAATGTACCAGTTGTTTTCAGGAACTGTATGTTTGATTAATTTAATCTTCAACTATTTATTATTTGTTTTAGTATTTGTACCCCCTCTGTTTGACTTAAAAATAATTGCGGGTGGTGGCTTATAACCTAATTTTTAAAACAGTTGTAAACCTCAGTTGCTACATTTTTTTTGTTGTTAAACGATAAAAGAAAATAATAATTAAAAAATGAAACGCCCGCTGTACAGGAAAAGGTAATGTTGGTTGATGAGTAATAAAATTCTCTGGTCAGTGAAAGAGAATTTTCAGGCCAAAAAACTTCTTATTTTTCACACAACACCAGCTCAGAGGCCAGTTTCTGCAGCAAGATGGTTCCTGCCATTCCCTTAATTTTAAAACCTGTGTCTGGAAGCTGCAAGATTATAACATGTAAAACGGCCTCCTGAAATTACTTCCTGGCAAATCCACTGGCGATTTGAGCTTGCCTCTGGCAGATATAATTATATCTAGGATAATTGAGGGTTGCTTCCAGACTGCAGCTGCTTTTAGGTGGGATTCAGTCACGTGCCAATACCAGCAATTAAAGTAGATTTGGAGTGTTGCAGACGTGCTTCGCTCCCCTCCCCCCACCCCAAAATCCTTGTGTGACAAGGGAAGTGTGGAATAAGTGCTTCTTAGTTGTTTGACACGACGTCGTCTAAACTCCCCAGAAGCAAATAAGTTTGGATGCTCAGTGAACAGATCACCTGGAAGCGGCTTGGCTTTTTCCACACTAGAGCCAAACGAATATTGGGCATGTCAAGGCGACTGCTTCTCCAGCCATAAGGGAGGCCTTCAAAGGGACTAGAGCTTTGCATATATATTTTTAAAGGAAAGACTTACTGTCTCTCCTCCAGAAGCTGGACGTGGCCATGCTGTTGGGTTCCATGGTGCATTTTGCGTCGGAGGAAGCCCAGATTCTCTTCAGCTACGAAGGACAAGAATTCAGGCCTGCTGCCATGACGGGCTCTGTGCTGACGGATGTGCAAGCTCTGCGAGATTTGGTAAGACCTGGAATTGGGGTCTGTGTGGGGTTCGTTTTCCTGGTCCAAGGGTGTGGCTTCCCAAGGCAGGCTTAATCCTCTTCCTTCCCCCAGGTCCTGAATCATAACAGATGAGGAAGATAGGAAACTGAGTCAGCCCATTGATCCACCTGCTGATTGGCAGATAAAAGTTCATAAAGTGTCCTCTCTTACCCCTTCTGGGGGAGCCCAGGGTGGAACCTGGGACCTTCTGTATGCCAAGCATGTGTTCTGCCACTGAGCTGCAACTGCCTCATGCTAAATAGAATTAAGCAAATCATAATATGGGAGAGAATCGGTCACATCTCCTTACCCCTTTCTGTACTTACCTGGCATTTTCAGTTTCTTAAGGGGATGTTCTTTATGAACTTCGCATCCCAGATCACAAGGGATAAATTTAAAATGGAGCTGAGTTGTGAGCTTGCAAAGAGGAAGTGTTCCATTTTTTTAAAAAAAGGAGGGATGGCAAACCATAGGCCCCTGTCACAGCCTCCCTTTTTTGTTTTGTTTCCCCACCCCCGGGCAAAATGCCACCACTTAGCATAGCACCTGAACGTTTAAAAAAGAAAAAATAGATGCAAATTAGCTGAGAAAGAGGACTGTCTCTCTCCGTGTGTGTGTGTGTGTGTGTGTGTGTGTGTGTGTGTGCATGCACCTGGGTTTTTATTTTTTGTTCTGGACACGACTGCTTTCGTGCCGCGTGTGGAAGGTTGGCCAAGGGTGACCCTCTGACCCAACCAAAAGTTTAGTCAACTTCCCTCTCTCCCCCCCTCTCTCCCCACCTTTCTTCTCCCCCTACTTTGTACTGTATACAGCATCTTAAGCATTACAGCATTATTCAATATCTCACACTGAATGTAACTGATCTGTAGAAGCTCTTATGACCTGAAAATAAAGACAATGCACATACTTTTTAATAAAACTATTTTTTCAGCAACAAAAAACATGCACAGGAGCCCTCAAAAAACACTCCGTCTGTGCTGGTTTTGCAATGTATGTTTTTATTGCCGCCCCCCCCCCCCCATTATACAACATCATGGGAGTTTGTGCTTGCAGTATTTCCTGTGAGTCTTTTTCAGTTGGGTTTCCCTTTTCTCACAAGGAAGGCTTGCCTGCTGCTTCTAGGTGCAACAGGCCTTGCCTCAGGAACCCAAGAAGCAACTCTTAACACTGAGCCCCAGACCATTGTTCCATCTAGCTTAGGTTGTCCACAGTAGTGACTGGCAACAGCTCTCCAGGATTTCAGATGGGGAGGCGGGGGGGGTGTCTCTCCCAGCCCTACCCAGAGATGCTGAGGCTTGAATCTGGGGCTTTCTGCACCCACCCATTGTGCCTGTTTTGTTTGCTTCCACTTCTAGGATGCATACTACAACTATGAAGAGGATCACAGAGCCAGAGATGTCATCATGGACCTCATTGCTCGCCGCCAAAAGGTGAGTCTCTGGGCTTGCACTGTGGATGAATTAATTGACTACAACCTCTTTATTTGGGTGGCTACCTTAAGAATGAAAGGAAGGCGTTAGCTAATTGATTTGAATTTGAACACGACTCAGCAGAGCAGTCCTTCATTTCCTTTTTAAGTGGTACGTATATCTGTTACAGGGATGCAGGTGGCGCTGTGGGTTAAACCACTGAGCCTAGGACTTGCCGATCAGAAGGTTGGCGGTTCGAATCCCCGTGACGGGGTGAGCTCCCGTTGCTCGGTCCCTGCTCCTGCCAACCTAGCAGTTCGAAAGCACGTCAAAGTGCAAGTAGATAAATAGATACCGCTCCGGTGGAAGGTAAACGGCGTTTCCGTGCGCTGCTCTGGTTCGCCAGAAGCGGCTTAGTCATGCTGGCCACATGACCTGGAAGCTGTACGCCGGCTCCCTCTGCCAATAAAGCGAGATGACCGCCGCAACCCCAGAGTTGGCCATGACTGGACCTAATGGTCAGGGGTCCCTTTACCTTCACCTATATCTGTTACAGCAAACAGTGTTGGAATTCGTTTATTTCAATTGCGTATATGCAGCCTTTCAGAGCAAAAATCTCTGAAAGGTGACTCACATTGAAACCATAATGCACAGTATCTCTTCCAGGCAACAATACAAAGCTTTTAGTATTGCCAACAAATGAATCTTCTTGGATGGAGCCTGTCATTTGCAATTTTTATAATGTATATAATAAAACATGCTGCCCGCTTTAACAACGGGTGCTTTTTAAATGGTTGCGTCTGAAGCTACCTTGTACCACACCAGACATTAGTGTGTGCTTTTAGTGCCAGGTGAAGACCCATTTATTCACCTAGGCATTTGGGATCCTCTTCATATCAGGACTTATATTTTTCTCTGTGGGTTTAAAAAAGCGTTACACTTCCATTTATTGATCAAATTTATATCCTTCCTTCGAAAGGAGCCCCTTTTGGGCTTTGTTTTTGCATTTTAAAGCTCTGCTTTATTCTTCTGTCACTTGTTATGTGCCCAGAGAACTATGTTGTTGGGCAGCCTGTATAAATGGGAGGAGGTGGGTATCCAAAGATTTATGAACAGTGCTGAGAGGGCAACCCACCTCTGACTTAAGGAATGATGCTGTCAAACAGCAACAGCAACTGCCCTTGTGCAGTGAGCCTCCCCAAGGCTGTCCTCTTTTGGAAGCAGCGTGCTGGGCTGTAGAATGATGACCCTTTGGGCAGTGACACCGAGGGGGTGGTGCCCTGATGCAATGAACCATAGACAATACTCTTCTAGGATAGTGTTAGCAGATCTGTGCATCTCCTTTGGCAACAGAGAGCCTCAGTGTGGCGTCCCAACTCCTCCGAGCTTTCCATGGTTTTGCAGAGCGCAGCTGCTGAATGATTTAATTTCAGTTCACCAGTGAACGCTGCCGGTTGATGGGGAAGGCCCTGTGGGGATTAGCCATGTGCTCAGGCAATTTGCTTTGGGCTGCTGATGGGGTTTCTGGTTTCCTACAAGTTCCTGACTCCTGCTTGCTTGCTTCTCACTTCTCCCATGCCAGGTGGACAGAATTCTTCTTCTGAGCGCTGAGCCCTACGTCCCGCTCCTTGGCTCTGCCCTTTGGCTGTATCGCCACCATGTGTCCCCCGACTGCCTCTTTGTCAATGTCTGTGCGAATGCAGCGTAAGTAGGGGAGATATTGCAGGGACTAGGAAAGCTGCCTTATACTGCCTTATACATAGAATCAATTGTAGATTGGAGGGGGGACGGACCCTAAGGATCATCTAGTTCAATTCCCTCCCCCCCTCCAATGCAGGAATCTCAACATGTGGTTCCCCCATCCATTTTGAAACCATAACATACCCTGCTTAGCTTTGGAAATCTGCTTCAGCTATTACCATATTTTTTGCTCTATAAGACTCACTTTTTCCCTCCTAAAAAGTAAGGGAAAATGTGTGTGCGTCTTATGGAGCGAACGCAGGCTGCGCAGCTATCCCAGAAGCCAGAACAGCAAGAAGGATCGCTGCTTTCGCTGTGCAGCGATCCCTCTTGCTGTTCTGGCTTCTGGGATTCAGATTATTTTTCCCCCTTGTTTTTCTCCTCCAAAAACTAAGTGCGTCTTGTGGTCTGGTGCGTCTTATAGAGTGAAAAATACGGTAGTCTTTCCCAATCCCATCCACTTAATCCAGTGCTCTTGGGAAGAGTGATAGCATCATGTTCTTAAGTAAATGTATCCAAGTTCTTCATGTACATTACTGGCCAATAGGAGCTTTCCCCCCCTATATCACTGTCTCTCCCCTGCCCCCCCCCGCCTTGGTAGAGAGAGCTACAACCCTTCTTTGAAGATAATTATTATATATTTAGTTTTCCCCCTGACGGGACTCAAGACATCTTACAGGGACTGCTAAAAACATAGAAAAATCAGTCATTTTTAATTGTATCATTTCATTCAGTCAATCAATCAATCAATCAATCAGTCATTTAGTTCTATCACTGTTTAATTGTATCTCAAACTATTTATTAACTAATGAAGTCATTTATTGAAATACTTTCTGCCCTTATGTAGTAGGCAGCTTCCCATTAATATACCGTATTTTTCCGTGTATAACACGACCCCTATTTCTGGGGGAAGATTGCCCAGAGTTATTGAGCTTTTTTTGGGGGGGAGATTGCCCACAGTTGTTGAGCTTGGGGGGGCGGGATTGCCGACAATTGCTCACCCACCAAACCGCCACTGCCAATCACACGCATCCACGAAGCCAGTAGCCGACATTCGCACGCCCGGTTGCCTCAGCAGCAGCAAATCGCAAACAGACCTTGCCGCAGCCACCATTCACCCCCTTAAACGCCACTGACAATCTCCTGCTCGAGGCACCCACCAATCGCCTGTCCCATCCTTCACTATCCATGTATAAGACGACCCCAAATTTTTAGCATTTTTTTCTAATAAAATAACCTCGTCTTATACACGGAAATATACGGTACTTGCATTTCCCACTTTTATTTTTATTTTTTAAAGCTCTGCCTGGGTTTGGAGCATTAGAAAGAGTGGGGGGGGGGAGCATGGGGGGTCTGGTGGAACACACCCCATAAACTTTACTGAGTACTGTTCCTTCCCCTATTCAATTTTAGGAATCCAAGTACTTCCGGTTCCAGGAATGTTGTGATAAGTGGGTTCAATGAGCAAGTGCTCAGGTGAGTCTCAGAACTGAGCAAATGCAGAGGAAATGCTGGCTGGCAGGACACTATTTACCAATGTGTATTTACTGGGAGAACTTCAGCCGTCTTTGTTCCTTTGGATAGCTGAGGATTAATTCTGCAAATGGTTGCTGAAAGCCAGAAAATGATTTTTTTAAAGTGTGCGTTTATGAGCATTGAAGGCTGGTGGCTACTAGCAGTTTGGCATGCAGCCAGCCATGGAAACAGAAACCTGAGAAGCACCTTGTTCATTTTGGGTTTTGTTTTGCATTTTGTGCTGGATTAATAACCCCTTTCTGTATTTTGCAGGTTTATGGCCGAATGTGGCAACTCCCGGTTCCTCGAGCACGTTGGGAAGGCTGATGAGCTCCATGGCCTGCCCAAGAAGCGGAAGGCGGTGGCAGCTGAGGTGGAAACTGGGGTTGCCTCCTTGATACCACCCCCCAAGAGCAGGTAACTGTGAACTGAGGTTTATGTATGGGTTGCCCTACAAGTGGAGCTTCGTAAAATTTATATACTGCTTGATTGTAAAAAAAACCAACAGCAACCTCAAAGCTGTTCACAGAAGGAATAGCAGGTTAAAAACAACTATTTAAAACATCCAAAAAAAATTAAAATCAACTATAAGTTAAAATCCACATTAAATGCCAGTCCACATTCTACAAACTGAACAGGCTAAACAAAAATGTATTTAGCAGGCAGCAAAAACAGTACAGTCATACCTTGGTTTTCAAACAGCTTAGTTCTCAAATGTTTTGGCTCCTGAACGCCACAAACCTGGAAGTGACTGTTCTGGTTCGTGAACTATTTTTGGAAGCTGAACATCCAGCAGGGCTTCCATGGCTTCTAGTTGGCAGCAGGAGCTTCCTGCAGCCAATCGGAAGCTGCGCCTTGGTTCCCGGATGTTGTTGAAGTCAAAAGGACGTCCAGAATGGATTTTGTTCGCCTTCCAAGGTACGACTGTACAGTGAAGGTACCTGCCTGATCAAAATGGCCGAGTGGGCACTTGTGGTGCTTAGACCTCTCAGGGTTATGACTCCTTTTGTATCCTGAATCATTTCCCTCACAGGTGGCGCTCTGTCAAGATTTTTGTCTCCTCCACCTTCCGGGACATGCACGGCGAACGGGACCTGCTGATCCGCTCCGTCTTCCCTGAGCTCCGAGCCCGGGCAGCCCAGTTCTGCCTGGCGATAGAGGACATCGACCTCCGCTGGGGGATCACTGAGCACGAGAGCCAGCAGAACAAGTATGAGGAGAGGAGGGGAAAGACCAGGGTTATTTGAGGGTGCTCCAAACTTCCTCAGTTCTAAGTCAGCTTGTCTGATAGTTGAATTTTAGTTTAGCACAGCACCCTTTGACTACACTTGGAGAGTAGTAGCCTAGCTTACAGGGTAGAGTGCAGGCCACGTGGTACATACACAGTTCTACTCCTCCAGTCCTTCTTTCCTTCTGCCTGAGGCGGCTGCATCACTTTGCCTAATGTTTGGGCCAGAGCCTGATGCCCACCCCCAGTCTAATGTCTGTAATTTCTCTTGTGCAGTTGGGGGGATCTTTTTGAATTCGTTCTTTGGAAAAGTGAAATGGGAAGCTACCTTATACTGAGCCACACCTTTGGTCCTCTAGCTTAGTACTGCTTACACTGACTGGCAGAAGCTCTCCAGGGTTTGGGGCAGGAAGTCTCTCCCAGCCCTACCTGGAGATGCCGGGGGTTGAACTTGGGACCTTCTGCACACAAAACCGGTGCCCTACCACTGGACTGTGGCCTTTCCCCTATTGATTGAGCGAATAAAGAAAACACAGCATCAAAATTTTCTGTGCATCGGAAGCAAGGCAGCATGGGAGTTCTGTCAGAACACCATGACCTGTTTTTCTTCCCTGTGTAACTATCTCCTGTAAATGCATTTAGGAAGGTGGTGGTGGGATTGGAGGTTCAGCAGACAGATGTTCTAAAGGTTCATTATCTCTCTAGGCAGCTGGAGCTCTGCTTGTCAGAAGTCTGTCGGAGTCAGCTGTTCATTGGGATCCTTGGGGAGCGGTATGGCCACGTCCCTACGGAGTATTCCTTGCCAGATGAAGCCCATTTTGAGTGGGTGAGTGAAGAGACTGTGAGTTAGCCAGTTCTAGTGCTGCTCAGTAGCACTTAGGGCCCAGGAGGAAGCATTCTTTCCCAAACAAAACGGGCACAGTCTGGTTAGCAGTTTTCTCCTTTTCATACACAAGATAGAAATTTTGCTGCCTATCCCATGAATAGCATTCTGGTATGTGCATGTCTGTTCCTGAAGGGTTTTCCCAGCATAGCTTACAGAACTCTGAAAAGAATACACTCCCTATTCTTAGCCTTGGAATCTTAAAAAAGGCATGGCACAGAAAGAATACTAATTGGGAGAGGGAGAAGGAACCACGTATTTTTCCATGTATAAGACTAGGTTCCCCCCCTTAAAAATGTCAAAAATTAGGGGGTGTCTTATACTCTGGGTCATCTCCCCCCATTTTCTTAAATCTGAGTCCCCCCAAATAGAGGGCGTCTTATACATGGGGGCATCTTATAGATGGAAAAATACAGTAAGTAAACTCTGGTATCAATTCTTAGTTTTCGAATGACCGTATGGAATGGGAATAGTAAGCAAGGAAGTGGCAAAAGATGCTGATCTCTCATGGCGTGTCCCTGCTTCCCTCATTCTGTTAGCAACCTTCTCAGTATTCCCTATCAAAGGGAATACTGTCCATGGATATAACAGATTGCAGGATAAATAATTTTTTTTAAATGAATTTGCTGCCCTAGGAGACTTAGGGTTGTTTCTAATGCAGCTCTATATTAAAGTCACTTTGGGGGATACTTGTACCACTGTGAAAATGTTTTGCTCCAGTGGAACATTGTCACACGAGAGAATGCATAGTAGTCAGGTGGCTGGTAACTTTGCAGAGCCTGTTGTTCGATTATTTCCTGCAAGCACAGCCGTTGCACATTAGAACCCACCCTTGTGCTAGCAGGCAGAGAATGTTGAATCCAACTAAACTTCAATGGGAAGGGGAAGAGGATGTGAGGGAGAACTGACATTAAAAGAGCAAGAATGCAGTCAAAGAGAAGATGACCTCAAAACGGCTCTTAGGAGTCCTTCAGGTTGCGTGTTGCAAAGATTGTATGTTGTCTCTGCAGGTGAAGTCTTACCCAGCGGGCCGCTCCATCACTGAGCTGGAGGTGGTTCAGTTCCTGAACGGTTGTGAGAACCCTGCTGCACCATCCAGGAGCTTCTTCTACCTCCGGCAGCCAGACTTTCTTGAGTAACGCATTTTGTTTTAAAATATTTCCGTATGCCTGTAATGTAGTGTAGCTTAATGTTTGTTTGTTTTTAAATCGATTAACCTGCCATAACCTATGATAGTTACTGCACAAAAGCACCATTAGTTTTGTTCTGCTTTATAGCTCAGTCGGCAGAGCATGAGACTCTTAATCTCAGGGTCACGGGTTCGAGTTCCGTGTTGGGCAAAAGATTCCTGCATTGCAGAGCGGGTTGGACTAGATGACCCTCGTGGTACTTTCCAACTCTGGTTATTTGCTGATCCCAATGGAAATTGCACTTGGTTTTGGTGCAACATTTTCCAGATGCCACGTTGGGCTGAAATTTGGCATTCTGGAGGAGAATTGTGCATCCTGAAGATTCATGTGTTTCTTTTGAGTAAAGTAAACCCGTCAGATCTCTAGTCTTCTTTGTTAGCTGTAGACAAAATGCTTTGAATTGTGTGAGTATCTGGTGAAACTGTAGGATTGGGCTTGTGGATGGGGCTGTGTTCCTTTGATCCCTCCCTTTTAGAGATGTGTAGACCTGTGGGGAAAGGGATCAGAAAAATCGGTGTGTGTGTGTAGTGGTTAAGAGCGGTAAGACTCGTAATCTGGTGAACTGGGTTCGCGTCCCCACTCCTCCACATGCAGCTGTTGGGTGACCTTGGGCTAATCACACTTCTCTGAAGTCTCTCAGCCTCACTCACCTCACAGAGTGTGTGTTGTGGGGGAGGAAGGGAAAGGAGATTGTTAGCTGCTTTGAGACTCCTTGGGGTAGTGATAAAGCGGGATATCAAATCCAAATTCTTATTCTTCTTCTTGGTAAGTTTTTGTGGGCCCCGCAGGCCTTCTCTACTTTGGGTACCAAGTTCAAAATCTTCATAACAGCCCTGCAAAGTAGGTTTGGGCGAGAGATAGCAACTGGCTCAAGAGCATTGTGGTTGAGTGGGGATTTGAATCCCATGTTTCCCTGATTGTGCTCTGTCTCCACTACAACACACAAGCTTTACATCTGGCATACATTATGGGCATTAAAAACACATTTGTTCATGTGTGCATACCATTTTTAGTGCTTCTGCTGGGAGGCAAGGAGCTGTCCAGGGTCCTGAAGCTCCACTCCCTACAGAGTACAGTACTGTACTGTGACAACACCTCTGCTCCAAACATACACTCTGGTTATAGCTATGCTGTTTGTGCTAGCCTCAGAGGATTGCAACTCTAGTGAGAGGTGCTGAGAATTTAATTCATTGGCCTCCTTGTGTCTCTTGGGTATCTCTTCTTTTGCATGTGCTTGTAGAATCACATTTTTTCAGTATCCCTTGGTATGCAACCATGATACGTAGAAGCAAAGCCACAAAACGGTTTGGAAAGATGTTAAATCTGATTTGTAACATGGCCTGAGATTCCTCTAGCTGTAGGCCCACAAGAAGAGAGTGAAAGACAACTGAAATAATCGGGGTGACACATTTCCCTTCCATTGTAAAATTAAATATACAGCGTGACTGTAGAATTGCTGATCACAAGCAACTCCCATCATAAAAGGGAGATTGTTTATTGCAAAGCAAACTGGATTCCTGTCCAGTTCCTTTGAAGGAAGGGATGACTCAGGAGGAACAATGGATTATAGTCGTCATCATTATCATTTTGTTTGTATGCCGCCTTTCCATAGTTGCAACTACGCTCAAGGCGGCTTACAACATGACAGGATTTACATAATTACAAGATTACATAATTACAAATATAGCAGAAGTCATAAACAATAAAACACATCAGATGGAAACAATTTCCACGTAAATCATAAGATCTAAAACTAAAGATACAACAATAATACCAATAACAGCAAGGAGCGCTCAACCCTCCATACCCCCCCCCCAATAAACATAGTCGTACCTCGGAAGTCAAATGGAATCAGTTCCAGAAGTCCATTTGACTTCCAAAGCGCAGCTTCTGGTTGGCTGCAGGAAGCTCCTGCAGCCAATCAGAAGCCGCCAAAGTCCCATTGGGCGGTCGGCTTCCAAAATAAAGTTCAAAAGCCAGAACACGCACTTCCAATTTTCAATCATTTGGGAGCCAAAACGTACGAGTTCCAGGGCGTTCAAGAACCAAGGTACGACTATATATACATATGTGTATAACTCGTATCCAAACTTCTTGGTCGTCCAGCTTTGGATTTTCAACCAAAACACCCAGGTTCTTTTGAAAACATGCATCTTGAAAGCAAATCTCACAGAATGTGGGTTTCCCTTTGATTCAGAATTGTGGTCTGTCGTAATCTAGTGCCTCTTTGCTCCTCTGTCGCTCTTGGCAGCTCCGTGCCAGAAACGTGGAGGGCAGATTTCGTGGCTGAGTCAGAGGAGGCCAAGCGCCGGCTTGGAGACCTGAAGGAGAGCATTGAGAACCATGGCAGCCTGGCTTCATGTAGCAGGTGATGGGAAAGTGGTATTGGTGGGGGCAGTGAGAGATCCCATGACCCTTCCGCAAACGTCTTCACTATCTGTGGTTCTCTCTTCTTCTGTTATTTTAGATATGTTTGTCAATGGGGCGGGGTAGCCCAGGGCAGGCCATACGTCAAGGGGCTCGAGGATTTCGGTGTCAAGGTCCTACAGGATGTATGGGAATGCCTCCGGCGCCAGTTTATAGAGGTAAGGCCTGAAAAAAGCAAAGACTGGGCAAGCGTGTTTGGGTTTTTTCTTAACGGACTTTTTGAGTGGAGGGAAGCTTGTTCCCAGCAGTTATGTCTACAAGCATCCTCTGTAACGGTGAGTTTATGGAGTGGGACGAGTTCCCCAATATCCCCCTTCCCAACATCATCAACAACATGCCCTCCAGCAAGAAATATAATATGTTTTGATCTCAAGGTCGTGAGTTCCAGGTGAAAAGCTTCCTGCATTGCAGGGGGATGGACTAAATGAGTAAAGAGAGAAATGTAATGGAGGCTTTTCAGAGGCACAGTGAAGAACATCAACCACTCTTGCAAATTTTTATTTCATTTTTTGAAACACTGCAGTTTGAAGCCACGGGTGTTTGTTTTTAAACTAATCACCCTTGGGTGCCTGTCTGCCTTTCTCCTCATTCCCATCCCTGCTTTACCCCCCAGGGAGATGGCTCCACTCTTGCCGATGATGAACCAGAAAAGGAGGAAGAAATTGGCCTTCAAGACTCTTTCCAGGAGTTGCAGCAGAGGAGGTTTTGTGCCCGGGCAAAACTCGTCCATGCTGTGGCTGCCCAGCTGCGTGGAGGAAAGCTCTGTATTGTGAGCGGAGAGCCTGGCCAGGGGAAGACTGTCTTCCTGGTAAATAAAGGAAGCGAGATTTGGAGGTGGGAAGGCATCACTAGATGCTAACAGTGAACTCGATTCTCAAAGTGTGTAGGTAGTCAGAACACCATCCATGCACCAAGAAGATACATTCACAGGGTTGGGGAAATGCCTTGGTTTGATGTAGTACAAAAAAAGAGTGTTTAAGAACAATAAACCAAAAAATGCTGAAGGGGAGGACCTCAAAATGTCCTAACAAGACCTGAGCATGTTCATTGAATGCTGGGTTGGGAATGGAGTGGAGACTGGGTTGCTAGAGGAACTGGAACAGAACGGCCTAGCAAAGGCCGGCAGTCAGGCTGGCTAGAAACTGCTGGTGTGGTTAGCTACCTTTTAAATTAAATTAAATTTTTGTTTAATGCTCTTTTCAAGCAGCAGTAAAGCTTTCATCAAAAGAGGGTCAGTGTTTAAGAGGGTTGGACTAGGACCTCACAGACCAGAGTTCAAATCTTGCACTTGGCCCTGAAAGTTCACTGGGTTGACTTTGAGTCAGTCACCTCCCCTCTTTCCCTCTTCTCTTTCGGCCTAACCTCTACCTCACAGGGTTGTTGTGAGGATAAAGTAGGGAGGAGAAAACCCATGTTTATCACCTTGAGCTGCTTGAAGGAAAGGCGAGATATAAATAAATTAATAAACCTGAGAGCTGAGGGAATAGTGACTTCTTCAACCCACGGAAAGCACATATTTGTCATGACTAAGGTATTTGAGGGCAGAAACTACTGGAAGTTTATAGAAGATTCAGGAATGTACTGGAAGACTCTGGAAGGTTCACATTGTTTTGACTAACTCAGGGTCACGTGGAGCCAAGAGAGATAAATTTCTGGGCTCAGCGAGCTGCTTTATCTCTTTGCTCTCTTACTCTGCATATGCATTGTATGGAACGAAGTTTTTGCCTCAGTAAAGTTTTTCTTTTACTGTAGATCTTTGACACTCTGCATGGTTCCTTTTCATTTACTGCGAGACACTGCTGTTTGTCAATATTAGCATGGAATAAAAGCTAGGAGAATGAGTTATGGGGTCAACACTGGCCAGGCCTGATTTGGCTCGGCTTGGACCTGTTGCTGAATCCTTCTCTTCTGCTGTCTTCCTTTTACCTCAGGCGGCCCTTTCCCAGGTGCTCAGAGCGAAGACCCCACTGCAGAAAGAAGACCCTGATCCCAGTTACCACGTCGTGACCCACTTCACCCAAGCCCGGCCCGATCAGGCCGAAGCCCAGGTCATGTTGGGTCACCTGTGTGCCCAGCTGAGGAAATTGCTGGTGCATCCTCCAGCCCCACCCAAAAGCTACAGGTTAGCATGGCGGCCATTTTGAGGAGCCTGGTTTATCAGGGGTGATGTTGCTTCACCTGCAAGCTTCTGCGTAAGGGAATAAGAGGGCTGCTCTGTTTCCTTTCAGGGGGCTGGTTGGCCAGTTTGACTCCCTCCTCCATTCTGTGGCCCTGTCTTTGAAGCGACGCCAGTCTCTGGTGGTTTTGGTGGATGGCGCTGACCTTACCTACACGGCCGGTGGGCAGCTGGTTTCTGATTGGCTGCCTGAGGAGCTGCCCCAGGTGAGCTTTATAGCTACCCTTACCTGTGTGTGAATATAGCGTGCATCCTTTCCCACCAGCCACATACAGATGATGGCCCAAAGTTCCCTTGCACCTGCTCTTTGCATGAACCTTCTGTCTTTTCTCTGACTCTCCCTGCAGCGAGTTAGCCTTGTCCTCAGCGTCTCTGAGGAATCTGTACTCCTTGGGTCTCTCAAGCGGCGGAAGGATGCCTTCTCCATTCCCCTTGGACCTCTGGACCCCCCTGACCGAGTTGCCATGGTCCGCAAAGACTTGGCCTTGTATGGCAAAAAGTTGGAGGAGTCGGCTTTCAACAACCAAGTAAATGGAAAAATGAAATGTTGTGTTTGGGGGTTGAATTATTTGATGGTGTGGTCTGGAAAGCTATAAGTAATCTGTGTAAATTCTGGGACCTGGACTGTTCTGCACAAGTGCGGGATTTAAATATCAGTTGTAGGATTCCATGCCCAGGGCTGTTCAGCCTTTTCCTTTTGCTTAAGTTACTAGTCCTCATGGAACTGAAAACATGTGGGCAATTCCTGGTATGATTTTGGAAAGAAATGCATGTGTTGGGGTTAAAGAGAAGGAAGGATGCTGTTCTAATGAAAGTTTATTGCTTGCTTGCTTTTCCCCATGTAACATGGGTAAAGCACATGCAGAACTTTGCTCCTTGAACCGTGTTCACTCTTGAGCACCACCTATAACCCAGTGCAGGTTCCAGATCAGCTGCGAAGTGGTTGGTCTTTGCTTATTGCTCCACCTGTGTTTCTTCTTGATTATTGAGAAAGAAGCAGGGAAAAAAGGAGTGGTTTTCCTGGGCTATTCAGAGCCAGAGGATGGCCTAGTAGTGGCTGGAGAACTACCGAGTCCTGGATTCAAATCCCGACCCTGCCATGTAACTCTCTGGGTGACGTTGGGGCTAGCCACTGTCTCTCCTTGGCCTAACCTACCTCACGAGGATGGTTGCGAGGATAAAAGGGGGCTCCCTGGAGGGACGGTTGGGGTAGAACGCACTAAAATGTTGTGCCCGTGCTTCTCCCCTTTCCCCCTCCAATGATCAATACTCCAGTGATTGGAATGTAAATGGGGAGCCTTTTTTAGATTCAAGGGCCGCATCACTACCTGGACAGTCTCCCGGGGGCCCACATGCCACTGGTGGGCGGGGAAAGTGGGCGGAGCAACATATGTAAATTTTACATGTTGTATAGTAGGCTGGTTCATTCACACAATCACAGGTTCCTTTCTGTAGGCAAACAAAGGACATTACTGGAGTTGAAGCACACATTTTAGCTAGGCAAAAACACCCAGAGGGGCTGGTGAAGGCCCCAAGGGATAAATAGAAAGGCTTGGGGTGCTGCTTTTGTGGGGGCTGGGGGCTGGGGCCTGAGGTTGTCCCCCTGCCCAAGTAGAGGATGCTTTGAGACTCTTGATTCTGCCTGTTTCCCTACAGATGCGGCTGGTGCTCCTGAAGCGAGACTCCCGGCAACCTTTGTACCTGACCCTGCTGACTCAGGACCTGCGGCTCTTTGCCCTGTATGAGAAGGTGAGGCAGCTGTTGAGACGGATCATGGGTTGGGGAGGAGGAGGAGGAGCGACAAGGCATCGCATGGCTCCAGACCTCAAGGGTCTTTCTGCACAGTTGGATCATATGTTTCTTCTCCTTCCCCCTCCTCCCCCCTTATCCACAAGCTCTCGGAGAGGATCCAGAAACTGCCTGTGTCACTTCCTTTGCTGCTTCAGCACCTGCTGGGCTGCCTGGAGCAAGATCACGGGGAGGAGATGGTTTCTGTTGCCCTCGTGTGTCTCTGGGCCAGCAGAGACGGTAAGTCCCACGCGAGGGGGAAATTCAACGGTGACATTGGGCACAGGCCAGAGGCTAATGGGCCTGTGAGGGCCACACCAGATATCCTCCCCGTGGTGCCATTTGTGATTATTTGTGTTTGTGATGGTCTCTGGGTGATTGTCTGCTTTCGATAATTCCTCTACCTGTAAATATTTCAGGGAAGACACATTGCTTTGTTTCCACTCTGAAATCCTTCCAACTTTTCAAATACCACAGATGTGACAGGGGAGAGGGTGGGTTATTGTGCTTCTGTTGCACTATAGCACAAGAGAGTACCCCTCTAGACTTCAGCAATGGATTCACCCTCGCCATCATTTGGCTGGGTTGTCCCTGCCATTCTGGACAGCTTCCAATGCATAATAATAATAAAACCTATAACGTTAAAAACTTCCTGATACAGGGCTGCCTTTGGATCTCTTCTAAAGGTTGCATAGTTTTTTGTCTCCTCAACCTCTGATGGGAGGGCGTTCCACAGGGTGGGCACCACTACCCAGAAGGCCCTCTGCCTGGTTCCCTGTAACTTCACTTCTCACAGTGAGGGAACCACCAGAAGGCCCTCAGAGCTGGACCTCAGTGTCGAGGCTTGGGAAGCAATGTAGAATGACAAACAAAAGCAGGATGATGTTTGGACAGTCTGGCGTAAATCACCACTAATGCACTATTATCAGCAAAATCCACCCGTAAAACACACACACACACACACACACACACACACACACCAGTCTGCAGGGTCCTACTGTGATGTATCTGAGGCAGAGATGGCCAGTGTTTCTGATTATATTTATCTGATGGCCTGCCTTCCAGTTAAATGGTTCTTAGAGTAGCTTACAGGTTACTTTGTCCTCTGGTTGTTGCATGGGGCCAGGTCATGTTTCTCTTCAGCTCTACAACCCCAGAGCAGGCAACTTCCAGTTGGATCTGAGTGTTCCTTCTAATGCAGGAATATGCAGCTGTCTCATACAGGGATCGAACTTGCAACCTTGGCATTACCAGCACCATGCTTTAACCAACTGAGCTATTCAGGTTCCAGTGGCACTTGATCTACATCAGGCCAGTTGTTGGGGGACGCTGGGAATCATAGGCCTGGAGGGCGCAGATTCCCCCGCCCCTGGGCCTACTCTTAGATAGATGACTGTGGTCGTGACCCTCTGCAGGTCTAATGGAGCGAGATCTCTACACCATCCTTGCTGACTTGAAGGACCTGAATGGGACTGACTTCACCATGGAACACGCCATCTGTGTCGAAAGACAAGCCAGGAGCCATCCCATGGCCCCCTTCTTTGACTTCCTGCGGAGCCTGAGGGGGTGAGTAGTGATATTAAATTCCCCAGAATAATCTTTTGGAGAATATTTTCGAGAAATGGATGCTTCTTTGAGGGGTGGGGTATATAAATCATCATCATCATCAATAATTTATTATTATTATTACTATTATTATTCCTGTCATTGGGGAGTTGAGACTCGGGCTCCCATCCTTGGCCCTGGGTGGAGAATACTATCCAAGCACATTTAGGTAGTTTTTGAGAGCAAAAAATCCTGGCTTTGTTTTTGGGGAGCACTGGGTTTATCACTCTCTGCTGTTACCCCACAGCTTGCTTGGGGCATGTGGCTCCCCCGCAGGGCCTTCAGGCTCTCGGCTGCATCTCTCCAGCGCCCCCTTGAGGATGGCAGTAGAACGGCGCTATCTGAAGAATTCAGGCTTGGACTACACAGCTCATATGCTCTTGGCAGGTAACCCTTCTCACCTTTTTGGTACTATGGAATTATTGGTCTTTGGCTGTTTCTTTCTTTTTTTAATCAGCGGGTTGAAATGAGCCACCTTTCAGCAGACCTTGGTAGTACTCCAACCAATCTCTAGGTCGCAGCCGGCTCAATAGGTCAGCAAGGGGTGTTGCAGTTCAGCCAAGTGGCCTGTAGTGGGCGCTAACAGAGAAGTTGTCTCGGATCTCTTTTTTTCTTACAGCTCATTGGTGGAAACTGGTAGGCTTGGACGATTCCTGGAACCAGAACTGTGAGGCAGAGGCCTTGATGGCCCTCCCCTATCACATGGTAAGTGATGACTCTGCTAGCCATTGACGACGGGGGAACTAGGAGGCCATGTTGAATAATATTGAGATTGGAGAAGCCAGTATAAGTTGCATTTTCAGCTGAATTTAGGGAAGCCACTTGAAGCATCGGTTGTTGAGCTATCTCATTGATTCTTTTGTTTGATTTGCTCATTGCAAACAGCTCAAAGTCTGTAAATATTGATAATAAACCTGATTTGCAATGGGAGTTGAATAATTTTGATTGCAACTGTAGATCTCAAGATTGGGGTGGGGTGGGATGGAGAGACTTGAGAATAGAGCTGTTGTATGGAGGTGTGGATCTGAACTGTATCCTTCAGCGAAATGAACATCCTCCCATTTATTTATCAAAATTATTTGTATGCCACCCTCTTGCAAAACCTGAGAGTGGTGTGCGGCAACATAAACCCTTTAAAAGCAATAATTGATCTCCATTGTGGAAGGAATTTTGATCCTCAACCTACCTATTCCAGTCACCCAGTCTTTTTAAATGCAGTTATTATTAGCTTAGTGCCTAGAACTGTCAAGAAAATTTTTGAGATCTGCAGATGCCTTCTTAAACCACAACTCTCTCGTCCATTAGGCCCAAAGTGAAAACTTTGAAGTGCTGGGTTCTCTGCTGACGGACCTGAGCTTTGTGAGCGCTCACGTCCGGCTGGGTCTCCTCCACAGCCTCTCTGAGGCCTACGCACTCTATGGTGAGCCACTGATGCCCCCTAGTGGCTGGAATTGGGGTAGCAGTTCATAACGTGCCATTGTCCCCTGTTGGATTAAAGGTTTGGAGATTAAGCTGCTCTCTTCCTGACCGAGATGAGAAATTTGCAGGCTGGGTATTGGCAAAGCTGCTCCTGGGCTGGGCCAAAATGTAAGGCAGCACTGCGGAAACGCGAAGGGTCGTTTCAGGTCAAATGGGCATACTGAGATTTGAATTCATCCAGTCCGCCTCCATTGAAAAAGGATTCTTTGGCCTTTTCAGAGACTGCGTCTGACTTGGAGGTCGATGAGACTGTGAGGACCTTCCGGGCCTTCCTGCAAAGAAACATGAGGCTGCTTTCCCAGAATCCTCTGCTGCTTCTGCAGCAGGCAGCCAACGAACCGCACGGCTCGTCGCTGTGTGTTCAGGCTATGAATGAGCTCATTGAAAACGGGAGGCCTATCCTGAAATGGGCTAACAAGCCCCAGGAAGCTCAGAAGACAAACAGGTAATTCTGCAAAGTATTTGCTGTATTTCATCTTTTCCTTTTTCTGTAAGACTCATGGATCTTGTTTGGATTCTCCCTCTCACACTCCCCCCCCCCACCTCTGTTGCCCAACAGCCTTGTCCTGAGCCTGCCTGCCACTCCTTCTTGTGTCTCCATTGCCCCTTCTGGAAAGCTGGCTGCTGTGGGCACTGCTGATGGAATCCTGCACCTCCTGGATGTAGAGACTGGGCAGGTAAAAACCTGGTTTGATGTGTCCCACTTAATAGCACCCCCTCACATAACACACACCAAGTAACTGCCAGGCCTAAATTGCCGCTTTGCGGAGAACCTAAAAACCACTGGTCCATCTTGTCTGCACTTGATGGGCTGCAGTTATTCAGGGCTTCAGACAGTGGCATAGCCAGCCAGGGGATGCTGGGCCCTTCTGCATTTTCTACCTGTGAGCCCAGGAGCTTGATTGACGTGTGTGTGTGTGTGTGTGTGTGTGTGTGTGTGTGTGATGGTTTACAAAGACTGTTCTGAAGTTCTGACGTGCCCCACATCCCTTCCCCAAATACCTAGGAACTGAAGTCCTTGCTGAGTGCTTGTGATGGGATCTCAGCCTGTGAGTTCTTGTCGGAGGTAACGGTCTGCCTCGGGGCCTTCAATGGACGCTTGGAGCTGTGGAGCCTGAGGGAAGGGTGCAGGTAAGCCTGTCCAAAATGGTGGTCTGAGACGGCTCCATAGCACAGATGGTGATAGCTGTTCGTTGTTTACCTGTGAGGCAAAATGAGCAGCGATGGTCTGACATGAGGTTGGCCAGAGGGAAATGTCTCCCATGGATCTGTAGTGCTGGAACGGCAGGCAGGGCACGCAGATTTAGATGTTCCTGACAAGGATCTGGCAGTCCACGTGCCAATTAATGGCAGACCCAGGAACAACGTACGTTGCAAGTTTCTTCCCTCATGACGTGTGTTTTTCTTTCCGTTATCAACATCCAGGTGGTGTTTAAAAACATTCCTGGTCACCCAAGGATTTGATGTTGAGAATAATAATAATAATAATAATAATTGATTATTTATACCCCGCCCATCAGGCTGGGTTTCCCCAGCCACTCTGGGCAGCTCCCAACAGAATATTAAAAACATAAGACATCAAACATTAAAAACTTCCCTAAACAGGACTGCCTGCGTCAGTGTCTCCGACACAGAGAGAGAACGAAAGCAACAGCAAACATAAACATCCTGTGAACAGGAAAATACGCAGACTCTGTGACTCACAGCCTGCTCCCTTTTAAGGTGGAATGGAAATATCCTAACATCGAGGTGTCTATTTCCTTGACATCTGGTGGGAGGGCTTTCCCCAAGGTGGGCACCACTACCGAGAAGGCCCTCTGCCTGGTTCCCTGTAACCTCACTTCTTGCAGTGAGGGAACTGACGGAAGGCCCTTGGAGCTGGACCTCAGTGTCCGGGCAGAACGATGGGGGTGGAGATGCTCCTTCAGGAGCAGCTGAGGCTGTTTAAAATGTATTTATTTTTATTTATTCATTCATTAGAGTGGGATAGAAATTTTGAGGAGAGCATTCCTGGGTCAGGCCGAGTCCAGCATCCTGTTCTCCACATTGACCAAATAGATGCATGGCTCTGGGAAGTTTGCAAGCAAGACCTGAGGATAATCGAATCCAAAATGGCTGCTGTAGCTAATTTGCTAATTCTTAATTTTTCCAGTATCTTCCATCCTGCTTCTTGCTTAATATTGCTTGACTAGCTCAGCTGGGTGCCAGCTTTAAGTGACATGTTCTTCTTTTCGTTTTGCTCGCGGGGTGTTTAGGCTCATGGGCACAGATTCCCATAAGACCCAGATCACGGGTTGCTGCACCAACGCTGGCTGCAAGCTGCTCGCGACTGTCTCCCTGGATGGCCACCTCAAGGTATTTGCTCTCTTCCAAACTTTTCTTTCCAACTTGTTTCTGTCCCAGCTTTGAGGGGGATGACGGCCATTTTGACAAAGGCCACATGCTAGAGCACTGGTTTGAAAAGTTGAAGAATTCTGGAAACTGTAGTTTAAGAGTGCTGAGAGTTGTTAGGAGACCCCTATACACCTCACAGAGCTACAATTTCCAGAATCCCCTGGGAAGGTGGATTGATTGATAAACCACTCTGGGGATTATAGCTCTACCAGCAGTTTACTTGCATTATCAAGGTATTGGGGGGGGGGCAAATTCTTTCATGTGGAAGTAATTACAGAACGCTTCCTTAAAGGAACGGGGAAAATTTATGGATTGGCAATAGTGACACATTTATTTTTTAACAGGGAAGGAATCCTTTTACGATGCAGTAGCAATAGCACTTGTTTGTAATTTTCTTTTTCAGCTCTGGGAATCTACTCATGGTCAGCTGACACATGAACGAGACTGCTTGTGTCCTTTGAACTGTGTGGCCTTTCACCCCGAGGGTCAATTGGTCGCCACCGGAGGGTGGGACAGAACTGTCACCGTCCTGGATGCTAATGAGATGAGTGTGACCTCGGTGAGGAAGGGGGAAATATTCTAAATATTGTTGGTTAGGGGTGGGTTAAAGAGATCAAGACAATGAAAACAGAGGCAGCTTTCAGATTTAGTCTATTTCAGAGATGGGAGAATCTGTGATCTTCAGATGTTGCAGAACTCCTATTAGCAAAGTCATTTAAATAACACAGCTGGAGTCTGGAGAGAAAAGTCCTGATAACACTTGACTGAGGAAAATGAACAAAGCAGCATATAATTTGAGAAACAGAAAATAGGGAGACATTCAGCCAAATATACAGGGGAAAACTCTCTCAGAACTACACAGCCAATCAGAGCATGTGCTACCTCACTAGAAATCATGCCAGTCTGCTAAGTCTCCTCCGTACCTGGTTAGCTGTCTTATTGATAACAGAATTAACCTTTAAGTTACAAATTGAAGCATCCCTGCTGTTTCACTTCTGACAACCACAACTCCCCTGATTGCCTCTGCTGGCAGAAGGGGCAGATGAGAGTTGCACTCCAGCCACATCTGCTGAGTCACAGGTTCCCCATCTTGATGCACCTCCTACAGAACGGAGCAGCTTTTTTGACTCCTGTTTCCCCTTACAGGTGATGAAAGGCCACGATGCCTCCATCCATTCCATTTCCTTCTCCTCGGCTGGAAATGTTTTGGCAGCAGGAACCCTGATGGGATCTGTCCATCTCTGGTCGTGGCAGGAGGCTGTTGTCTTGAAAACATTCTCAAGTCACTCGGGTTGTGTCTCCGTTGCTCTGTTCCTCCCAGGGGGCGAACTGCTCACAGCAGGAGAAGATTGCAAGGTGGTATTATTACTAATAATAATAATACTGTATTGATTGGGAATGGGTGGAATGTTGGGAAGAAGTATATGGAGAGTTGGGTGTATCCTTTCCAGAATCTTGGGAATTGTAGCTCCATGGCGTGGTCACTCCTAACAAACTACAGTTCTCAGGATACTTCAGGGGGGCAGCAGGGAAGCTATGACTGTTCATACAAGGTGTGACCGGAAAGTTCGGTGAATGGTCACAGAAATCGGACAGCGAGAAATATTCAAACGTACATTCAGCATTGGAAACCCACAAAATGCTCACAATTGTGCATGAAGATGAAGCTGTAACTTGAAAGGCAGTGTGTGAGTGGTTTAAGCATTTCTGTGAAGGGCGGCAAACCATCGAAGATGACCCCCGGTCTGGCAGACCGTCGACGAGCAGAACGTAGGCAAACTTCGACAGAGTTCGTGAGTTATTGATGTGGGATCGGCGTTTGTCTGTTCAAATGATGGCGGAAGAATTGTATATTCTGTGTGAAATCATTACTGAGGTTACTGAGTTGTCCCACCCTCCATATTCTCCCCATCTGGCCCCACCAGATTTCTTTTCCCCCAAAACTGAAATCTGCACTGAAAGGGCACAGATTTTCCAACATTTCACATGTCCAAAGTGCTGTGACAAGGGAACTGAAAGCAGTACGAAAAGAGGACTTCTCCAGAAGCTTTCAACAGTTCTACGGACGTTGTCAATGAAGCATTGTATCAGAGGGGGCCTACATTGAAGGCCTGTAAGGCATGTACATTTGAATATTTCTCGCTGTCCGATTTCTGTGACCATTCACCGAATTTTCCGGTCACACCTTGTAGAATCACAGAATTACAGAGTTGGAAGGGACCCCTGAAGTGTTTAAGTGGGATAATAGTGCTTTAAACAGTGTGGATGCGGCCACTGAAGAGAGAGTGTGTGTTAACATTGCAGGAGGGATCGCTTCTCAGTATGACGTGTGCATGTCTTTGTGCCTAGCATAACTGACTTTGTGCGTTCTGAGTTGCAGGTCCAGCTTTGGGCAGGTCACCAGGGGCAACTGTGGAGTACCTTGCGGTCAGGAGTCTCCTCCCCAGCTCTGTGCACTGCAGCCAATCCCGATTGCAGCCGCTTGGCTGTGGGGCACCATTCGGGAGACCTCAAGGTCTTCATACATCTTTGGCGTACGTTTTGCATTTGTCTCCTTAAGCCATTTGAATCCTCGACGAAACCCTGCGGCCTCCCATATGTTGTTGGATTTCCGCTCCCATCAGCCTTGGCAAGAGCAGCCCGGTGGTCAGGGAATATGGGAGGTGCAGTCCAGCAACATCTGAAGGGCACCATATTGGCTGTTCCTGGTGTTAATAATAATAATGATGATGTATATGCTGCCCATCTTACTTGGTTCCCCAGTAAGAATTGCTACCCAGGTGCAATTCTATCCTGGAGGACTAGTCTTCAGCGCTCCCAAGTTCTTCCATTTTATTTCTTTCTCTCTTAGACACTCCACTGACCCACTGTGCTGCAACGGGGGTTGCTTTCTGTAGCCTGGCCTGGCTGGACAGCCTCCACCTGGTTGGGGGCAGCAGCGACGGGTCCCTGTACGTCACAAACACCTCCCAGTTCAGCCGCCTTTGCCTCCATAAGCTGCAAGGCCACAAAGGAGCCGTGACAGGCCTCGCCGTCTTCGAGAAGCTGGTGGCGTCGGTGTCAGGTGATTTAGAGAAGAAGCCCCTGGTGGGAGGCGTTACGTTGCTTGCCTTTCTCCATCCTTGCCTCTCCTTAGGTCTTCAGCCAGAAGCTGTGGATGAAAGGAAGGGAGAGTTTGGGCTGGATAATGCAGGGGTTGATTTAGACGACCTAAGTAGCTTCTCTTTTGCCTTGCAAACTGCATGACAGTGGAAAGAGAGAGGGAAGCTTGTAGTAAGAGGCAGAGCTGATGCGGGCTTTGGGCTTAGGCTCCAGTTATCATGTGGGCCCATTGTGTCCCCCCCCCCGTGTGAAAAACCTTGGCGATCCACTTTCAGTCATTGCAGGACTACATTGAGTTTAGATGGACCCAATACAGTGGTACCTCGCAAGACGAATGCCTCGCAAGACGGAAAACTCGCAAAACGAAAGGGTTTTTGGTTTTTTGAGTTGCTTTGCAAGACGATTTTCCCTATGGGCTTGCTTCGCAAGACGGAAACATCTTGCAAGTTTGTTTCCTTTTTCTTAAAACCGTTAATACAGTTGCGACTTGACTTCGAGGAGCAACTCATAGCACATGGTGTGGTAGCCTTTTTTGAGGTTTCTGAAGACTTTGGTGATTTTTGAAGCTTTTCCAAAACTTTTCCGACACCGTGCTTCGCAAGACGAAAAAAACCGCAAGACGAAAAAATTAATTTCGTCTTGCGAGGCACCACTGTACTCTTGATAAGAGCTTCTTATCTTCCTCCAATTCCTTCCTTCCTTTTTTTCCCTCTCCCTCTCCCTCTCCTGTTGTATTCTGGCTATACCAGCCTACTCGAGAACTGCTTGTGTTGAGATTTTTCCAGAGCCTAGGAAGTGATTGGTGCCTCAGGGATGGGTGCCCCTCCCTGGCTTGCTTCTGCACTTTCTAGAGTAGGCCTTCAAAAAGTTGGCTTTCTTTGCTGGCCCAGTGACTTGGCTGGTCATGAAAGTGGACCAACTTCTATCGGAGCAACTAGGGCCCTGCATTGTCAAAGTCTGTGGGGAGAGCAAAGGCCAGAGACCTAGACGGAAGCAGCTTGCTGCAGTCGCCATGTTGTTAGGGGTGTCCATGGCAAAGGAGAAACTGGCTGCACAGCCCTGTCTTCCATCTGGGTCAGTGAGGACTGAGTAGAGTCCCGAGGGTCAGACATAGAGGACTGGAGGCCTCCCCTCGTGATCCCTCAGTCTGAGGCCACCATTCTTTCACCAGAATTTCCCCCCTCATATTCTTTTTCTCTTTTCTAGAGGATTTCACTGTCCAGCTGTGGCTTTCAGAGACTCTGAGACCAACAGATCCTGCTGCAGATGCTGACATCCTGCCCCTTGCTGTCCTCCGGGGTCACACCGGGGGGGTTACATGCTGCGCCTTCAGCCTTGACGGCCGCTACCTTGCCACGGGAGGCAAAGACCGGGTGAGTAAGGCAGCCTTGTCTCAAGGACAGGGCTCTTCCGCAAGGCCCACAGAGCTTCCTTGATCTTCCCCTCGCAAAGCATACCTCCGAATAGATGTTGATATGCGCTCAAAGCAATTGTGTGGCTCAGCTGGTCCAACTAATATCTCATTCGGCAAGCCTGTGCACCAAACGAGATGCCCCAGAAACCTTTGCAGGATACTTCTTGGCAGAGGAGATGCTGTGGCAGAGGCAGGAAACCCTTTTAAGCCTAAGGGGGGTCACATTGCCTCCGAGGCAACTTTTTGAGGGCCACATGCCAGAGATAGAAGTGAGCAGAGCAACAGATGTGAATTTTGCCTCTTGTGCAGTGGGCAAGTGTCTGTACCCATGCACCCCGCTCCTTCCTACATCCAGTCCGGCAAGCGGCACTGTCAGAGTTCAGTGACACACATTCCAGTCAGGCAAAAATACTCAAGGGAGGGTATAGAGCAGAGACATGGAGTGGGCATGGCCTGAGGAGAGTCCTGAGGGCCACACAGAAAAACCTAGAGGGCCGCATTTGGCTTCCAAGCCAGAGGTTGGTCATCCCTGTGATATGAAAAGGCAGAAAGGGGGGGGGGATTACTGCTTTTGGAGGCGGAGCAGAGTAAGGAACAAGGTAAGAGACTGGTGTAATGTTAACAAAAGGTAGGTTCTTATTTTATTTTTTTCACTGTGTTCTGTGTTTCAGGCGTTGTTTCTCTGGGATGTCAGGGACCCCTCCCAGAAGACCCCTTCCCTCTGGCGCTCCATGCTTTTCTGCCACCAGGACTGGATCTCCTGCTGCGCCTGGGCAGGCCCCATGTTGGTGAGTTTGGACGGCCACCGCACGGAGTAGGTGGGTAGGTGGGCTTTTCATGCACGAAGAATCCCAGAAATGGAGGGGGGAGGACCAAAGAGAGCCAGCTTACGACCCTTCCCAAAGGTCAGGTCTAGGCACCCACCTATTTAACCTAGCAGCTCTTTGCAGTAGCTCATTCTGCATGCAGTTGGCTCCTGCATGCAATGAGTGGGGAGGAAAGCTAGTGTTTGGGCACAAGGGAAGCTAACAAGCTGCTTTTGGGTTGTCTTGGACTCCCAGCTCTCATCAGTTGCAGCCAGCAGGGCCAATAGTGGACATTTATTATTTGGATTCAAAGGATGGGAAAAGGCAGAAATTTCAATTCTGACCTGTATTCATCATACTTGTCACCATTTCCATTACGATGCAGTTTGGTTTCTGCTAAACACTACGTGTCTTCTGTTAAACATAAATTACAAAACTGTCTATATAACTTACGTAACTTACATTTATTTGAGTGTCAAAATGATGGCAAAAAGTCATCAATTACATATCCATTGTGGACTTCCAAACAACGTGAATGAATCCCATTTGACTCATTTCTGTTCCTGACAACAGGCAGACATGTGAATTGCAGCATTTGTTCACTTCCTTTTCTACGTTCCTCTGAATTCTCTGGCATCCCTAGGCCCCGGAGCAGGCACCAGTGAAGGGCCCTTGTCAGGGTGTTGGGAGGGTGGCAGCTGCCCCAAGGATGCTAGGTGCTGATACTGGCCTTGATGTGTTTGGTACCCTGGTGATAACTTGCCGGCTGATTAATTGGAACATCTGATTCCTCCTGTCATCTTCCAATGGGGAAACTGAGGTGGTTGGGAGTATCACCCACAGCAGGTCTCCTAAATCTAGCAGCCTCTGATGTACATCCCACCATTTCTAACTTCCTGCCTGTCCTTTGCATTGTTCCCCACACAGCTCACTGGCTCCAATGACTGCACCGTCTGCCTCTGGGATCCCAAAACTGGCCAGCGCCTCCAGGAATTTCTGGGCCACCAAAGCCCAGTATGCAGTGTCATGAGTGAGGTAGGCAATAGAATCCTTCTGAGGCTTCGTCCTTCATTTTCCTACCTTGGCCCTAGACGCTTTCCTGAATTCTGCAAAGCACGCTACGTTGGGCTTTGCGGATTCTAAAATGAAGAGGCGGCAAGTCACAGAACATCCTCTTCTTCATCTGCCTGAAATGGCACCTGAGGGGACAAACCAGATGTCGCGTTAAAGACATGTTTGCTTTTAATGTGCATATTTTTCTGGGTGGGGCTGGAGGGAGTTGTACTCCAAAACCTCTGGGGAGCGCCAGGGTGGGTGAAGGCTGCAAATAGCAACGGCGGTGGGTGGGAGAAAAACCTATCTAGGTTGCCTTCTCTTCCCCTCCTGAAGAGAATCCCTCCTTTTTTGGAAAATGCCATATTTGCATTGGGAGGAAATCTCCCACAGATACCAGCCGCCACAGCGAATCCTTACATTAAAAAGCAAAAACAAAGAAACACTGCTGTACAGGTTAAATCAGAGCATTGCAGAGTTGGAAGGCACCAGGAGCTGGTTTATCTAGTGCAGCCCCTGTCAGTGCAGGAATCTCTTGTCCAGCGTGGGCCTGAGATATCCCAGCTGAGTACAGATACATCTTACCATCTTGCATAGTTTGGCCTTGAGTGTCTTATAGATGCCGTTAAAAAAACCTCAGTGCTGTTCCCAGGTCCTCCCAGGTCCATTCTAGTCTCCCCAACTCTATTATTGACCTTGTGTCTGTGGCCTATCCTGCCTTGGCTCCCCTTTTTCATCCTGGGTACCACATTCCATTCTGGGCAGGCTTCCTGGGGCCACATGCCAGTGGTGAGTGGGGCCAGAGGCAAAAGTGGGTGGAGCAACAAATGTAAATGTTCCCCGCACAACGCCCCCTTCTCCATCCATGCAAGCAAGAAGCACTATCAGAATGCAAGGGCCTGTTCCATCCAGGCAAAACCACTTGGGGCAGTGAAGTGAGGGGTGCGGCCTGCAGGGAGGAATCCGACGGCCGGATGCGGCCACTGGCCCTGAGGTTCCCCATCCCTGCCTTAACTCTGTGCATGGAACGCTTGTTGCAGTCGTCCTCTGGATAAATATGCATGGCCTTGGTTCATCCCTTGCTGACTGCTACTCTTTCTGGTTCCTATGACAGAAAGAACATGTGTTCTCCGTGGGCAGGGATGGGATGCTGGTGGCGTGGAACCGACAGGGGCTGGAGATGACTCGCTTCCTGGCTCACCCTGACCGGGCCAACCACTGTGCAGGCTTCAGCGATCCACGTAAGATACTTTAGCCACCACTTTTTGAAAATCTGGGGAAGGGAAATGAGCTCTGAAATTCTGGTCTCCGTTACTTGACAGTATGATACAAATGAATCCATGTGCATATTTGCATTTATTTTAGATGAGGTTAAGGTTCACACGAATATGTACAAGTTTGAATGCTCAAATTGTTCACTGTCCAAGTAAGGTATTGCAAGTAGCCCTTTCAAGACTGTAGATATGAGCTGTCTAGCAGATTTTGAACTTGGTAATGTAAGAATACCAAGGTCTGACAGGGGGCTGTGGGTTGCTGAGGAGTTTGGCCTCTCTGAAGAAGCTTAGCTTAATTACGTGACTGAAGACCTTTCTTTGGTTCCTGCAAAGTCACCTCCCCGTGATAAAGTTGGCTGTTTTATTTGCCAGTTAGATGAGGAAGATTTTAGTGAATGTGGAAATAATAATAATTTTATTATTGGTCAGATATGATTTTATAAATAGCCAGAATTAAAGAAAACATGTGAAAACAGATTTTCAAAGTGGGGAAGTATTGCCCTTAAAGTTGGGGAGTGAGGGGTATTGTCACTTGGAACAGCTGACCTGCTTTTTGCCCTCTGCCCTACCTTCATAAGCGTACTGTTAGTACATTTCTTTCTTTTTTTTCTTTTCACAGGGGAAAAAGAGTTTATTTTGGCTGCAGCCGGCGGTGATGGCACAGTGAAACTTTGGAAGCCCCTGAAGGTAAGAGATGGGGGGAATATGTGTGTGTGTGTGTGTGTGTGTAGATTTAATGTACTAAACTAACATTTGCCAACCTTGTTCTCTCCAGATGTTTTGACTACAACTCCCACCAGCCCCTAGCCAGTGCCCTGTGCTGTCTGATGGGAGCTGTAGTCCAGAACATCTGGAGAGAGCACCAGGTTGGCAAAGGCTGCCCTAAACAAAAATGCCCTTGGAAATTTGGCTGGTGATTTGACAACTCAAAGACTCCGCAGTTACTTGTGTTAAGGGCAGCCTGTTATCCATAGTTGCCTAATAAATATCTTAACGTTTACCTGTTAGGCTATATTCCCACCCACCCCAAAAAACAACCCACAACCTCTTGGCTACGCTTGTAAGGCTGGGCAAACCAGCCACAGCAGCAGTTTAAATGTTTCCTATATCACCTCTTCTGAGGCTGTGTACCCAATACACCTTTTAAAGCACATTCCAAGCACACTCTTTCCCTCACAGTCTGGGCACAGTAGTTTACCCCTCACAGAGGGACAAGTCCCAGCAGCCCTTAATAAACTACAGGGCCCAGAATCCTCTGAGGGAAAGTGTGCTTGGCATGTGCTTCAAAGGTACAGCTTGGGCACACCTTAGGCTTGTCTGCCTCTCACAAATAGGGCATGCATGAGGGGAAAGTGACAAAAGTTGGCTCAACTTCAGAGCTGCTGGAACACTTACTGAGAACTCGGTTAGCATATGGCTTAAAGTCTTCTTACCTGATGGATCAACTTTTAGGTATCATTCTTGTTGGATAGGAGCCAACCTGGTCTGCCCTGCACCTACACCATAATAATCTCTCCCGCGTGGGCAACTCTTGGCACCTAGACCCAAGCCCTGTTCTGCCTCCCAGCTCCTTGCTCACTCGTTTCCTGTTTCCTCACAGCTGGCGGAACCTGACGTCTTCCCTGGCCACTGCGCTGCCATCTGTGGGGCTGCTGCTTCCCCAGCATCTTCCTCTTTCCTGACAATATCCAAAGACAACACAGTCCGAGTGTGGGCCGTCCCCAAGGAAAAGGGTTAGTATCGGGGGGGGGGCTGCTCACAGCTTCCTGCTCTTCCTGCATTTGTGGGTCAAACCAAAAGGTTGACTGGGTCAGAGGAGCCCAGTTGCTTGTGCTTTGCGTCCGTTACCATCTGCCATATACCGAGGGAGGCCATTGGTCCACCTAGCTCAGTATTGTCTATGTGCATTGGCTCTGGGCTCTCCAGAAATTCAGGCAGATTCTTCCTAGCCCTCCTTGGCGATTGAAACCGGGAGCCTTCTGCATGCAAGCCAGTTAAACTTTCCCACTGAGCTTACAGGCCTCCCCACGCTTAATGACCAATTTGGGTGTGTTCATTTGGTGTCAGCATTTTGTGTCCACACAATTAAACCAGCTGTGTTTGGAGTGGAGGGTGGAGAGATTTCCAGCTGACCTCTCACGACGACACATTGTGGCTCCACCCTTTCCCCTCACTGTGCACATTAGGGTTGCAGAAACACCATCCATTTCAAGCACACATCCCAAGAATCCTGCGAACTACCCCCTCACAGAGCTACAATTCCCAGTGCCCTTGACAAACTACGGTTCTCAGCATTCTTGGGGAGAAGTTGCATGTGTGCATGTGACCAAATACATGTTTTAAAACTGCAAACTGGTTGGTCCCAGCTTATCATTTTCTTGCTGAGCCGTTTTCCCCCTTGCTCACCAGCAGGAGCCGCCAAAGACCTTCCCACTCACCAAGGTGCCGTCACGGCCTTGGCCTGGTCCCCCGATGGGGACTTCGTTGCGTCTGGTGGGGAACACGGAGACCTGGTCCTCTGGCACAAAGCCAAGGCTGTGGAGAAAGTGAAGGTAAGCCCAAGGGCGCTGGACTCCCCAACATCATCTGAAGGGCCACAGCTTCCTCACCCCTCGCCTCTCCAGTGCCGGAAAGAAGGCTTGGAGGGAGAAGCCGCCACCTGGTGGCCATAGAGTTGGAATGGATTCTTGAGGGTCATTCAGTCCCAACCCCCTGCAGCGCAGGAATCTTTTGTCCATCGTGGAGCTAGAACCCACGGCTCCAAGATTGAGAGTCTTGTGCTCTACCAACTGAGCTATCCAAATGCACCTTGGGCTTCGTCCGGCCCTTTGGTATAGAAAACCGTTGCATGAGTGGCTTCGCTTCTTTCACCATCCAGGCTGGCCAGCGTTGCATCAGTGCCTTAGCCTTCACTTCCACCCGCACCATCCTTGTGGCAGCTGATGGGATCAGCCTCTGGTACATAAGCAGGCAGCGCAATGGAACCATCAGGTAAGGTTGCACAAACCGTCCCAGGACTGCTGGGTCTCCAGTGTGAGCCACTTGTCCTGGGAGTGCCTGACTGCACAATGGAGCTCTCAGCCCCATAACCAAGAGAGAGCTCCTCCAGGCCTCTGCTTTTCCACAGCTGTGTCTCCACAGCATGTCGCTGATCCTGAGTTTTTTTTGTATTCTTCTCTGTGTGTGTATTTCTCCCTTTTCCCATTGCACAGCTTGACCCGCAAGAAGTGCCTGCGCCAAGCAGAGGAGTCGTCTGCGCTCTGTGTGGGGGTGCTCAGGCCCAGCGGCCCCATAGTCCTAGGGATGGCCAGCGGAGACCTGCTGGTGCTGCAGCCTGGAGCTGAGAGCTTCCAGCAGAACCCGTGAGTTGGGAGAACAGTGGGCCTCGAGGGGCCAGGGGAAGACATCTCTGGGTGGTGGAACAGTCTTACTTCCATGGCTCCAGTGCTAATCTTCTTCACCTCCATCTCAGATACACAGACAAAGTGTGGGATATCCAGCAGCACGTGAGCTTTGACATATCTGTGTCCGAGGAGGAGGAGGGGCATATCTTTCACATCTGGGACTCCATGCACAGCCCAACCTTGTTCAAGATGGTGAGTGGCCAGTGAGTGGCCCAGGTGGGAATCGCCACAGGATTTGGCCAATTGCTGAGCTCTGAGCCTGCCAGGCTGCATCTACCTGCATGTTGTTGTTGTTTAGTCGTTTAGTCATGTCCGACTCTTTGTGACCCCGTGGACCAGAGCACGCCAGGCACTCCTGTCTTTCACTGCCACCCGCAGTTTGGTCAAACTCATGCTGGTAGCTTCGAGAACACTATCCAACCATCTCGTCCTCTGTCATCCCCTTCTCCTTGTGCCCTCCATCTTTCCCAACATCAGGGTCTTTTCCAGGGAGTCTTCTCTTCTCATGAGGTGGCCAAAGTATTAGTCTGAGCTTCAGGATCTGTCCTTCCAGTGAGCACTCAGGGCTGATTTCCTTCAGAATGGAGAGGTTTGATCTTCTTGCAGTCCATGGGACTCTCAAGAGTCTCCTCCAGCACCATAATTCAAAAGCATCAATTCTTCGGTGATCAGCTTTCTTTATGGTCCAGCTCTCACTTCCATACATCACTACTGGGAAAACCATAGCTTTAACAATACGGACCTTTGTTGGCAAGGTGATGTCTCTGCTTTTTAAGATGCTGTCTACCTGCATAACCCCCACTTATGATTGGTGGACTGATTGCATTGACATCCCACTTTTTTCTCAAAGGGAGCTCAAGGTGACTTTCATAGTTCTCCCCCCTTTCATCCCCACAGCAACCCTGTGAACTAGGGGGAAGGGGCAAGGGGCTTGCCCAGGGAGCTCCATGTGGGGGACTTGAGCCCAGGTTTTCCAAGTCCTAGCCTAGCGGAAACTATGTACAAAGTCTCCTGATCCCTGAGCCCAGGGGTAGTATCAGCTCAGAAAGCAGCTCCTTTGGTGGCTTTAAGCAAGCATATATGTGTCTCTGTGTGCAGGCCTCAGGCCTGGGGGTGGGGGGGTGGGCAAATGTGGCTCTGCAGGCCTCCCCCGATTGCTCATCCCACATCTGAGCTTTCCCGCTACCCACCCTCATTCCAGGTACTTCCGGTGATGCCTGGTTTTTGCAGGAATTGTTCCACCAGGCTGTCCAGTCCAAAAGGAGATCCTGCAGCTCGGTTGCCGTTGTGGCATGGTTGCCTCAGTTGTTCTGTGATGTTGTGCCCTTGGTCTGACCAGCTCAGAACTCCCAAGGCAGGTGGGACGTGGGTCTTCTGCCAGGAGAGGCCTGCTAATTTCTTGAGTTGCCCTTTCCTCACCAGAGCCGTCTTCTGTTTGTTCCTTTAGAGGGTAACCGAATCTGGGAAGTTAGAGGACACAGACGCCCTGGAGAAGATACCATGGGTACCCAAAAGGCCCTCTGTTTGGGTCACTGCTGCCCGGCAGGTCAAAGGTGAGGCCAAGACCAGGTTCCTGCTTATCCCAGTCTCACTTTTATATTTTTTTGAGAGAGACTTTTGCTGAAGCAAAATGTCACTCTTGTGCTCAGAACCTTCTTGTTGCTTAATGTTGTGCAGACATACTTGAAACTCTGGGGGCGTCCCCGGCTTGGCAACCCCAGAGGAGCCCGTGTTGACGGCCTGCCTCTGGAATGAAATCACATTTAATGGGCTTAAAACATTTGATATCTAAGATTCCAACGAGGTGCAATGATTTTGTAGGTTGTAACTGGGTGGAGATTGGCACAGTGTAGGGGTAGCCGAAGGTCACGCTCCCCAAAACTCCAGACTGCAATTCCCATAGGCCTCAGCAAGCATGGAAGTTGTAGTCAAATGAGATCTGGCAGGCACCCTATTGGCTACTCCAGCATAGAATATGAAAAGCCCTGTAAAAGACAGCAGAAATCAGCTTGCATTAGAAAGGTGGATGCGTAAGTGGTAGATTTTGGATATGGGCTTGTGGGCACCTGGTTGGCTACTCTGAGAACAGAATGCTGGACTATAGGCCTGATCTAGCAGAGCTCCAGCTGATTTGAAAGGAGTGGAGTTAGAATTGGAGGGAGAGATGCACTCTTAATTCTGGCTTTTCCATTGGCACAGGTAAACTCCTCTTATGCGCAGACTCTGAAGGATGCCTCTGGACTCAGACCCAGCAGACTGAGGAGAGAGTGGATAAATGGAAGCCTGATGGCTGGCAGAGGAAAAAGGCAAGTCCTAGGGATGGGGGGAGAAGATAGGATGAATGGAGACCCACCTGCGCCTGAATCATCAGCCTGAGCAGCAAGCGGGATGCCTCCCGGGTGCAATTTTGAGTCACGTGCCCGGGATTTTGAGCCCTTGCCTACCTCTGGGGCCTGATCCAGTTTGGAGATGCTTCCATAGAGTTCACTTGCAGTGCATCCACATCTAGGGGAACTGCAGTTTTGTAAAGGAAGGTCGTTTTAGGTCTCTTAGCAGGAAAATCTAAGCTTCCTCGACAAGCCTACAATGCCCAAGGTTATGCAGTGTAAACCAAAAGAGCAGAAGTTGCTTACAAAACGATCTTAGGTTTGTGGCATGGATGCACTTTTGTTGTTCTGCGGGAGCAGGAAAATACTGCCTTGTGGGGAACAGTGAAAAAGTCCACTGAAATTTGGACCCCAAACCAGACTCTTACTTTACATTCTATTTCCTAATGAGATGAAATTGCCGTGAGTGCATTACATACATTCATCATGCTGCATTTAGACTGGCTTGTTTTTAAAATGTGAACCACTTTGAGCACAGATACATTTTAGTAAATGCAGTGTAATAGTAGACTGTGAGTATGCAAAGTGACTTTAAATATGCTCTTGGGGCTTGAGAACTGGGACTTCCTTAATTGGCCTGAATCCTCAGGGTCACAGAGAGGGTGGGGTAAGGCAGTGTGATCTCTCTCTCGCTCTCCCTGTGGCCCCAAGGAAGCACTTTCCAAGACCTAGCAGACTTTAAAAACTCTTCTGCGTCTGTTGTTACTAGATTCACAGTGACAAAATCACAGCCCTGCATGTCCTCGGAGACAGGATTGTAACAGCATCACATGACCGAGATGTGAAGATTTGGGATGGCAACACTATGAAACTGGTGAGTAACTTCACACTCCCCTTCCTCTCCCTGTGGGGCATTTCTTACATAAGGGTCCTGGGAGTTGTAGCTCTGTGAATGGTTAACCTACAGTTCCCAGGATTCTTTTGCGGTAGGGAATCATGTCTTTTATGCCTTAGTGGTGGTGTTTTTCAACATGACTGTAAATCTGCTTCAGGATGTAAATAAAGCACTATATATATGAATTCAACAAACCTAACCTCTTCCCCATCTTTCATTTCTGTATGCAAAGCTTTTCTTCTAACCCTTCCTTGTTCTCTATCCTGTTTCCTTTACACAGCTGGGCCAGTTCCGATGCCACGGGCCAGTTTCACAGCTCCAGCCTTGGACCGATGCAGACTCCACCCTTTTTCTCTACGCGGGTGACACTCTGGGCAACATTTATTCCTTGGAGTGGGGCTCCGTCTCTGCTTGAGGGACGTGGCTTTCGGGGGAGAGCTCCTGCCAGCAGCCTCTTAAGCCTGGCACTTATCATTTCCAGACATGAATGCAGCTGTTTTGCTGCTACCTCCTCAGCCTTGCCCCTACCCTCTCAGCAGCTGGAATCTGCAGATCCCGCATGGCTTCTTCGTTGATGTGGAGGCCGTGGTTCTGTCGCAGCCTATGCTTGCTTAGCAACTGTAGGCCACAGAATTCAGATACCATGTGAGGAACCACCTTAGAAACCTGGCTGGAGTCTGGGGTTGAGCCAATCAAGCTTTGTAGCTCACCTCTACCTAACCACAGAGGTGAAAGACAAGTTTCAGAAGGGCTAAATCTATTGTGTGTACAGATTTCCCCTGCGCCCCCTTTGCCTTCAAAATACTGTGATGACAAATTTGCAACCACTGATGCCTTCTGTATAGTGTTTTTATTTTGCTAATGTGCCTTCCCTTATTTTACAAGTCAATTAAGAAATAAAATGGAGCAATGTCAACCATTTTTGTGTTCCTCTGTGCTAAAGAACCCGTACTTAGTAAACAGTGAGGAGCAGCAGGGCTGAGAAATGGCAACGTGGGCTGGCGCTGTGCTTTGAAGCCCAGATATTGGGCCTTCAAGGCACAGCATAGGGGCATCTTTGAAAGTCCCTGTGCTTTGTGGCAAGACTTCAGAAGCTCCTTTTGGCTTGGCTGGGTCACCTTTATACTTCTCCCCACGTGACATCCTATGCAGTTGACAAAAGGGTTTGTGTGACCAAAATTGCCTTTTGGGTAATAAGAGAGACCTCCTGGGCTGAAACTCTGCTTTAAGGCATGGAATGGGGAAGCTTTCTGAGACAAGAGGCCCCCATTCTTTCGTTGCATGCCTTCCTGGGAGGAGGAAGAGAACATGCCAGTAGAGTCTCTCACACCTTTCTTCATTATTGAAGAAGGGGGGGAGGGGAGAGACATATAGCAAGAAGGGGAGTCCTGTACCCCCCTGACACTCAGCTGACTGGGAAACAGCTGAGCAACAGCAAAGGAGGCACCTGCGCCTTTGCAATCCACTGTTTCAAGGGGCCTTGAGGCATCACCTTCCTTTGCCCTCTCCTCGTCTTCCTTCAAGGTGATTCCAGAGCACTTGGCAAGCATCAGAAGAGGCGTGTTACTACTGACCGATCTGCAGAAGCAGCAGTTGTGGGCTTAGAAGGGTGAAGAAACAGGTGAAGCACTTTAAACCCGAGGGGAGGGAAGGGCTTTTGAAATAACTTGAGAAAGGCTTTGCAGGCCTACAGCCCACTGCTGCTCCAAGGCTTTAGTTGTTCCACAGTCTTCCTAACACAACACCATAGCCTGCTTTCTACAAAAGGGGTGCCTTTGTCAACTCCCTTAACAAGGCCAGTGTATTAAACCAAGTTTTAATCAACTGCACTCTAGGAATAAAATTCTATGGAAGGAGGTCAAGTTCTCAAGTCTCTCAGCTTAAAGGCACTTGAGACGTCAGCTTGGAAAAAACAAGGCCTGTGGTTTTTCTGTTGCCGTCCTCCTCTGCTTCGCCTGCTGAACTTCACCAGAGCTGGGTGAAATTGAAGCGCACCTTGAGGAGGTACTTCATGCGCACCTGCCGTGGGTCGTAGACAATGAACTCGTTGTAGTTCAGGGTGTAGCCGTTGGGGTTCACCACCCCGGTTTCTGCAGCAGGGCCCAGGGGCACCAGTGCCCCATGGCTGCCAGGGAAGGAAAAAGAGAACACAGTGTTTAGAAATTCATGTTGCACACAAGCACCCATGTGCCTTGCCTGCGCCAGGAGTGTTTTTAATCAGAGATCTAGTTACAGGTAGGTAGCCGTGTTGGGCTGCCGTAGTCAAAACAAAATAGAAAAATTCCTTCTGGTAGCGCCGTAGAGACCAACTAAGTTCGTTATTGGTATGAGCTTTCATGTGCAAACTTAGTTGGTCTCTAAGGTGCTACCGGAAGGAATTTTTTTATTTATTCAGAGATGCATGGAAACGCCCTGGTCCACAAATCTCTCTGCTGCCTTAAGGACAGCCTTTGCATTTTCAGCCAGGTAGGCTTCCTCCACCCACTCCAAACTCACAGTGTCATGCTGTTGGCCGGGGATGGCGCCATCTTGCCAAGCCCTTTGGTGCAATGTTTGCTGGTCAGCAGTTTCTCCGCTTCAGGGTTTGCCTCCAACAGTTCGTTGCATTCGCCCAGAGCTACCTACAGAGGCAGGAGAACAGAACTTCATCCCCAGCTCATGCATACATCACTTGAATATTTAAAACACTGTAGCGGAACTCCTGTAAATGGCCTCTAATCTGAGAAGCGAACAGAGGAAGGAGGAATATGTGGTGGTGATGGGTTGTGGGGATACTGGTTTTACAAGGTTGAGCCCCAGGTCTGGCCCAGGCACATCTCCCCCTTTCCCTTGAGCTTTTTAAATGTTAAAATGGTGGTGTTGTTTTTTAATGTAATATGTCCAGTTAGCCTGTAAGCAATGTATGAGGTAGTGCCATCTCAGCTCACTACCATCTTAACTGCACAGAGGCACTTGTTTTAATATTAGTTATCAATTCTTGCATTTGGATCCCAAAGAGCTCAGAGTGGGGGACATTGTTCTCCCCCATCTCACTTACTCCCCACGACAACCCTGTGAGGCAGGTTAGGCCGAGAGGCAGTGACTCGGCCCAAGTGGCAATTTGAATCCTGGTCTCTCCCAGGTCCTAGTCAGATGCTCTAACCACTATGGCTAATTTGTACTGAACCAGCAGTTCTTGCCAGTAAGCTAAAGGCTAGTCAGAGGGTTCAATCCATCCACCGTCTACAGAGCCCATAACACCCCGCTGTCACTCCTCAACTCAGCAACGAGTCCTGCCAGCCAAAGTCTCTCTTCCCCTCCGAAAGTCAGCCTAAACTGGGCCTATACTCTGCAAATTTGAATCACAGGGCTGCCCCAACCCAAGTCTTTTATGTACTTATTTACACTCCAGGGAAGGCTAGAGCTGGGGTAAGTTATTTTGGACAACAGTCCCCTTCATTCCCCTTTTTTCTTTTATTAATTTTTACATAAAGTTTCAAAAAAACATACAACATATTTTCTTATCTTATACAATGTTTTGGACTTCCATCCACCACATCTGAAGATTTTTCAGTCTTTATCACTTAATCTGCATTTCATTAGTTTCGCTATTATTTTTAATAGTCCTTCACTAATAATTCTCTTCATGCTTTTCTCTGCAATATTTCGCATAGACCTCCTTACAAAACTTTTTGTAGTCCTACTAGCGTAATCTGCTGATTACAATTGCTTTTCAAATAATTCACATATTTACTCCAGTCCTCCGAGAATCTCTGATCCTGCAGGTTTCGAATCCTTCCTGTCATTTTATCTAATTCTGCATAGTCCATTAATTTCATCTGCCCTTCATTCCCATTTTTTGTGTGCATATAAATTGTGATTTTTTTTTTTATTACTTAGTTTTGGTACTGCTTCCTATTAAAACACCTCTAAGCAGTGCGCACACCAAAAAAAAAAAAACCCTGAAGAAACAACAGACAACTTAAAATGAAATATTACAAAAACACACAGTTACATATAAAACCCGGAGCTGATGGGAATTGTAGTCTACATGTGCAGGCGCTCTTTGCCCCCTCCCCCCAAAATGGGATGCAGATCTCACCTCCGACAGCAACAGCAAGCCGACGTCTTTCTCGCGGGTGGCAAAGCAGTAGTTTGCACTCTTGGAGGACATGTCAGCAAAGTAGATTCCTTTCCCAAACTTGAAGGGAACGAAAGGAAGGTCAGTAAGTCAGCCCTGCCATGAGGTGAGCCAGGAGCAGCAGGCCAAGAGCTCAGCAGAGGACAAAGTGGGGAGACTCACCATGTAGCCAGTGACGGGGGCTTCCGGGGGGGCCACCCGCAACCCGCGACTCAATATCCCTGCCCAGTTGCCCAGGCGCGATCCGTGCCACAGCAGTGTCCTGAGAAAGGGGAAGAAGCCCAGAAGAGAGACAAATCACAATGGGGATCTCTAGGCTGAGAGCCAGCATGGTGTCTCAACCTGTGGGTCCCCAGATGTTGTTGGACTACAACTCCCATCATCCCTGAGCTCTGGCCTTGCTAGCTAGGGGTGATGGGAGTTGTAGTTCAACAACATCTGGGGACCCACAAGTTGAGAAAGGCTGGATTAGAGGTTACAGTGCTGGGCTAGGATTTCTGGGGGTTGGACTAGATCAGCCTTGGGGGTCCCCTTCCAACTCTACAATTCTAGAATGATATGACTCATGAGAGCCAGGTTCCAATCCCCATTCGAGTCACGAAGCTCACTGCAAGACCTTGAGCCAGTTGCTCACTCTCAGGCTAACATACCTCGCAGGGTTGTTGTTGTGAGAAGAGAATCATAGCACTGTAGAGTTGGAAGGGACCCTGAGGGTCATCTTAAGTCCAACCCCCTGCAATGCAGGAATACGCAGCTGTCCTATACGGGGATCGAACCTGCAACCTTGGCGTTACCAACACCATGCTCTAACCGACTGAGCTATCCAGGACGGATATGTAGGCCACACTTTTGAGCTTCTTGGGGGAAAGGTGGCCTATATAAATGCAATAAATAAATAAAAACGGGCTCAAGTGGGGTGTCTCTCTCTCTCCCCCCACCCCGGCTCCTTCCACTCACCGGTTGGGGAGGTCGGAGCGGAAGGTCGAGTCTGGATCAAAGCCCTCCTTGTTCAGCACAAAGGCCTCCAGCAGCGTCATGGTGTAATCTTGGTGCGTGGGAGCGTGAGTGGACAACAGGTAGCGCTCTAAGACCTGGGAAGGAGTAGAAGGAGTAGGGAGCTATCAGAGGAGAAGCAACAACTCCCCAAATATTTTAATTTTTTTAAAGCATGGGCAGAGTTTTCCTGGGACTCTCCCCCGCCCCCCGGCCCAGTCCCTGTCCCCCACATACTGGGAAGTCAGGGCTATCCCTCTCCAAAGGTCGAATCTCACAGCTGAGGCCGCGATAGTTCCGGTCCAGCGGGTGCTCCTTGTCCAGCTGCTCTGACCGCACCAGTTTAATGGCAGCACGGATCTCGCCAAGAGCCTTGAGGGGCAAAAGAAAAGCAGGCGGGAGTGGCAGGAGCGTTTTCACAGGACAGCAGGACCACCAGCACTACCCAAATTGATCCATCCATGGTGGGCATCTTCTGTCTGTCTGTTTATTGATTGATTGGGATAGTCTCAACCAGTTCCTTCTCCCACCCCCCATCTGGAATGAGGGGAGTTTGGAGCCTTGAGGCCCAGTCACTTATTGCTCCAAATTTGCATGGGGAGGAAATTCAATTTCCTTTAAAAAGATATATTTACAATTTTATTGAGATTATTAGTAAATTAAAGAAGAATGAAGAACAAAGAAAGAATATGTTATGTCATAGCCTTAATTATATCTTATGGGTTATTTTGTTATTGCTGCTCTTCTTTGCTCTAATTTTTTTTTTTTAAAAAAAATGAAATTCCCTTTCCTAGCATGATCTTGGCATTCTGCTGGCCAGATACTCGGGGCATCCCATTCACTCCCCCCACTTCAGTTGTGTGTTCGCATTCGAGCGCTCTTACCTCCAGCAGTTGGGCCTTCTCTTGCAGCTCCTTTTCTGTGCTGATCAGTGGAGGGGTCCTCAGTCTGCAAGAAGAGATCGGGGTGGGGACACAGACTTCAGGAAAGGTTGCAGAAATGACGGGGAGGGGTATATACATGCATTGGGTTTTGCACTCCATAAACACTGTTCTGCACTTGCAAAGAACTGGTCCTTTCATGCGGCAGCAACTGCTCTCTGCAACTCCCCTGTTATGAAATATTAGGCAGGTACCTTCACTGTTGATGTTTTCAACAGCTGCTACAAACTTTAAGGAATGCCTATCCACGCTGGGAATTTTACCATATATAGGTAAAGGCAAAGGGACCCCTGACCATTAGGTCCAGTCGTGACCAACTCTGGGGTTGCGGTGCTCATCTCGCTTTACTGGCCGAGGGAGACGGCGTACAGCTTCCGGGTCATGTGGCCAGCATGAGTAAGCCGCTTCTGGCGAACCAGAGCAGCACACAGAAACCCCGTTTACCTTCCCGCCGGAGCGGTACCTATTTATCTACTTGCACTTCATGCTTTCAAACTGCTAGGTTGGCAGGAGCAGGGACCGAGCAACGGGAGCTCACCCTGTCACGGGGATTCAAACCGCCGACCTTCTGATTGGCAAGTCCTAGGCTCTGCGGTTAAACCGACAGCACCACCCGCGTCCCTTGGTTTATATACTTGGTTTAAAATTGTTGAGTTTATCTATATTTTGGTACACGTTATTCTAGTTTCTAATGCTTGATTTGATCAATATTTTCTTATGTGCCTATGTAAAGCACGCAGAGGACTGTTGTCGTTGACAACATGAAAAGAGCCTGGAGGATGAGGCGATTGGTCCTTCTGCATCCACACCGTGGCAGGAAGGTGGGTGGGGGGAGGCATATATTGCCTGATCACGAATGTCTTGGGAAGTGGGTTGAGAAGCACCAAATATTTGTGGGAGGAGATGTACAATGCTGTACGGAGTTTTGAGTATAGAGAGACAACAGAGTCCCATCCCTGAGCCACTGGGAGCCCAAGGTAAGGAGGGTTGCCCCTGGCCCGGCAGCACTAACCCGAAATCATGGGGAATCCGCGTGTAGAATTCATTGCAGGCCTCCACCAGGGCACGGCCGGTCTGCTTCCGCTTGAGACATGCTTCTACCTTTCGCAGCGATTGGTACCCTGCGCTGATCTGTTCAGCCGTCAGCTTTCCTGGAGGGGACATGGGAGAGAAAGGAACTCAGCCCAAGGTGTTTCTGTCTGCCCCCCAAAAGTTACTGGGCTTTATGCTTAATTTGCCCAAGCATGCAGCCCATTTGAAATTAAATGGAAAGCAACAATCCTCCCAATGGTGTAGAGCAGTGGAATTAAAACAACTGCTACTAGCATCTCCTACCCCTGCACACGCCACTCACCTACATGACCCCCTTTGCCCAAACCACAACTATTCACCCCTCCCTTTACACTTTGCCGCTGCCACTATTGTGTGGGAAGGAGAAAGAAAGGGCAAAAGTCTACTGGCGGCCATGAGAACTGCAGCGTGGCGACATCCTTAGGGTTTTATTATATAGTTTGTCATTTGTTTCCAGATTTCACTCCAAATGTAAGAACACAAGAAGAAGCAGAAGAAGAAGAGTTTGGATTTGATATCCCGCCTTTCACTCCCCTTCAGGAGTCTCAAAGCGGCTAACATTCTCCTTTCCCTTCCTCCCCCACAACAAACACTCTGTGAGGTGAGTGGGGCTGAGAGACTTCAAAGAAGTGTGACTGGCCCAAGGTCACCCAGCAGCTGCATGTGGAGGAGCGGAGACACAAACCCAGTTCCCCAGATTACGAGACTACCGCTCTTAACCACTACACCACACTGGCTCTCCAAGAGCCTGCTGGATCAGGCCAATGGCCCATCCAATACCCAGTAGTCAACCAGATGCCTGTGGGAAACCTGCAAGCTGGATTTGAACACAATAACACTCTCCCCTCTAGTGGTTTCCAGATTTCTGTATTAAAAGATTTCCTCTTTGCCGCTCTTCTCTCTTTAGAGCTCCTGAACTAAGTTAGATATAAAAGTGACAAATTAGGGCCACTTGCCTAGAGGAGCCTTCTTGGTGTCATACTTCATCTCCACCACCATTTCCTCCATGGTGCGGATGCTGCAAATCAGCTCCACCAAGGCCTGAACTCGTGGGTCCAGCTGTGACACAGGCTTGGGGCACGAGGCTGTCTTCTGCGAGGCAGCTTTCTCCTCATTCTGGAAAGAATGTAAAGCAAAAGATTATGAGGCAGAGCGTCCTTCAGCCACAAGACCTCCCCTCCCTGCTCTTTCCCTCCCTCCCTGCAGTCTCACTGCATCATTGGCTTCATAGTCCAGGTGGAGAATATCATATTTGCCCGGAACCTTCTGGAAGCTGCAACGCTTGGTCCACTCATTCTTGGTTTTGTCCAAAAACCTAAAAGAGGTAGTGGAAAGAAGACGTGAGACCAGTTCAAGGAGGGCAGGCATTGGATGGGATGGGGAAATACCTCCAAAATTCCCAATGTGACTCACTTTTTGGTGAAGATGTCTTTGGCTTTAGCTAAATCTCCAGCACAACTCACAAGTGAGTGCTGACCCAGCTTGCCAACTGAGAAGGAAAGAGAGAAAGAGAGAATGGGGGAAGGCTAAGAGGGGGGGAAAACATTGCAGAGTGTGGGACAGTGGAAGAGACGACGTGTTGCTTTCTGGAGCTGAGAAGAAAGTCCAAGAGCCGTGGCTCCAAGGGGTGGTTTCTACAGAGCCACAACCACACACTTTGGAATGGGGGAAGCAGATGAGAACTGCTTTGCTATACGGCGCCAATCCAATGCTCTGTCTCTATTAGTGGTCAACCAGATTGCTGGGGCAAAGCTCACAAACAAGACCTGAAAGTGAGATTTCCCATCTTGTTGCAACCCATCATAAGCAACCAGAGGTTCAACTTTGAGCAGACCCTTTGAAATCAACGCAAGTAGGCGAGCCATGTCTATTGATTTCCATGGGGCTACTCTGAGTATGACTAACTTTGGATACAACTCCAAATGTTATACAGCCTCAGTGACTGTGTCATACGATCGCCCCCAAGTTCCCTGTCCAGACTCACCACGCCCCCAACGCATCCAGACGCTGTAGTTCCGGGCTCTGTCATCCTCCAACAACTGGATTAGGTAGTATTTGTTGTTGTTGAACTGGAGGTTTGTCTGGGAGGAACCAAGGAGAAGGAAGACAGTGAGAACAGATCAGTGGCGGCAGCAGCACATTTATTGAATACCCCTCCCTGGAAAAGTTCATCTGGTGCATATGTTATAGTCATGCCTAGCCCTGACCTGGTACGGGGTCCTTGGAGAACAAACCAGATACTCTACAGATTGAGGAACTTGAGGAGCAAGCAGGGTCCCCTAGAGCCACAGCTGAGGGACCCTCAGTTGGGAATCTGCTGAAGAACACTTGCGGCTGTCAGAGGAAGAGGTGGAGCCACTTTCTGGTCTCAAATAACTCCAGAGCTCCCAAAGCTCCGGATCTGGGCTGTTGTGCAATTTGAGAAAAGTATCTCCTCGTGAGCAAGTGATGCCCCCCCTTCCCAAGCAAAGTATATATACCTCCCCTCCCCGGGACTGTTTAATCTTCACACCAACCCTGCAATGGTAGGTTAGGCAGAGAGATTGGCTCAAGGTTTGTGGCTAAGTGGGGATTTGATCATGAGTCTCCCCGTTTGCTTCCATCACCCTGCGCTATACAGGCATCTAGTTTAACTATCCACTAAAATGCAGGTGAAAAGTAGCCTACAAGCCCACTCACCTGATTCAACATCACATCGTAAACGTCGTCTCCCTCACAATAAACGTGAGCCTTGTTTGGGAAGGAAGAGCAGCAGGAAAGAGAGAAGAAAAAAGATGGTTATTTTCAGAGCAAATTGATTAGAAAATAGCATGAGCAGGGGTGGCTAACCTTTTAATTTTTTTTTAGCCAAGTGGCATCGAGCTACCAAGCTAGATTGACCAGCCAACTGTTGTGGCCCAACATGCCTGTTCTTAAGTCCTTGGTAAGCTTTTACTTCAGAATGCAGGTACTTGTCATCGTCCCCCACCACTGACCTTGTTGTTGGGCTCCAACTGCCAACGGCCCTGGGGCAATATGAGGGAATTTGTAGTCTGGAACATCTGAAAGGCCATAGGGAAGGCCCATCCCTGTTACTCAAAGAGTAGTACAATACAGTGGTACCTTGGTTCTCAAACATCTTGGTACTCAAACAACTTGGAACTCAAACACTGCAAACCCAGAAGTAAGTGTTCTGGTTTGCGAATTTTTTCCGGAAGCTGAACCTGCTCTGTTTGAGTGTTATGCTTCTGATTTGAGTGCCACACTTCCGTTTTGAGTGTTACGCTGAGGTCTGTATGTTTTTGCTATTTATTTTGCCTTTTTGTGGCTCTTTTTTGTTTGTTATTCTGACTGTGTGGAACCCAGTTCAGCTACGCAGGTTGTACAATGACAATAAAGGTGGTATTATTATTATTATTATTATTGTTATTATTATTACTGATTGATTGATTGCGTGACTGCAGTACATTGTTTATTGCTTTCATTTTAGGTATCGATGGTCTTGTTAGACAGCAAAATTCATGTTAAATTGCTGTTTTAGGGGTTGTTTTTAAAAGTCTGGAACAGATTAATCCATTTTGCATTACTTTCTATGGGAAAGTGTGCCTTGGTTTTGGAACGCTTTGGTTTTGGAACGGACTGCCGGAATGGATTAAGTTTGAGAACCAAGCTACCGCTGTAAATTAAAAACCACCTCCCTTCTGTTTTTGAACGTGCGTTTTATATGTTTTCAGTCAGGAGGGGCTGCTATTATGAGGCTTAGCCAAGGTGGTGGCTCGCCTCCAAATCCCTTCTGCCACAGACTGACAGGCCGATGGTCAGGAATGGTAGTCTCAGCAAACTAGAGGCCAACGGTTTTCCATTCATGCCAGTAGGTGCCTTACATTGCCCAGCTTGGCAGAGCATTCTGGATCCACGGGTGCTTTTCCCTTCACTAGCAGCGTCCTCACGGCCTCTGCAGGGGGAAAGGAGGAGGTGGGTTGGAGCACAGATGTGCTGATTAAATTCACCCCGATCCCTCACAAACTTGGCATCTATGACGCTACTAGCTAGCCTCTTAAGAACCTCGGCATTTCAGGGTTGATGGAAGAAGACTGGAAAAAATTTAAAATATATCTTCAGAAATACTGTAATATAAAAGAATGTTAGAAAAAGGTTGGAAAATTTTATATTAGGCCGTATTGGCAGACATGGCATAATGGAATAAGTAAAAATGAAGTGTAAAATGAGGATAGAGAAGGATTAAATATTTTAGAATGTTAAAATAAGTAAAAGAAAAGAAGGTTAGAAGGATTTGCTGGAGATACGATCTAAACTAGAATACAAAGCAGGGAGGTGAGAGGAAGTCATGGAAATAAGTAAAAGGGAAAAAGGTTGTAAAGGTCTAATTTGATTTTTGTTATTCTTTATTGTGATGCATGTTTATTCTTTGTTGAGGTTTTTTTCCCCCTTTTTTTCTTTTTTATTGTCTGTTTTTTGTAACATGTGTATGGTTTGTTTTTTCTTCTTTTTTTGTAACTTTGTAACTGGAATAAATATTCTTTAAAAAAAAAAAAAGAACCTCGGCATTTCTTTAAAAATATACACGGTTCTAGTTCCTGAGAGTGTTAATCCCGAGCTGCTTAAAAGCAGGCAGTACGTTCTGGCAATAAACACAGCCAGCAGCCTCCTGGGAGAGGTGCTTCAGTTCATGCTATAAATCACCACCTGCTTATATCCCCAAGGTCTGAGCTGCTAGGCTCAAGTTGTTGGGGGATTTGGCTGACAGGCCGATCCACTAAGACCTGTCCATTTGGCCGTTACCCTTGTTATCTGTGTCTCCTTGAGATGTTGCAGTATCCCCTCCGCCCCGGGCCTTCTTAGCAGGAACGGGGCTTTCGGTCCCTGAGATGCTATTGCTTGGCTGGGATCCTCCGTCCTCAGTCTCTGCAGCGTCTGAAAGAGAGAGAAAAGCCCAGGGTGGAGCAGGCCTGCTGGTTGCAGGTTCTGAAAAGTGTAAGAGAGATTTTGGGAGGCTATGAACTGGTTCTACCTTGGCATAAATATATCCCCATCTAGATATCTCCCAGGGATGCGGGTGGTGCTGTGGGTTAAACCACAGAGCCTAGGACTTGCCGATCAGAAGGTCGGCAGTTCGAATCCCCATGGCGGGGTGAGCTCCCGTTGCTCGGTCCCTGCTCCTGCCAACCTAGCAGTTCAAAAGCACGTCAAAGTGCAAGTAGATAAATAGGTACCGCTCCGGCGGGAAGGTAAACGGCGTTTCCATGCGCTGCTCTGGTTCGCCATAAGCGGATTAGTCATGCTGGCAACATGACCCAGAAGCTGTACGCCGGCTCCCTCGGCCAGTAAAGCGAGATGAGCGCCGCAACCCCAGAGCCGGCCACAACTGGACCTAATGGTCAGGGGTCCCTTTACCTTTATATATCTCCCACACACCCCTCTCATTTTTTCGTATCATTTTTATGAAGTTTCCAAAAATATTTCAAAACATTTATCATCATATACATTTTTAAACAGTTTCCTCTTGACTTCCCACCCCTCCTTTCCTGTTTTTTTTTTTAATACTTCTTTTTATTAGCTGTTTTATAACACATATATTGTTGTTGTCTAAACCCTGCTACCATTAATTCTTTCAGTAATCCACTGCTTATTTTTCAAATCCTACCAGAGACTTCATATATGGGTGATAATTTGATGGATAATCCATCAGTTGTTTCCATTCTTCCTTAAACACTTCGTCAACATGTCCTCTTGATTTCACTGTTAATTTCGCCATTTCAGCCCCGCCCCCTCTCCATTTTGCACCCGTGCAATGAAAAGGCATTATTGGAAGGGAAGGGAATATTTTGGCCTGGCAAAAACATTCAAGGTGGGTGCAATGCAGGGCTGCAGCACAGGGAGAGTCCTACAGGCATGCTAGGTCCACAGGCCTGAGCTTCCCAACCTTTCTTGCTGGCCTTTCTTGCAACGCCAATCTGAAGCCTCAATGAGGACTGGAAGAATGCAAAGTATTATCACCAACGTAAAACCCTACATCCTTGTACCTGACTCCCTGCATTCCATCAGACGTTCAAACCCAGTCCGGCTGTTGGTCTGCACCATGCAGGCTGTGTCCAGCTTGTAGCGTGTCCGCCCAACCATCACTTCCACTGTGGGTTCTCCATGGCCATTCCTGGCTGCCTGCAGAGCCAGGCAGGTGTCCACAGGGTAAGGAAGCCACTTGCCTTCTTCGTCTCCTTGCCAGCACCAAACAAAATCTGGACCAGCACAGTGGCAGGGAGAGAGCAGGAGGAGAGAAGATTTCTCAGTCAAAACCTGGCGAAGCAAGTCCTAAGGCACTAGGAGGCATTTTCTAGCAATCCTTCAGTGAGGAGAAATGGGTAAATGAACATGTGCCCAGAGGAACACTTGCCTTCAAGGCAAAGGGCACAATAGGGGTGGTTTTGATGGTGCTGGACTCCAACTCCCATCAGCCCCAGGCAACAAGGTCAGGAATGATGGACATTGTAGTCCAACACGGTCTGGAGGGCCACATGTTCCCCATCCCTGCGCTAAGGGCCAAAACCTGCAGTGATGTCCCCTCACTGCCCAACAAGGCTTTGCTACCCAACATGGGCTGCATTTAACCTGCTGACACACCCCTGTCCGCACTGAGCAGCAAATCTGTCTTGCATTTGGAGTGCGACACTGTAGGTGATGCTGCAGCCAGGGAAAGCACCATGAAAAGCACTTTGCATTTTATTCCAGGAACTCATGATGGGTTCCATGGAGGTTCCCAGGCTATCTCTCATCCATGCACTGACCAGACAGACCGACCTGCTCAGCTTCCTCATAGCAGTTGCATCACTGCATGACTTCAGACCAGACCCCTGGAAGCTTTCAGCATTTAAACTGCAAATGGGCTTCAAAGCAAATCCTTTTGAAGGCACGTACTGTGGCCCTTCTGAAATTTTGTCTGATGTCATAAGTGTTAGAATTCCTGCTCCATGATTGCAGTCATGGGATTGTTGTCTATCACATGAGGGTGTATGTTTTGACTCCACAAAGTGGGAAGTGACAATGACAGGATGTTTGTGTTACTGTGTTCCATGAAGTGGAACTATTGTCCTTTGTTTTTTCTCTTTGCTGTCTGATGCTAGAGAGAGAGGGAGCCATGTTGCAGTGCACTGTGTGTGTTTATATGTAAATAAAGTAGATTAGCCAAAATGCTGAGTTGCTGAGGTCTGTTACGCAAGATGCAAAGACTCTGCAGATCCCTAAGTGTGCAGATATCTGTTGGCATCGGTCGCTGTGATGTTTGGGCAGAAGAAAGCTTTTGAAGCTCCCGAACGATTGACCAGGATGGAGGGAACATGCCAGTCAGGCATGTGTCTCTGCCAAGGTCCTACTCGAGAGTAGGACCAGCTCCTGACAATAAGGACATCAGGCGACTGGCAGATGTGTGGGCTTGCTCATCTGTCAAAGTTGGCCCATGGGAAAGGAAAGACTCTTGGTCCGCTGGCGGGATCCACTAAGAAAATGCAAGAAAATTAAAAGTTTGCTCACAAGAATCCTGATCCCGCACAGCTGCAGCCACACGCGATTCCAGCCCCGTCTGTTTATTCCGTTGCAGCATCTTGCGCAAGTCCACACAGGACTCCCCGATGTCCGCAGAGAGCTTCCCGGCTCTGTAGGAAATGCAGACGCCTCCAATGTCATCGCCCTGACTCAATTCGGCCTGCCTTCTCCATGTGTGGGGGTCAACAATGGGAGCACCAATGTGGTGAAGGGGCCTGGCTCGGAGAGCAGCTGCTTCACATGCTGAGAGTCCCAGGTTCAATTCCTGGCATCTCCAAATAGAGATTTTTTGGGGGGAGGGGGACCCTTTCTGCCAGTGAATGAAAACAACACTGACTTAGATGGACCAATGGTCTGGCTTGGTATAAGGGAACTTCCCAGGTGAGGAATGATGGGAGTTGTCATCTAGCATCCAGAGCAGCCTTTCTCAACCACTGCCCCCTCCCAAATGTTGTAGGACTGCAACTCCCATCATCCCTAGCTACTGGTCAGGGATGATGGGAGTTGTAGTCCAGCAGCATCTGGAGATCCAAGGTTGAGAAAGGTTGATCTGGAGTGCCACAATCCCCAGCATCTCCAGATAGGGTTGGGGAAAGACCCTCAACCCCTGGAGAGATGCTGCCAGTCAATGTCTAGTGACCCAGTGATCCGACTCCCAATATTAAGCAGCTTCCTGCACTAACTCACCGGGCTGCCTGGCTCAGGATCTCGCTCTGCTCAGGCAAGAACTGCTGCCACCTGTCACCAGGGGTCTCCCACTCCCAGCGCAGCTCCAGCTCAGCCCCGGCAGTGCTGGGCTCCCCGTTCTGGCGCTCGGGGGCCTTCCGCTTCCGTCTCATCCCTGAGGCGGCGTCAGAGCGTGCAAAGAAGGCTGAGTCGACACCTCACACAATCACCTAAACAAGGAAGCCGAAGTGTCACTGGGGATCATTGCAGATGACTTCTACAGCAAGAAGATGCCTCATTCTGGATAGCTCAGTTGGTTAGCGTGTGGTGCTGATAACACCAAGGTTGCAGGTTCGATCCCCATACGAGACAGTTGCATTGCAGGGGTTGGGACTAGATGATCCTCAGGGTCCCTTCCAACTTTACAAGTCTATGATTCTTCAAGCACAGGCTTCAGAACTACATGTCTTACTATGGCAAATAATAAGAGTTTTGTGGCACCTTATACAGGTACAAAGCAAAAAAATTATTGCAGCAGAAGCCATTGAGAGCCCACTTGGTCGTATGTATGGAAAGTTGTAGTACCACTTCCTGCTTTGGGGGGGGCAGGGGGCGTTCAGGCCAGGCACAGCCAATGGGGCTGTTCTGTCTGAGTGGGCACACCTTTGTGCCACGGACTGCCTTTCTGCCAAATTGCAGGATGCAATTTTAAAATACTAAATCAAATGATGCAAAGTCCTCTCAGGTTGATGGCAGACTTAAGGAACCCCGGGGAAGCAGGGTTGGCTGCCCCAACAGATCTCTTAAGCCACTGGCGGCTCTGTCAGGAGCCGGTAGTATTTACTCCCTGGCTGTACTAGGTCAGGCCCTCCTTCTGCCTTCCCTCAGACCTTTATGAAGCCACAACAGGGAAGCCTGTGGCTACTCCCCTCTTCTCTGGGTCCCATTCCCACGAGGGAGAGGACAAGGAAGAGGAGCAGAAGATTGGCAGGGGGACCCTTCCTGGGCTTGGCAGATGCCCAAACAGGCTGGCACCCAATGCTGCTCAGATATACATGCACAGGAACAGGAATTGTAAACATGGTGGCCAAAAGGTACCGAAATGAAACAAACACAGAAATGTCACAAGCCGTAACTCTTGCCCATCACTGCCTTTATGGCCCCGATGTTCACAATTCTTATGTACAAGCACACACAACAAACCATTGCTGTTATGTTCACACAAGGGGGCGTTTTATGCACCCAATGAAAAAGCTCCTGCTGCAATCATCACGCTGGTCTTTCTGCCGGGTTTTGCCTGTGCTTTACCTACCGAACTTCACCAACATTTATCTGGCCCGGAGGACTGTTTCAAACCAGCTGCGGTGAAAGGCATTCGTCACATGCCCTCGAGACACCATTTCCGCCCCACTGTGGTCCCGCAGATAGAAACCCGGCTCCGGGGAAGTTCGGATTCCTCAGCCACCGTGGTGATGCCGACCCCCCAGCGCGACCAAACCTTGCTAATCGTAATATAAACTAAAAATATGGTGACAATCCGTCAATCAACCGGCGCGCATTATTTCCCAAGACCCACCCCTGGCTCTTCTGGGGCTGAGCTCTTGATCTGAATCACCCTGCGCGACCGGGCCACTTAAGCCCCTCCAGCCCACTTCCTTAATTCCTTGATCCTGAACATCTGAGCCTGCAAGCAAGCTGGTGATCTGCCTCCCGCTTCCTATTATTTTCAAAAAAAAAATCTACCGCTCTGTGCAATATTTTCCATCGATTTCCCTCTCTATTTTTATGCATTAACACCCCCCGCTTGAATAGGCTGACTCGCTTTTCCAACCAACCTGTTCGGCGTTGCCTTCTCTTTTTTTGCAGCTATTACGCGGCTCCAAACAGCGCCTTTTTCCTGCTCCCGGGGAACGTTCCACGGGCCAGCCCCTTTTTACTTCATTTGCATTCGTCTGTTTTGCATGGTACGCCTCCGGCGAATCGATAAAAAGCAACCTGCGCGCGCACGCGTAGGGGACCTCCAGCTTGTTAGACGCTTTCGCGCCATTGAGGAGGCAGGGAAATGCAAATTAAGAAGCATTGCATGATGGTCTCAGCTCACAGTTTAGCATTTCCCTCCCTGGTGTTTCTTTTATCTCGCTATTATTATTATTATTATTATTTGTTACAGTTCCGAGATTGCGGCCAGGAAGGACCGGGCCACGATATGGATTCCAATATAATGGATTCTCCGCACCATGACCTAGTTGGAGACTAAACACCGGACACTATATATTGGAATAAGGCTTCACTTCCCGTTGGCTGGGCGGAAGCTCTCCGAAGAGGCCACGTGCTGGGTGTCTGTCACCCTTGTTGCGCCTCTGGGAAGGTCTGAGAGAAGGGCCGAGCATCACCCTAGCAGGGTGCCGCCTCCTGGAGGTGGGTGAGTCCCCAGCGATACGGGTCCCGGCGAAGTCCGAGATTGGGCAGGAGAAGCCGGAAACGGGGGAACTCCGCCCCCCTCCCGCGGATGCCTCCGTGGCTCGCTTGGGATTTGGGAATGACTCACGGCCAGCAATCTTGAGTACAATGGGAAGAGGTGAAGCGTAAGCGAACAGCGGCTTCATAACCCAATTCAGACTAGTCTCCATCCAGCATTTTCCAGTTTCCAGCATCACCATTATTTTTATAGCAAAAGAATCCTGAACCAACTCTGACAGTGGAGGTAGAATGGTAATGGTATGGAATTGGTTACCTCGGCAATTTGCTCCACAGACAAGGAGAAACTAGTCCCAGCCGAGCCTACGGTGTGCAATTCCACTCCTATTTCTACAGTTCTTAAACAAATTCACTTTGCTGTTCGTTATCTATGGGCCTTTATCATGTCCTGCAGAAAGTAATCTCTTTAATTGGCCAGAACGGAGTGCTAGAGGGGGGGGGGAGGGGGCACTGAGTTGCACTGAGTCGAACAGGACGCTGCTGAAATATGAGAGCACAAAGACCACCATGGATAGATAGATATTATTTATTTGTTTGTTTGTTTGTTTGTTTGTTTGTTTGTTATATACTGCCCTTAATCATAAGTCTGCAAGGGCAGTTCGCAGAATACTGGCTCCCTAGCAATATGTTTATTTTTCTAGAATACCACATTTCAAATCTGGAATATCCTTAGCCAGTTAAGGATTTGCAAGGTTGAAAGCAGCACATATGTAAACACAAATATGTATTTGTAACATAGGAGTTGGAGAGAAAGAAACTGGCGGCTTACCCTGTTTCAAAAAAACACACAGCAAAGATAGGAAAGGAAGCAGGCTTGGATATGATCTCTGAGTAATCCTGAGAGCCTGGCCTCTGCCAGATGAGCCAGTGATCTAACTCTGTATAAAGATGCTTTGTATGATTATAAGAACCTTTGGCAGGGTTGGGGGAGTTTAAACAATTATGTGGTTGCTGTCAAGGAGCCTCAAGAGCTAGAGCTCACCTGATAAAAGCATCTTTGCTCCTTGTGACCACCCGTGGACCAACTAGGCCCCAACCCCAGAACTGCCAGATTACGTCTGAATCTGTCTTAACAGGATCTGTCCCAACTCTGCTCCTTGATTTATCTCAGGGGAGGTAACCAGTAGCATTTCAGCCATTGTTGGACTACAAATCCCATCACCCTAATCATAGGCCGTACTGGCTGGGAGTGCTGGGATCTGTAGTACAGCAAGAAACATCAGTTAGGCCACCGGATGCCCTGATCCTACTTTTCCATGCACCTGCCCCCTCCTATTCAGCATAAGGTACTCAAATATAGAAGGACATAGCACTGGTTTGGATGGGTGGATGGGAACACTAGTTAAAATAAGAAGTTGGCAGCTGGAGCGGGACATATTCTTGACAGGTGGGGCCACTCAATGTGTGGCCGCATTCCAGGAAGTAATAAAACTCGATGTATCCATATTGTGGAGAACATGTGTACCATTGAGCACCAGCCCTGGCCTCCAGATTGTGGGTACACCTCTGCAAAAGTTCATTACCACGCCAGCCATCATTGTCCCAGACTTCTATGTGAATGGGGTTTTCATGATTCAGCATGACAGTCCCAAAGCCCAGGGTTTCATGCCACCGGGGGTCGTTATCAGATGGGACGATGCTGGTCCTCAGCGCTCGACCTTGAAAGACAACTCTGACATAAGCATCGGTGGCTGTGAAGTGGTCGCCCCAAAGGTTGGATCCTCTGGTCACAACTAAGGTGAGGTGTGCCCTGCCCCGCTGTCGGGCACAGCACATGTTGTTGTTGAGGCCATTGTTCTGACAAAGGCAGGTGCATCGCTCAGCTGAGCTCTGGGAGCTCCAACGTGGACACCGCTGCGGACACTCCCTCTTCAGGGCCTTCCGGTTTATATGACTCGCAATGGCTTGCTTCAGCAAATCCCTCCTTGGGTCCTGGTGGTTCAGCAACATGTGCAAGGGCTGGAGGGAATAGGAAACCAGCCCAGGCTGTGCTTTTGCACTGTTCTTCCATTCTGAGAAGAGTTGAGCTCCTCTGGCTTTTGAGAAGAGAATCTCGATCTTCTTATCTCCTCCCACAACTTCAGTGTACTGCCTGGCATAGTTTTCATGTGAGACTCCATGACTGTAGAACTTCTGGATCGCTTCACACCTGGCATTTTGGGAAGTGGACCCAAATACCTCGTTGTCTCCCAAAGAAAACCCCCACTTTAAGCAATCCTGGATGCTGGAAGCTGTAACCCCCCACAAGGCCATCTTGCATGTCTGCACAGCCAGCAGGTGGCGAACTCGGCCCCCAAGGTCCACCTGGCTGATGTAGTGGGTGCCATAGCTGTCGATAAAATGCTGGTATTCCTCAGAGTTGTTCTTTATTGGCAGTTCGGCCACATGCTGGGCAAAGTGAGAGGACAGCGGTGAGGGTCTATGGGGGAGTCTCAGCCTGCTCAAGAAGAGAAAAAGAGGAGCAAGATATTAGAAGCAAAGCTTATAGTTTTGCCCACACCACCCACACCCATAATCCTCCATCTTTTTGAGGGAAAGGAAGCCTGCAAAGTTTCAGGGATCTTCTTCCTCTCCAACATGTTATCCCTCCCCTGTAAAGGCCCCCAGAGCTTCCTGCGAATCAGAGGAGAGGAAGCGTACACATACAAGAGGACTTTAAACACAAATTTGAGCACCTTGAATTGGAACTGGAAACAAACTGGCAACCAATGCAGCTGCTTTAGAATGTAGTGGGGTATATGTTAGAGCTAAACCAGGCATGTCCAATGTCTGTTTCGGGGCCTAATCCGCCCCACTGGTCGATTTAATCCGGCCCCTGTGGCAGTTTATCTCCTGGGGTAAAATCCTAAAAAAAAAAAAAACCTTCAATCTTAAAAAAAGCTCAACCTCAACCCTAAAAAAACCAACTTTGGTCATCCCTCACGCATGGTCATGTCATCAAATCTGGCCCTCTTTGAAAAAATCCCAGCCAGTAAGCTGGCTGCAGCATTTTGGATGAGCTGAAGTTTCTAAATGTTCTTCAAGGACAGCCCCATGTAGAATGCATTGCAGTAATCCAATCTGGGAGTTACCAGAGCATGGAAGACAGTGGCCAAATAATTTCTCTCCAAATGGGCCCAGAACTGGTGAAGTAGGCAGTGCTGGGGCAAAATACTGCTACCCACCAAGGTTACCTGAGCCTCCAGTGACAGTGTTGACCAAAGATATGGTGACAATCAGTCAATCAACTGGTGTGCATTATTTCCCAGGACCCACCCCTGGCTCTTCTGGGGCTGAGCTCTTGATCTGAATCGCCCTGCCTGACCGGGCCACTTAACCACCTCCAGCCCACTTCCCTAATTCCTGAACATCTGAGCCTGCAACCAAGCTGATGATCTGCCTCCTGCTTCCTATTATCCTTTCTTTCTATTGGCTCTCCCCAAAGCAAGAAGAAAGCTTCCCTTCCTCCTTTGTTTGAGTCTTCAGTAACTCTATGTATGAGAGCTTTGTGGAGTTTTGTTGAATGCTGTCTGAATTGAGAGAGAAGTCTAACAATGGAATAGTAAGAACGAATGAATAACTGAACCCTGTGGGGGCAGAACACAGTTCACTAGAAACCTCTGCTGGAATTGCTATATCTGTTTGATCCAACTTCCAGTTGAGGACGCCCGCTCATCATTTACTTTGATTGTATCTCTAGAGGGATACTGATGCTCACCTGTAGTGTGTGCAGTAGACCTCTTGCCTCACAAAGCTGTAACTGTCATGCTGGGATTTCTCATGTGCATAAATAGCCATCCGGGAGTGAGATCCAGCAAGGGCCACCTGCATCTTAGGCAGCTCCAGCCCTAATTTGCTCAGCACTGCGCCGAACCCCAGCTCCATGTCCAATCCCAAATCTGCTTTCCAGTCATTCTTCACCTCCGTGGCCATTGCATTGGCAACATCCACATCCAAATTCTCCACAGAGCTGCTGACTTGCTGATGGCACGAGCGGACCACCTGCCAGTCCGCAACAGCTAAAGGAAGTTTCTGCAGCTGCCCATTCATCAAGTGATTCCGACAGAGGACGCACGTCCCATTGGGGCCCTGCCATTGGCTGGTGTCCACCACAAACGCTCCCTTTCTCTCCAGAGTGGTGATGTCAACCCCCTGACCAGTATAGGTGTGGCCAGGCACAAAGGTGTCCTGCTTCATGCAGATGGAGCTGGGGTGCCGATGGCAGTCGCTGGAAGTTGTTGGTGGAAGTTGGAAGAGAAATAGGAGGAAGGCTGCTAGGAAGAGGTGTTGTTTGGACATGATTGTTCTGCTGTGATCCTCCCCCCCAGTGGGGCAGATGGCTTCAAATTACCATGGAAAATAAAACAGAGAAGACTTATTTGCACCATTCAGGCATTTCCCACATTTGAGAGTCCCTCTTTTCACATCACCTGTGGCTACCTGACCCTTTCTAACTGGAGGTACCAGGAACTGAACCTATTGGCTTCTACAAAGTAGATGCTCTACCACTGAGCCATGGCTACTCCTAATGGTATATGCTGGGCCAGGTGTGGGGAACCGCTGGCCTTGCAGATGTTGCTGAGCTAAAGCTCTCACCAGCCCTAGCAACCATGGCTCAATTGCAAGGAATGTAGGACCTATTGTTTAGCAACAGGCTGGAGGACCACAGGCTGGGTCATGGGTCACCAGCATGGAGCTCTTCGTAATAATTATAATTATATTTTATTTATACCCCCTTCCCGGTTCAGAAAACAAATTTAAAACACTTAATTGATGCAACAAAAAAACAGCATGAAATACAGTATAAAACGTGAATAACAATAAATTCAGAATTCAAAAATCAATTTAGGGGGGAAATCCATCCAATAAACATTAGATGATCACCAGAACTAGCTGGCTAAATTAGTCCTATTTGGGCCAGCGAGGAGACCAGGGGAGAATTACCGTAGCTGTGGGATCCCAGAGCGGGTAATCTTCATAAAAGGGGGAGGGGGAGGGAAGGAAGGGGAATAAAAGATCAGGCTAAGTTCAAATTGAAATCAGATGTTGCTGGACTCGCAACTCCCATCAACCCCAGCCAGGGCTGTCAATGGTCAGGGTTGTTGCTTTAGTTGAGCACAATGTCTGAACATTGGCTATTCCATAATAAGACTGAAGTTCTAATGATGGCCACCCAGTGAACTTCATGGCTGAGGAGGCAACTGAATGTACAGCAGGAACAGAAATATGAAGAGGAAGCCTTGGGACTAACCATAGAAGTCCGGATTTCCATCTAAAAACAGGCATGTCTAATCTGGGCACCAGATGTTCTCCCTGACCTAGCACTGTTGCCTTTTCTTTCCTAGTTTGGTGACAAGTAGAAGACCAACATATGTCACTTCCTCCAGGATAGAGCAAGGAGGAAAGCTTTAACTGTTGCATCTCTTCACATCTTTGGAACACAGAACATCAGTCTGGTGTAAGCCCAGATACATTCTGCATCTTAAATATTTTATGCTGGGAGTGTCTGTGGGGTGGGGGGGTGGGGCTTCCAGCTTGTGGGTGTAATTAGGAGTACATGGTGGAATATAAAACTCATTTACAATAATAAATAATGAATACTGTAGCAAGCTTACCTGCTCTGTAATGTCCGAACTGCTTTGCCTTCTCAGTGTAGTACGTGGCACCACAACAGCTGCCTTTCGGTTTCTGTTCCCACCAGTTCCCTCCCTTGCCAACCGATCTGCTTTGTCTTTTGCATGTCTCTAAACCAATATTGGATTGGTGCACACTCCAATCCTGAACGGACAGGACCGCACCCAGTCACATTCTCAGAAAATTGGATTCTTCTTTTCTTTCCCACTGTTTCAAATTCTTGTGTTAATAGTGTGAATTATAGGAGCCACAAACACCAGTGTATTTTTGTGTGTGTGTGAGAGAGAGAGGGGAGTGGTGGTGGTGGTGGTGGATGCAGGGGTTTCCTGATGGCGCTCTCTCTCTCTCTCTATATATATATGGCAAAAAGAGGGATAAACCCCACCTTAAACCCTCTTATCACCCAATTCTTTATCCACTCCATACCTTTGTAAATACCAAAAGCAGTCTGCCATTCCAGTCTGTCATTCCCAGTTCATATCAGTGACTGCTACAGTCATGGAGCCAAGAAGGAAGGCCTTCCTTTGCACATAATAAATAAATATTTTTGGGGGGAAGGATTGTCCTTTCTTACCTTTGGCAGAGAGCTCCAGTGGCAAGGAAAGCTTCCGTAGGTTGGTGAGCCTGAGAGGACCACTTCAGACTCCTTTCTTTTGAGGTTGAAAATTCAAGACAAAACTGAAACCATCATACCAGGATAGTGAGTGGCCACTAAACGGACCGTTTGCTTTTGTGGGGAAATTCCTTATAAGGAAGCCTTTCCCCCCCCCAATGCAAAAAGTTTGGCAGAGGCCTCATAAAAGAAGTTCCAATTGTTCTAGGGAGTGGGGGAACATTTTGGCTCCACAGGCCAGATTCTTATTCTTATTAGATCTAGCCTTGTGGTTCAAATGTGACAAAGGGGCGGGGACACCCATCTGTCAGTCACCACAATGATGTCAGGTGATTGGGCATGTTGGGACGTCAAAGCGCCATGTAGAGCGATACCGCCAGAGCCTGCTTTCCACTGACCTTGGCTCAACTGATGGGCTGTGGACCCAACACCTGCTTTCTCTTGCCTCCGCATAATCAGGAGCATACTATAATGTTCCCGATTATGCACTGGCAGTTGTGTCTCTACCTGTCCCATAGATCAACATCACATATATAGGGGGGGACTAGCATGTTAAGTACAATTGTTTAATTATGATGATGATTCTCATCAGCTCCAGCCAGCATGGCCACTGGCCTGGGATGCAGCCTAACAAATTATTATTGCCAGTTATAGTTTTCAGGTTAAATGTACATACAGTGGTACCTCGGGTTAAGTACTTAATTTGTTCTGGAGGTGTGTTCTTAACCTGAAACAGTTCTTAACATGAAGCACCACTTTAGCTAATGGGGCCTGCCGCGCCGCCGCTGCACGATTTCTGTTCTCATCCTGAAGCAAAGTTCTTAACCTGAGGTAATATTTCTGGGTTAGCGGAGTCTGTAACTTGAAGCGTATGTAACCTGAAGCGTATGTAACCCGAGGTACCACTGTATTGGTTGGTTTATATCTACTGATCAGACAAGCTTTATTCCTGGACAAAACATGCTTGACTTGATCCAAAGGGCACTCAATGTGACACAGAATCTGACGGGGGGGGGGGGGGAATTGTCTCTCTAGACACATTCAGAGATTTTGACTATGTGGAGTGGGTGTTTCTGAAAATGTTTTTTTTAAAAAAACACACACACACATCTATATTTAGAAATGATTTTATCTTTAATTGATCTTGGTGTTGTCTGCAACAACAGCCACAAATGGATTCTCTTACCTGAGTGCACATCTTAAGACAGGACCTAAGTAGGACATCCTTTGTTCCCACTGCTATTTGCATTGATCACTGAAACTTTGGAGAATAAAATTAGATTGTATTTATCTAGTAGGCATTCGGGGAGTGGAACACTTCATCAATTTATTTTCCCAACAACTTCCTTTTACGTCCAATCATAAAAGAAGCACTAGAACATGTGTAAAAGGTAAAGGTAAAGGGACCCCTGACCGTTAAGTCCAGTTGTGGACGACTCTGGGGTTGCGCTGCTCATCTCGCTTTACTAGCCGAGGGAGCCGGCGTTTGTCCTCAGACAGCTTGTAAAATGCTGTAAAACATCTGTAAAATGCTGGTGACTTTATAACATAATATGCTGCAAAGAAGAAGGAAATCTCAACTGAGGGTACTCATCTCTTTCCCTACTCTGATCATTGTCACTTGCAAACTGCTCCCCCCCCCCAATTCCCACCCTCTCTTACAGACCTCTTTTCCTTTTGTATTATTACACAGCACCCCAGTCTTTGAGCAGTGCAAAATTCCAGGGGTACTAGGCGTGCTTATCTGGGGTCCCATACGGTGCTTACCAAAACATCCCAATTACAGGTGGGGAAACCACTAAGATGATTGCTAAGGACACAAGGCACAAAGAAAAGCCCATAAAACACCATAAACCATGCCGGGGGAAGGCCGGAAGCAGGTCCTGAGCTCAACAGCACTGTTGAGTGTGGTGTAGTGGTTAAGAGCGGTAGATTTGTAATCTGGTGAACTGGGTTCAATTCCCTGCTCCTCCACATGCAGCTGCTGGGTGACCTTGGGCTCCACATGCAGCTGCTGGGTGACACTTCTCTGAAGTCTCTCAGCCCGACTCACCTCACAGAGTGTTTGATGTGGGGGAGGAAGGGAAAGGAGAATGTTAGCTGCTTTGAGACTCCTTCGGGTAGTGATAAAGCGGGATATCAAATCCAAATTCTTCTTCTTCCAAACTCTTCTTCCCACCTCTGACAGTGGAGGTAGAATCTAGCCATCATGCCTAGTAGCCATTGATAACCTTCACCTCCATGAATCTATCTGATCCTCTTTCAAAGCCTCTTTTAAAAGCCATAGCTACGTCTTTTGGGAGCAAATTGTTCCAGAAGAGGAGCAACTGGACCCAGCTGAGCCTGTGGTGTGGAATTCCACCTCTTCCTCTACAGGTCTAAAAACAAATTCACTTTTGTTACTCTGGGCATTTGTATCAAGAGAGGTGGGATAGACAGGTTTGTCTAGGGAGTTTGCTGTGGGCCTTTATCGTGTCCCGCAGAAGGTAGTATTTTCATCACCACTATAATGAATAAAGCCCATTATATCTGCTCCCTTGCAACATATTTATTTTTTCAAAATACCAAATTTCTAATCCGGAATGTCTGTAATCCATGGAAGATTTTGCAGGGTGAGGTGCATAAAAGCAACGCATGTGTAAACACAAATATGTATTTGTAATGCAGGAGCTGGAGAGAAAGAAACTGGTGATTCACCCACTCTTGTGGGGCTGGGAATCTCCAGACACTGACTCGTAGCTACAGGAAAACAGCAGAGATAGGAAACAGTCTTAGAGATGATCTCTGCGTGAGGGATCCTGAGAGCCTGGCCTCTACCAGGCAGAGTATAAGGCCAGACAAACAAGTGGTCTCACTCTGCATAAAGATGCTTTGTATGTTTATAACAATGTGGACCAACTAGGCCCCAGATCTGCCAGATTCCTTCTGAATCTGTCTCAATAGAGTCTGTCTCAACTCTGCCCCTCAGTGGTGGGGGAACCTGTGGCCTTCTGGCCGTTGTTGGACTACAAATCCCACCGTCCTGAAATGAATGGAACAAGGAAAAAGCACTGAATTAGCAGGGGGTGACTAGTTGAAATGAGAAGTTGGCAGTCGTAGGGGGACATAATTTTGACAGCTAGGGCCACCCAACGTGCGGCCACATTCCAGCAAGTAATAATACTCGACGTATCCATGAGGCGCATAACATCTGTGCCGGATAGTCCCAGCCCCTGCCTCCAACCGGTGGAAACAGCCCTGCAGAAGGTCATCCCGCCAGACGTCTTTGTCCCAGAGCTGAACCTCAAAAGAATTGTGGTCTGCCAATGTGACTGTCCCAAAGTCCAGGGTTTCTGACCACTGAGGGTTGTTATCGTTTCTGACGACGCTGGTTCTCATTTCTTGACCTTGGAAGAAAATCCTGACATAAGCATCGGTGGCCGTGAAGTGGTCGCCCCAAAGCTTGGATCCGTTGACCACAACAAACGTGAGGCGGGCCCTGCCTCGCTGCCAGGCACAGCACATATCGTTGTTGAGGCCGTCCTGCTGACACAGGCAGGTGCATTGCTCACCTGAGCTCTGGGAGCTCCAGCGTGGACACTGTTGTGGACAGTCCCTCTTGAGGGCTCTCTGGTTGATATGACCCACAATGGCTTGCTTCAGCAAATCCCTCCTTGGGTCTCTTTGGTTCAACAAGGTGTGTAAGGGTAGAAGGGAGTAGGAAACCATCCCAGGCTTTGTTTTTGCACTCTCCATCCATGCGGAGAAGAGTTGGGCTTCTCCACCTTTGGAGAAGAGCATCTCCACCTGCTTATCTCCTCCCACAACTTCGATGTGCTGCTTGGCATCAGCGTCCTCGAGGATTCCACGGGAGTAGGCCCTCTTGAGATCTTCACACCTGGAGCTCAGGGAAGCGGAGCCGAACAGCCAGTCAACTCCTAGAGAAGCCCCCCAGTTCAAGCAGCGCTGGATGGTGGAAGCGGTAATCCCCCACAAGGCCATCTTGCACGTTTGCACAGCCAGCAGGTGGCGCAGTCGCCCACCCAGTTGCACATGGCTGATGTAGTGGGTGCCGTAGATGTTGATAAAATGCTGGTATTCCTCAGAGTTGTTATTCCTTGGCAGCCTGGCCACAGCGCGGGAGAAGTGGGAAGCCAGCAGTGAGGGTCTCTGGAGGAGTCTCAGCCTGCACAGGCAGAGAAAAAGTGGAGCTTGTAAGCAAAGTTTATAGCAAGTTTATAGCATTCTGTACTGAAGGAGCAAAGATTGTTATTATTTTATTGTCTGCTCTTCATCCTGGAATGGTTACAATTAAAACATGATGTATAAAACAACTTAACAATCACAGAAACAAGGTGGGCCCTAAAAATGTACACAGCAAGTGTCAAAAGGCAGGGAAAGAAGAAAAAGAAGTCCCAGCGGAAGAAAAATGGATCCCAAAACTTATGGAATATGCAGAAATGGTGAAACTTGCTGGAAAAATAAGAAATCAAGGTAACCTTTTTATAACAGAATGAAAATGGTTTATGGAATATTTACAAATAAACTGTAAACAGATAAGAACATTGGCAGGATTATTGTAATAACCTGCAGTTTTATAAGGGTATATATTTAAAGTAGACGAATAAATGAGTAAATTGAGTTAATTTGGAATATGCAGAAATATATACAGTGGTGCCCTGCAAGACGAATGCCTCGCAAGACGGAAAACCCGCTAGACGAAAGGGTTTTCCGTTTTGGAGGTGCTTCGCAAAACGAATTTCCTATGTGCTTGCTTCGCAAGACGAAAATGTCTTGCGAGTTCCTGCGGGGTTCCCCCCCCCTTTTTCCCAAGCCGCTAAACCGCTTATCAGCTGATGGCTAAGCCGCTTATCAGCTGATCTTTAAGCCGCTTAACAGCTGATGCTAAGCCGCTTATCAGCTGATCTTTCAGCCGCTTAACAGCTGATGCTAAGCCGCTTATCAGCTGATCTTTAAGCCGGCTAAGCCGCTAATACTGTAGCGCTAAGCCACTAAACCTCTAATGGGCTTGCTTCGCAAGATGAAAAAACCCGCAAGACGAAGAGACTCGCGGAACGGATTCTTTTCGTCTTGCGAGGCACCACTGTGTGTATATATATATATATATATATATATATATATATATATATATATGAACCGCAGAAAGAGGGGGAAGGAAGTCGAGTTTTGAAACGTTAAACTGATTGTAAAATCATTAAAATGTATAAAACTGGAAAAAAAATGAATGAATGAATGAATGAATGGCAGGGTAAAGAGGTGTGTCTTCAGCATTCACTGAAAGCTGAATTATGAAGATGCCAGACCCACCTCTGTGGGGAGGGATTCCACAGCATAGGAGCTGTCACAGAGAATGTTTTCTCCTAGGCCATGCTTGTGAGAGTGGCGGAGAAACCAAGAGGGTCCCCTCTGCTGCTCATAACACCAGAGGGTGTCTATGGGGAAGGAGGCAGTCTTTCAGGTACTTAGGTCCTGAATCGCTTAGAACTTTAAACACTAATGTGAACACCTTAAATTGGGCCCAGAAACGAACTGTCAACCAGGGCAGTTGCTGTACCAGACTACGCAAGTCCCTCTTGAGAGGGCTACTGGTGCTCACCTGTAGTACGCGCAGGAAATCTCTTGCCTCACAAAGCTGTAACTGTCCTGACGGGATTTTTCATGCGCATAAATAGCCATCCGGGATCGAGACCCAGCAAAAGCCACGCGGGCCTTGGGCAGCCCCGGGTCTTCTTCCCTGTCATTGTTCGTCTCCATCTCCAAACCCAGGTCTACTTTCCAGTCATTCTTCACCTCCGTGGCCATCGCGTTGGCGACATCCACATCCAAATTCTCCACGGAGCTGCTGACTTGCCGATGGCACGAGCGGACCACCTGCCAGTCCACGCCAGCCAAGGGGACTTTCTGCAGATGCCCGTTCATCAAGGGATTGCGGCAGAGTTTGCACGTCCCGTTGGGGCCCTGCCATCGGCCGGTGTCCACCACATACGCTCCCTTTCTCTCCAGTGAGGTGATGTCCACCCCCTCACCAATATAGCTATGGCCAGGCACAAAGGTGTCCTGCTTCATGCAGATGGATCTGTGGAACGTCTGGCAGTGGCTGGAAGTTGCTGGTGGAAGTAGGAAGAGAAATGGGAGGAGGGCTGCTAGGAAGAGGTGCTGTTGGGACATGATTGCTCTGGTGGGATCCTTCACTCCAGGAGGCTTGTAAATAACCCTGCGGAACAAAACAGAGAGGGCTTCTTTGCACTGTCTAGGAATTTTCCACATCTGTGAGCCCCTCTTTTCAAACAAAACACTCAGCCTTGCTTAAATGAACTTTTATCTCATCGTACTGGGCATCAGGGAGCTGTGTTTTACCAAGTCACACTATTTGTCTATCTAACCCAAGACTGTCCACTCTGGCAGAAGCTCTCCAGGGTCTCATGCAGAGGGTGTTTCACATCACCTGTTCCTACCTGATCCTTCTGAACTGGAACTACCAGCAGGTGAGCCTGGGACATTATACATGCCAAGTAGGTCTCCCCCCCCCCGCAACCCATGGCCATTGCTAATGTATCTGAGGCCCAGTGTGGAAAACCTTTGGCCCTACACTTTGGTTCACGACAGCTCCCATTAGCTCCAACAAGCATGTCGCAATGGCTAGGGATGATGGGAACCTGGAGGGCCACAGCTTATCCACAGTGGTTTAAGGGCATGGGTGACCAGCATAGTGCTCTTCAGATGTTGCTGGACTCGCAATTCCCTTTAGCCCCAGCCAGCACCGTCAAGGGTCAGAGATGTGGCTGTAGTCTAGCAATGTCTGAAGAGCACCACATGGGCTATTCCCTCATTAGGAATTAGTTCAGCAACTTGCCCAAGGACTGGCCACCCAGTGAACTTCATGGTTGAGGAGGCCACCAAACGTACAGCAGAAATGTAAACATTAAGAGGAAGCCCTGGAACTAAGCATGGACGTTCCGACTGCAATCTAAAAACAGGCATGTACCACCTGGGTACCAGAAGCTCTTCCTGACCTGGCACCATCGCCTATCCCGCCCTCTATCTTTAATAGCTTGGTGACGGGCAGAAACCCAACGGATGTCACTTCCTATGCCATAGAGTTGCAACAAGGAGTAAAGCTTTAAGTGTTACATATCTTTGCATCTTGGGAATGCAGAACATCAATTCAATGTAAACCCAAATATACTCTGCACGATATTCATTGGGGGGGGGGGGCCTTCCAGCCTGTGGGTTTAATTAAGGGAATACGGTGCAATATAAACTCATTCATCATAAAAAATATATGAATGCAATGGCAAACCTTACCCGTTCTGTCATTTCCAAACTGCTTTGCCCTCTCAGTGTATATTACATGGCGCTACAACAAATTGTCTTTCCATCGCTGTTCCCACCCGCAGGCTATTTTTCCAATTCCCTCCCTCTCCCACTGACCTACTTTCTCTTTCATATTCTTGCTAAACAGAGATTGGACGGGTATAAACTCACTCACCCCTCTGCCCCCAAAACAAACAGGACAGTTTCCAATCACGTTCTTAGCAAATAGGATGCTTCTTTGGCCTTCCCGCTCTCTTCTTTTGCAGCTGCTTCCAATTCTGGCACACATGTCTTGGATTATAGGAAAATAACAAAGGCCCGTGTGTTGTGTGTTTCTGTGTCTGTGTGAGAGGGAGGGGTTTCCTGGAGGCTTTCCTGAAAAGTGGTTTGTGTGTGTGAGAGAGAGAAGGAGGAGGAGGAGGAGAAGAAGAAGAAGAAGGGTGAACCCCAATCTCAAACCCTCTTAACACCCCATATTTTCGTCTGTCCCACTTCTGCAAACACTAAAGGCCTCTTCCGGGTGTGATTTAATGTTTCCAGCCTGTCATTCAAGGATTGCTACAGTCACAAAGCTTTTGCACATTAAAAAAAACAAGAGAGTTTGGAAGGGTGGTTCTTTCTTACCTTTGACAGAGTCCAGTGGAAAGGAGAAGTTTTCTACATGGGTGAGCCTGAGAGAACAGCTTTAAAATCTTGTCTATTTGAGGTTTAAAATTTAAGACAAAACAGGAACAATCATGCCAGGATAGTGAGCGGCCACTACTGGGGAAAAGGGACTGTTTATTTTTGTGAGGAAAATCTTTATAAGGAAGCCAATTTTTTTTTTAAAAAAACAAAACCCAAAATGTCTGGAGGGGACCTCATAAAAAGAGATGCAACGGTGCCAGGAAGTGGAGAAGCCATTTGGCTCCAAGAGGCCATATCTTTCTTTATCCTTATCACAGCTAGCCTCATGGCCCAAATATGACAAGTGAGCAAGTCTGCCATTCGCCACAATGCTGTCAAGTGATTGGGCGCCTTGAAGTCCCAAAGTCGGGACTTCAAAACACAATGCATAGCTGCATCGCCAAAGCCTGCTTTCTGCTGACCTTCGCTCAACCACCCATCAATCCCACAGCATGCATGATAAGGAGCCTAATGTAAGGCTCCTGATTATGCATTGGCAGCCACATCTCTGTCTGCAGTGCTCTGTCTGCCCCATACTGATATCACATATACAGTATATAGTGGGACGGCTGTGTATGGTTTTGGGGAAATGGCCCTGCAGACCAAATTTGAACCCCTGGTGACTCACATTTGACCCACAGGTCAGAGAGACCCCACCTGTTCTGCATGCAATGCAAACTAAAAAAAATATAATTCCATGGTGAAGAGAGGGACTCAGGTTGGATGCTAAGCTTATCGTACCAGCTATCTTTGTCCCAGACCTCTAGCTTGACCTCATTGTAGCCTGTCAGCATTAAAGTCCCAAATCCAGGGCTTCAGACTACCAAGAGTTGCCATTATCTACAGTGAGCCTGGCCCTCCTTTCTTGACCTTGGAAGAAAATTTTGACATAGCCATCGGTGCCACTGAAGATGTCACCCCTAAGGTCGTATCCTCTGTGCACAATAAATTTGAGGTGTGCTTTGCCCCGCCCCCAGGCACAGTCCCTGTTTGATTTGATCCAGTGGTAAAATGTGGGCTTCTCCAAGGAGGTTGTATCTGCTCTCATGTGCAAGCCATAGCTAGGTTACACATATACGGACAGCTAACCTCTACTGAGCATATTCCAGGAGTTTCTTAAGCCAATGAATTGAAATGTGTCTTTTCAAGAGTGAAGGGAGAAGCTAGAAACAAATATTGTAGTTTCATCCTGCAGAGTAATTCAAATCCATCTTCTAGGGGAGTCCTTCAAACCCCTTATGGACTCATGAGGTACCGTATTTTTCGCTCTATAACACACACCAGACCATAACACGCACATAGTTTTTAAAGGAGGAAAACAAGAAAAAAATATTCTAAATGAAATAGTGGATATATGATTTTTGTGGTTCATGCTGTGGCCACAGACATGTGATCTGACAGTGAGTTTGGAGTAGCCCAATGCAAAAATCCTGAGGATCCATGTGGATCCATGCTTTGTAACCACGGAGGACGGAAGGAAGGGGAACCATGGATCCTCTGCTCACGACTGCAGCAGATCCCCCCCGCCACCCGCAGGCATTCGCTCCATAACACGCACAGACATTTCCCCTTACTTTCTAGGAGGAAAAAAGTGAGTGTTATGGTGCAAAAAATACGGTAATTATTTATTTCAAATGGCAGCAGTTCAGAAGTGCCAACTGCCCTTTTAAATGTTTCCACAAATAGGAGCCTCTATATGTTGCTCTGCTTTTCTCTGGACCATATCAGCAAGGCCGAGAGTGGAGCCCTGTCATCTGGACATACACACTGCCCAGGCTTGCACACTATTGAATATCACTTCAGTGCTGCTAACACAGCAGTTTGACTTCACCCCCGGAAGCACACTCCATTGTCTCTTAAGACAGATGGATGCCGATAACAACAACCCCCTGCCCCTAGGGTGAAAAACTTTTTGATCCTGAAATTCTAGCGCCTTCATAGTGGAGGGGGAAAGTGGGGAAACTTCTCAGCTAGGAGATTATTCCCATACCTCTACCCAGTTGTCTCTTTTGAGAACTGTCCAACCTCTCAACATAAACAATATCAGAACTTATTAGATTCCTCACCACACATCTCACCCCTTAAGTCTCTAGAGGGAGGACCTGGCAGAGATGACCTGAAGGTTTGAGGAAAGTGCTTTGTTTTTTGTAACCCCTCAAAATGGAGAAAAAAACACTGGATGTTCTGATAAAGACATTCTCTCTGTGTGTGTGTCCCTCACTCTCTCACACACTGTAGCAATATTTCATTTTGGTGGTTTCAGCTAAGAAAACAGAGCAGTTGTCCAACAGCAGAGAACTGGAATGTTTTCCCTTTTCCTTTATTATTTAAGCCAGGAATTTTCGTTTCATATCCAGAGAAACACATGACAAACCTGCTGAAGCAGGCTGTGTTGTGAACAGAGCTGAAACAGAGCTGAATATGCTCAGCAATTATTTGTAAACAAACCTTTTGGCTAAAAAGCCCAGCTATGCAATGACTTTATTGTGGATTTTGATAAAAGCTTCTAAATCTAATCACATTAGAAGCTAAAGGGGAAAAGGAGCACTTGCATCAGAGAGAGTGCAGTCACAGGATTTGCCCTTTGCTACATCCCACCTCAGATGTTGGTGGGACACCCAAAACAGCTTCCATAGGAAATCACCATTCATGGACCATGTCTGTATGGATGAAGCTGCTTCTTTAGGTATCCTGGTCCAAAGCCATATATAGCCTTGGAAATCAGAACCAGCACTTCTGAGTTCCTCCCAGAAATTAAGGCATGTGTCACCGTGACCAGAACTATATTCTCAAGGAACAGATGTAACTCTTGAACCATCCTCATTTGGGTGAAGGGCTCTCCTGACCATGGCTGTCCCCTACATATTCAGGTTCAAAGCCAGATTCAGCAACATAACCCTGTCCACCTATCAAATTTGGCCTGTGAGGCTCAAACTGATAAACATCTGCAGAGCCAAAAGGCCCTTCACCCCTGGCATGGAGCACTCACATTGAAACTCTTTTTATGAGGCCGCCTCCAGATTTTAATTTTTTAACAATGACTTCTTTATAAGGAATTCCTCACATAAACAAACGATTCCTTTTCTTCCTTCTGGGGGCCTTTATCCCTGTATGATTGTTCCTGTTTTCCTGGTTTGACTGTAATTTTCAAACCCAAAAAGAAAAGGGTTGGGAGCGGTCCTCTCAGGCTTGCCAACTTGGCAAGTCTCTGTCCTTGCCACTGAGCTCTGCTACGGAGAACAAAGAACAAACTGCCCAAAATCCATTTTGGAAAAAATGCGGAAAGGAAGGCCTTCTTGACGCTATGATTTTAGCAGTCCTTGTTCCAAACTGGGGATGGCAGAATGGGTAAGTTGCACCCAGATGCCTTTAGTGTTTGCAAAGTAGAACGGGTAAGGATAGGGGGCTGACATGGCTCAACATTGGGGTTCACCACTCTTCGTCTTGTCTTACACACACACACACACACAAACAATGTTGTCAGAGAAGCTGCCAAGGAAGCCCTTCCTCCCCTTACCACCACATTCAGCCTTTGTGACTCACTTATAATTCAAACCTTGTTTTCCAGAATTGGAAACCGCTGTAAAGGAGGCAAGTAATAAAGCAGAAGAATCTTAATCCTGTTTGATTAGGGGAACCATTGTCCCCATTGTATCCCATGTAACTATCAGAATTTTAGCTTGGGGTTTGAAACTGGAGATCTGTGCTAGACGTGCCTAGAGCTCATGATATCCAGAAATCATGAGTTCAGCCCAGAAATGTTTTGCTCAAATCACACAGAGGTTAAGGAGTTCTGCCCTTCTTGCCATCTGTCCACCACTATTCATTCTTGCATATTGCATGAGGTCCATATTTGCTTCTGTTCTTGAATCAGTTTTTCAAAAATCCTTAATGCACTCTATCTTAAGCACTTTTGTAACCATGATAAATTAAAGGCGATATTTACTGTTCCTTTCTGTTGGGAATAATTCAAACTGAAATTCCCAGGTGTCAAAAAAGGTTGTTTATGTATGCTACTACTGCGGCTTGTGTTTTGTTAGCCCCCAAATGGAAAACGAGCAAGGTTCCAATTAAAGAAGAATGGCAACTTAAGTTGACAGTTTATGCGCAGCTTGCAGACTTAACATATGGAATAAGAGAACAAGAAGAACATACGTTTATAGAAGATTGGAAAACGTTTATTGAATATATGGAAAATAATTGTGTACAGCTGAAAATGCTGGTAGCATTAAGATAAATTCAATAGTGAAAACAAGTTTTGATGGATGCAATAATGGAATACTGAATGGTATAGTTGTTGTAAAATATGCAGGGATTTATGATATGTACAGTGAACCATGGAAAAAGAAGGGAAATCATTGATATCTTAAGAATGTAAAATGAGTATTTTAAATTGTAAAACAAAACAAAACTATACACATATTTACTGTTGTTCATCTTCACCACAGATTGCAGTAAGCAGCTATTAAATGCAGATAGGGTAGCTGTTAAGTAACTTTGGCTGATTTTTTCAATGAACCTGCCTACTTCTTCAGCATAAGGTCCTGAAACATATGGAAAAGGATGGTTGGGGAGGGAACTAATTGAAATAAGAAGTGGGCAGCCGTAAGGGGACGTAATTATGACAGGAAGGGCCACTCAATGTGTGACCACAAACCAGCGTGTAATAATAATCAAAGTGCCCATGTGTTGCAGGACATTTGTGCCAGACAGTACCAGCTCCAGCCTGCAGGTTATGGCCACAGTGGCCTAAAATACGATCACCCCGCAGGTTTTTGTTCCAGAGCTGCACCTCAAAGACGTCGTGGCCTGACAGTGTGACAGCCCCAAAATCAATAGGTTCAGTCCACCAGGGGTTATTGTTATGTGGGATGACGATGGTCCTCCTTTCCTGACCGTGGAAGAAAATTTTGACATAACCATCAGTGATACCTAACCAGTTACCCCTAAGGTTGTATCCTCTGTGAACAATAAATTTGAGATGTGCTCTGCCCCGCTCCCAGGCACAGCACATATTGCTGTGGAAGCTGCCGTGATGACAGCGGCAGGTGCATTCCTCATCTGAGCTCTGAGAGCTCCAGCGTGGACACGGTTGTGAACAGTTCCTCTTCAGGGCTCTCTGGTTTATATAGTTCACAATGGATTGCTTCAGCAAATCCCTCCTTGGGTCTCTCTGGTTCAACAAGGTGTGCAAGGGTAGGAGAGAATAGGAAACCAGCCCAGGCTTTGTTTTTGCACTCTCCATCCATGCAGAGAAGTTCTGGGCTCCAGGTTTAGAGAAGAGAATCTCTGCTCGCTTCTCTCCTCCCACAATTTCAGTGCGCTGCTTGGCGTAAGCATCGTGGAAGATTCCACGAGTGTAAGTCCTCCGGAGATCTTCACACTTAGAACTCAGGGAAGCGGACCCGAATAACCACTTGTGTCCCAGAGAAACCTCCCAGCCCAAACAGCTCTCAAAGCTGGAAGCGGTAATCCCCCACAGGGCCATCTTGCATGTCTGCACAGCCAGCAGGTGGCGCAATCGCCCGCCCACCTGCACATTGCTGATGTAGTGGGTGCCATAGATGTCAATAAAATGCTGGTATTCCTCAGAGTTATTCCTCCTTGGCAGACTGGCCAGAGCGCGGGAGAAATGGGAGGCTAGGAGTGAGCGTCTATGGCGGAGTCTCAGCCTGCTCAAGAAGAAAAAAGGAGGAGCAGAATAAGCAAAGATAAATAGTGTTATCCACAACCACATACTTCCATCTGTATGACAGAAGAGAAGCCTGAGGAGTCCATATTTTTTTTTATTCTAGCTCCCATCAGCCCAAGCCAGCATGGCCAATGGTCAGGGACGCAGCCTAATAAATTGTTATTGGCAGTTATAGTTTGCAGGATAAAATGCACATATTAGTTTATTTATATCTACTGATCAGACAGGCTTTATTCCTAGACGGAACATTGTTGACGTGATCCAAAGGGTAAAGATAAAGAATTTGGAAATTATTTATCTCTCTAGACACATTCACAGTTTGACAGTGTGTAATGGGTGTTTCTGGAAATGTTGTTTTAATTATTATTTTTTATTTCAGGAAACAATTTTATACTTAATTGGCCAACAATACTTGGGGTTGTCATCAGAAACAGTCACAAATGGGTTATCTACTTTAAGAGAAGTCAGGGCATTGTTTGTTCCCAGTGCTATTTGCATTTGTCATAGAAACTCTGGATAAAAGAATTAGATCCACTTCTAATATCAAGGGGGTATGCATTCTGGGAGTAGAACATTCCATAGGTTCATTTGCTAATGACATCATTGTAATGTTGTCCAATCCCAAGCGAGCAATCTCTCCCCTTTGTGAAAATTTATATGGTTTTTATGCCATTGCTGGCCTTGAAATTAATTGCTCCATATCTATTAAGCATTTCAATTTCCCCATATTAGAACAAAACATATATTTGCCAATTCAGAGTTTCATCCTGAACAATCCTGAAATTTGTTATTTATTAAGGGTGCTGGGAATTGTAGCTTTGTGAGGGGGAAACTACAGTTCCCTGGCTACTTTGGGGGGAGTCAGGTGTTCTTCCTCCTCCCAAAGATACTTCTTCCCCTCGTAAAGGCTTCCTTGAAATTCTTGCAACTCAGAAAACGAGAAGCACAAAAACACTGATTTTACCTAAAACACATGTATCAATTTTCTGCTGTCAAATGTTGGTAACTTTACAGCATATTGCACTTCAACGAAACGGGCTGTCTCTATCAAGGACCCCTATAGAAGAGTTTGGATTTGATATCCCGCTTTATCACTACCCTAAGGAGTCTCAAGGCGGCTAACATTCTCCTTTCCCTTCCTCCCCCACAACAAACTCTGTGAGGTGAGTGAGGCTGAGAGACTTCAGAGAAGTGGGACAAGCCCAAGGTGACCCAGCAGCTGCATGTGGAGGAGCGGAGACGCGAACCCGGTTCACCAGATTACGAGTCTTACCGCTCTTAACCACTACACCACACTGGCTCTTATCTTATTACTTACTCTGACCAGCCAACTATGGCTCTGTAGGGTACTGGTGCTCACCTGTAGTATGCACAGGAGACCTCTTGCCTCACAAAAATATGGCTGTCCTGGCGGGATTTCTCATGTGCATAAATAGCCATCCGGGAGTGAGATCCAGCAAGGGCCACCCGCATCTTAGGCAGCTCCAGCCCTGCTTTGCTTAACACTGTGCCTAACCCCAGCTCTGCTTTCCAGTCGTTCTTCACCTCCTTGGCCACTGAATTTGCGACATCCACATCCAAATTCTCAATGGAGCTGCTGACATCCTGATGACACGTATGAAGTACTCGCCAGTCCACGCCAGCCAAGGGGAGTTTCTGCAGCTTCCCCTTCATCAAGGGATTCCGGCAGAGGATGCACGTCCCGTTGGGGCCCTGCCATTGGCTGGTGTCCACCACAAACGCTCCCTTTCTCTCCAGTGAGGTGATGTCCACCCCCTCGCCAATGAAGCTGTGGCCGGGCACAAAGCTGTCCTGCTTCATGCAGATGGATCTGTGGAATATTTGGCAGGGGCTGGGAGTTGTTGGTGGAAGTTGGAGGAGAAGGAGGAGGAAGGCTGCAAGGAAGAGGTGCTGTTTGGACATGACTGCTCCAATCGAAAAGCTTGTAAATTACCCTAGGGAATAAAACAGAGAGGTCTTGTTTGCACCGTGTGGGCATTTCTCATCTTTTTCAGTTCAGCTCATGAGGGACTCATGAGGGTCTCATCAGGGGTATTTGGTGAGGTATACATTCATTCATAAACAGCAGCAACAGCAACAGTAGTGGAATTAGCGGCAGCTGCAACAGTAATACTAATACTAATACTAATACTAATACTAATACTAATAATAATAGTGGCAACCTTACCTGTTCCTTCTTTTCCAAATTGCTTCTCCCTCTCAGTGTATTACACCGCACTACAAGTGGCTTTTATCCCATGTTCTTACCCATATGTTGTTGTTGTTTTCAGTTCCCAGCCTCTCCCACCGACCTTTCATATTCTCTATGAACCAATACTGGATATGTGAACATTTGCTCACCCCTCCTCCTCTAAACAAACAGGACATTCTCAACAAATAAGATTCTTCTGCCTTGCTGCTTGTCTCCTTTCTAGCCGTTTCCAATTCTGGACAACAAGGAGTGAGAGAGTTAATGGCTGGATGTGGTGGTGAGAGGAAGGGTTTCCTTGGCGGCTTCTCTGAAAACGTGTGTGTGTGTGTGTGTGTGTGTGTGTGTAAGACATGACGAAGAATGGTGAACCCCAATATTGAGCCCCCTCAGCACCCTGCCCTTATCCATTCTACTATTGCACAAAAGGCACCTGGGAGCAATTTAATGGTTCCAGTGTGACATTCCTGGTTCGAAAGAAGGACTGTGACAATCATGGAGTCAAGAACGCCTTCCTTTGCACATTAAAAAACAAAACAAAAGATTTTGTAAGGGTTATTCTTTGTTTGCCTTACCAGATCCCAGTGACTAGGAAAGATTCCTTGGGCTAGCAAGTCTGAGAGGACCACTTCAAATTCTTCTCTTTTGGGGTTTAAAATTTAAGAAATCAAAAACAATCATACTGAAATAGAGAGAGGCCCCTGGTGTGAAAAAAAAATCTTTTTGTGAGAAACTTCCTTATAAAGAAGCCATTGTTTTTGTTTGTTTTTAATAGAAGAGGCGTCATATGCCTCATAAAAAGAGTGGCACTGCCAATGCTCCATGCCAGGGCGTGGGGAACATGTTTGGTTCCACAGGCTAAATTCTTATCAGATCTAGCCTCATGGGGGAAATTTGACAGGGCAGGGCTGAAAGGGGCACTTCCTTTGAAAATGTTGTTTCACAGTCTAGGGATGCTGCTGATTCTGTCTTGTAACCTGACTACTCTGGTGAAAACCATGGTCATGTGAGGACTTTACCCAATGTTTCTGGGAGGAACTCAAAAGTGCAGGTTATTATTTCCAAGGGCATATATAGCTTTGGACCAGAACACCTTCCTCCATATTGACATGTCCATGAATGGGTGATTTCCTATGGAGGCCATTTTGTGTGTCCCACCAACATCTGTAATGTGTTTGAGTCAAATATTGGTTGGGATGTTGTGCAGGACATTTCCTGTGACTGCAGTCTCACTGATGCAAGTTCTCCTTTTCCACCTCAGCTTCTAATGTGATTTGATTTAGAAGCCTATATCACAATCGAGAATGAAATCATTGCACAGCTGGACTTTTTAACCTGAAAGGTTTGTTTACAAATAATTGTCAGATGTATTCCGCTCTGTTTCAGCCATGCTCATAAAACTGCATAAACAGCACACAGCCTGCCTCAGCCCTATGGTTTGTCATGTGTTTCTGTGGACAATATGAAAGAGAAATTCCTGGCTTAAAAAATAAAAGACAGGAAGGCACATTCCAGTTCCCTGCTGATGCACAGTTGCTCTGTTTCCTTAGCCAAAATCAGCAAAATAAAAACTGCCACACACTGACCCGCTATTAGGATTGTGGGTATCTGAACATCCATGGTGTTCTGTCTGTGTTGGGGGGTTACAAAGAGATTCCTTTAAGCCTTCCACCTGTCTGTGTCTGTTCGCTCCTACCTCAGGGACTTAAAGGGTGAGATGTGAGGAATCTAACAAGTTCCAGTGTTGTCTATGTGGAGAGATTATGGTTGCCATTATTTCAAAAAGTGAAAACGGTTGTTGAGCTTTTTTTGGCCAAGTTGTTGAGCTTTTCCAGATGTATGGTAACCCTGTTTCCTCAGAACAAACAGGGATGTGAGCAAACTGGGCAGAGACATTGGGGTTGTTCTTTAGTTGAGGAGCCTTTCCACTTTCCTCCTCCGCTATGAAGGTACAAAAATTTCTGGATCAAAATGTTTCTCTCAACAAGAGAGCCGCTTCTCTCTCTCTCTCTTCCAACAGCCTCTAAAGGGGTAAAATAAAGGTAAAAACACTCATTCACCCACGATATTTGAAATATACTCAGAGTCGCAAAGTGATTTCATGCTCTTTATTCAGCTCATAGTGGTGAGGAGGAATGAATGAATGTCCCCTCAAAGTATCTGCCTTATATACATTATTTACACAATGGGCTGCACATGATTGGCTAATTCCGGAATTCTTCTGTAGGCCAATCAGGTTGTGGATTCACTTCTATCTGGAGCTGGATTGGGTGGCTCCTGCCGACCAATCATACTGCTGCATTGTTGTAGGACCAATCATACTGCTGCATTCGGAATCCTATTGTTCTAGGACCAATCAGACTGCTGCATTTTGGATCCTATTGTTCTAGGACCAATCAGACTGCTGCAGTTTGGATCCTATTCAACTCAGTACATAACACCCCTCCCCTCTAAGTTCCAGTCCTGCCCGGGAGGTTGCATTCATAGTCCTCAAGGTACGCCGGCTGCCTACGTGTGCGTTGCGGCCTGGGGTGTTCCCTGGTCCGGGGTTCAGGTTCTGGCTCATGTTCCAAGGATGCCGGCTGTGATGGGGCTGTTTGGTCTGGCGCAACCGGCTTGCTCAGTCGTGGTTCTGGTTCCGGTGTCCTTTCGGCCTCGCGGGTCCTCTCTGTATTTACTGGTTCTGCCTCTCCTGCTGGCCCCTCCTGCTCTATGGGCCTCACTGCCCCACTGTTCCCTTGGGACTCCTCTGACCTGTCCTCCTCCTGGTTTTCTCCCGGGAATCGTCGCCGTATCTGGTCGCAGTGGCGGTGCCAGCATTGCCCCCCATCTGTTAGCACCTCGTACGACATGGGGCCAGTGACCCTGGTGACTGTGGCGGGTACCCATGCTGGGCCTGCCCCCAAATTCTTTGCGTACACTGGGTCCTGGGCCTCGAAGGTCCGGGGATTCCTGCCTTCCCCCACCACTACCTCATCCTGAGCTCTCTTGGGGTGAAGGCGGTCCAATCTGATTGCAAGGCGCCGACCCATTAGTAGTTCAGCGGGGCTACGGCCAGTCATTGGCTGGCGGTGCCCTGGTTCTTATGGTATGGCAAGATCTTGCCAATGCACAGAGATCTGAGAAACTTCATCTAGACAGAGAAGGTTCTTCCATATAGTTCTGGCTGATGCTAAAATGCTCAGGAGTATGGGTAGCTTCATGTACTGGGGTCCATTATGCATGTTCATTCTCCTGCGATGTCTCCTCAGGAGACAACATCTATAAGGCGATGTGGTATCAAGTGACAACCTGATCTGGTGGTTGTAGTTTTCACTCTCGGTCCCCTTCAGCAGCTCTGTTTGCATCCCAAATTCCCTTCCCAGGGAAGATGAGAATCCAGACCTGCAATGCAGTGAAATGGAGCAGTGGTTCCTTCCTCAACACTTGTTTTGCCAAATGCAAGTGTTCTTTGAGGATTCAAAGGCAACAGCAACACAAGTGGAAGGAAGTTCAGTGCTTTTATTAAATAGGCAGCACGACCAAAACAGTCTTTAAGCAAGATAACACACAGCACAAACAAGATAGGATACTTCCCCATTCATTTATCAGGAGCTCTAGGGATCGATAACAGAGAGACTCCAGTGGCTGGAGTCTGGGCCTACATCAAAGCACAAGGATCGGAGCCCATTTGAGAAATTTATCTTTCCTCATCCTGCTGTAACTGATCCCTGGAGCCCAAGCAGTAAATCCAATCCAAAAACGCTTGCCAGTTCCCAGGGTGATAATAAGCAGGGAGGAAGATTAGTACAAACCAATACCTATCTCCTCAAGATACAAACGTCTTCCTCATAGATTTCCCTACAATGGTGGTGCGGTGGATGGAGAGACCTCATATTACTTATTTGTTTATGTAGTAAAGTTATTTTTTTCAAAAAATATAAATTTTATTTACAGTTTTCAATATTACAATTTCCAAAACCACATTCACATGAAAATAAGCATTTCCCCCATTCATATCTTTCTTTAAAATGAAACAATTTATATACCGCTTGACTTTAGAAAAAGCCTCAAGGCAGTTTACGAAAAAGATAAAATACAGTGGTACCTCTGGTTACGTACTTAATTCGTTCTGGAGGTCCATTCTTAACCTGAAACTGTTCTTAACCTGAAGCACCACTTTAGCTAATGGGGCTCCTGCTGCCGCCACGCTACCACCGCACGATTTCTGTTCTCATCCTGAAGCAAAGTTCTTAACCCGAGGTACTATTTCTGGGTTAGCAGAGTCTGTAACCTGAGGCACATGTAACTTGAAGCGTATGTAACCCGAGGTACCACTGTAATAAAATTTGCACTAAAGAATTTTCAACCATAATTTTAAACAGAAAGTTAAGGCTACAATAAAATAGACTAAAACAGATTGCTTTTCCCTCCAAAATTAATAAATAAATTTTCTTGATTTGTTATCAAAGATGTGAAGACATAACAAAAAGAAAGGAAACGCAGAGTCAAAAAAATTAGAACATTAAAGCACAAGAGTCTGGAAAAGCAAAAGTACAAAGTTACAATGCAGCTCCAAAAGGATGACAAAGTAGTAACACATACAAAAATTGCTTTGCAAATAGGAAAATCAGTCCAGGCTTTGTTTTTGCACTTTCCCTCCATGCTGAGAAGTTCTGGGCTTCTCCGGGTTTTGAGAAGAGCATTTCCACCTGATTATCTCCTCCCACAACTTCAGTGCGCTGCTTGGCAAAAGCCTTGTGGAAGATTCCAAGGATGTAGTTCCTCTGGTATTCTGGGGAGTACACTCAAATAACCAGGTGTTTCCCAGAGAAACCTCCAAGCTCAGGCAGCTCTCTAATTTGGAAGCTGCAACCCACCCCCCTGCCATCTTGCATGTCTGCGCAGCCAGCAGGTGGCGCACTCAGCTGCACATCACTGATGTATTGGGTGTCATAAATGTTGATAAAATGCCTTAAAAATTTTCTTCCTTGGCAGTCTTGCTACATCCCCAGAAAAGTGGGAGGCCAGCAGAGAATGCCTCTTGCAAAGTCGCAGCCTGCTCAATAAGAGAAAAAAGGGCAGAAGAATATTATAAGCAAAGACTCT